AACCAGAATTCAGCGGAGGAAGAAATGGGGAAGAAATGCTGGAAGTGGATAGGACACACATTGAGGAAAGCACCGAACTGCGTCACAAGACAAGCCCTCACATGGAATCCTGAAGGCCAAAGGAGAAGAGGAAGACCAAAGAACACATTACGCCGAGAAATAGAGACAGAAATGAGAAGAATGAACAAAAACTGGATAGAACTAGAAAAGAAGGCCTAGGACAGAGTGGGTTGGAGAATTCTGGTCGGTGGCCCATGCTCCATTAGGAGTAACAGTCGTAAGTAAGTAAGTATGTTACACTAGTTTAGCTTATCAATAGACAAAAGTGATGAATCTAGACATTTGATCAATGTTTCCGATGCTAGCTTATCATTGAAATGAGGTTTATTTTATGTGGCCAATCTTACAACAGTGAATTTTCGCGACTTAATATAAAACATACTTAATTTCAAGAGCAGATAGATTGATTGACTGTGCAACCTATACCTGGTCAATGAATGACTTCAATTCGATTAAATAAGAATATCTTTTTATAGTCTACGTCTTGAAATAATTGTGAAACTTATTAAGGTTGACTGAAACAGAACAAATGGTTCTCTATTCTTTCATACTTAATGATAACTTAATCAATTTTCCCCATCAGCTTTTCTTAAAAGTAGAACGAAGAAATGTTCACACTAACGGATTTTTTTACTGATTACTTTACCATTCCATTCTTTCTAATGATTATAAAAATTGTACAATGTAAACAATCAATTGTTTTCGAAGTTTTGATTTATGATTGGATTTATTAATCGATTAGCTGATCTATTCAACTCTTCTAAAGTTGGTATTGTCCTATTTACTTAGTCAAAATCTAAAAAACAACACAAGTGACCTTGGATGACCTATTCCAAAATGATTTTGTCTAAAGTATATACCACAAACATAACAGACCGGCATATGATTTGCTAAATCGATTTATATTTTGAACGATTATCAACGAATCGGAAAATAGTAGATCACGTGGTGAAAATGAATAGAATAATGCACCTAAAATTCTTTAAAAAAATGATTAGACGGAAAATCAATCAATCAGTCAAAAAAATATAACCATAACACTCATTTTTGTTTGTATTTTTCTACAGGGAGTTTCCATGACTTTTTTTTACAATTTATAACAAATAATATCACTATAGATCAAATAAATTATGCCCTAGAGGGTTTTTCATTGTATATATATATATATATATATATATATATATATATACATGCAACATTACAGGAATCGCTAAACTGCGTCACGAAGCAAGCGCTATCACGGAGTCCTGAGGCCAAACAGAAAGAGGAAGAACACACTTCGTCAGGACTTGAAAGCAGACGTGATTATGATGAATAGCAACTTGAAAGAACTGTAAAAGATTGCCCAGAACAAGTTGAATAGAGTGTGCTGGTTTGTGACTTATGCTCCTCGACGAGGGGCAACAGGCGTAAGTAAGCAAGTAAGGCTAGAAGAAACTAGGGTTTCTGTGGCGAGGTTCATTTTTATCATTCCTATCTTCATACATTCCTTTATGAGCAGAAGAAAGCAGACTATTAGATGTGTCTATGTAACCTGTAATAATCGCATAGTACGTATTTTCACGGGTGAAAATATTCATCTCAACATATGTTTCCTTCTGATTTGAGTGTAGGTAACAGCATGTATTTGTATTTATATACTGATTACTGCTTGTTAACCATAAAATCTCAGTGACTCTTAATACACTGATCGGGGTTTTATAGAACAGTTTCCAAATGTGTATGGGACTCGCGATATGCATAGTTACTCACTTTCACCATGTATATGCGCATGCGGTTATCGATTGTTTTTCTCTTTTCTTAGGGGGTGGCGGAAATTGTCGAACTATTGTATGTCAGGGATTCCGTATTGTACTAAACGTATAATGCTGGATAAAGCCACTAATAATAATAATAGTAACCGATCTGCTAAATTGTCTGAATATAATATATGTACCTTTTAAAACTTATTATCTCTGCTCTCTTTGATGGGATCAGTTGACGAAATGTATGCAAGGTTAACAGGGACAATTAGTATATCATCTCCATCTAATAAGTTCAGGACAGGAATTATGAACTTCTGTAATGGTTATTCAGTGAAGATAATTCTCAGGTCACGTCGCGCGGTAATCTCGTTCGGTATCAGTAAATTTATCCGTTACTATAATGATAGACCTAGTCCAAAAGTTGTATATTTTTCATGATGTGGAAGTCACATCATAGTTTGCCCTGACTCGTCCCATCGTGACAGTCAACAGTACGATGCTTAGAGCTTCTGGAAAACACTGGGAAGAGAGTAATATACTCGATACAAAATGCAAGAGGTGATCACACCTGAATAGCTGAGCCACACCATACAGAACAATTATTCATAAGTCCACCATTTTTGACATTCGCTAAGTGTTACATAAATGAGTGTAAATATCCTCTGCAGTTATGTATTCAGCTTCAAAGACCGTGTGGTTAGGAACCAGCACAATTACAAACTCATAGAACTGAGTAAACGTGCGTCTTCTGCTCTTATAAAATCGTTATCAATTTTTGATGCTGAATATAATTCCCAAAAAGTATAGACTTTAAACTCTACAGATCGAAAAACAGCGTCTGCATCTTCTGTTGTCTATTCTGAAAATGACGATACATGCAGAAGAATAAAAGACGAATGACTGAATATCAGGATGTTTCTAACAACTTCAAGGTATTGTCTTTTATAAGTTTGATGGCTTCAAATCAGTCTCTTTGATAGATTAGTGGGTTGGTGAAATTAATAGAGCTAGACCTTTCTATCATCATGATGTAAGTGAATCGAAGTTTTGAATGAGAGTAGCTAATACCATTGACAAGGCAAGACAAAACTCAGAAACCATACGCTTGACCATCATCTTTAACATATCCGATTGGGGTAGAATGTGTGAATCAGTTAGTTTACCCCTGATATCCATAGGAAAAGAGCTAGTGATTGATTTGGTTTGCCAAAGTCCAAACCGTGAGGTAAATCGGGTGTTGGTAGCCGAACTCAACAACGAGGTTGTTAAGGTCTAGGAGAAGATTATTTAGAAGATATTGTTTACGTGTTTAGTCAAAAAATCTGATCCTTTCAGAAAGGCAGTAAACGCTTATAAGTGCATTGCGACTCATATTGGTCACCGAGGTAAGGATGCATAGATGGTGAATAACATCTAGCTACCTGTTGTGCATATACACAATGACCTGAAATTCACCATTCGACAAGACTTAAAAATTACTACATACTACCATGAGATGGCCACCAACGGTTCGAGAACTCTCGGATCAATGAGTAGAGCTTTTATTCACGTCCATATTCAGACCCATTTGACTATGTCTGCAGTGTTCGTTCGTGCTAAACCCGAGTATTGAATGCCAGCATCCGGCCCTTATCTGGGATCTATCAATGAGGTGTTGAAAAGGTTGAGGAACAGCAAGCATACTGACTCTTGAGAAAGCGAAGCTCCCATATTATGATAGACTGGCTAAACTTAATCTATTTACATTGTCCTAAAGAAGTGCCAGATGCGACTTGATCAGAGTTTTCAAGTTAGTTGATGTTAAATGTTCTAGTTTTTTGTCCTCCAAATCAGTGAATTGATGAAATGTTGATAATCCCAAAACAAATTACTTGCCAGACGACTATCAACTTTCTTGTTGATTTACAAACTAGTGGAATTGATTACCTCCACACGTTTTAGAAGTCGCATGTTCATACCAAAGAATTTTGGGTAAGCTGAGAGACTATCATTGACGGAACCAACACACGTCACCTGATCTCATATTCTTTACGAACTGAGACTGATGATTTTTCAAAAGATAGAGCGTTCTAATGAGCTGGAAATAGATTGGTTAGCAGACCATATGGTGAGCCGATTGGAGCCTATTGAAAATTCCAATTCTGTTTCTAATTTGGTTTTTAATTTACGAGGAATTTTTGATGGGTGTGTTTTGTGATAACTTACGTCACCTCAGTTACTTCTGAGTAGCACTTGAATGGTAAATTAAGCTCAGTCTCAACAGAAAATTTAGGAGGAACATCTGGAAAGAGGAATCACGACACAGAATAATGGACTGTAGGCACATCTATATTAAATGTGAATAATCGTAAATTTATATTAAAAACTAATTGAATTACAAAATGATACAATTTGTTAGATTTCAATTCAGTTATCTATTTCATGTTCTCAATGAGTCCTTGCAACTTGATCGATAGCATTCGATCAGCACTAAGAAGGACTTGACACGCATGACATCGATCACCACCCAGTGATCAATAAATTGTGATTACATCTCAGTGCTACAGGAGGTCGGTCGCGGCCCGAATAGCCCAGTGGTAACGTCTCTGACTGTGAAGCTGAGTGACACGCGATCAAATCCGCCAGGGAGTATCGGTTCCCTCAGGGTTACAGGTACACCTTGCTGACGAGTGCCAAGTAGCAAGAAACGCGGGCCCAGGGTTTCCTGTTGACCACCTCCAACCACCATCTTACCTCAACATAGTGCACGCAGTGTCGAGCCACCTAGACTGGTGGCCACATTGTAACTTGATCGATAGCATTCGATCAGCACTAAGAAGGACTTGACACGCATGACATTGATCACCACCCAGTGATCAATCGATTGTGACTGTAGGCACACCTAATACTCTTCAGGAGTAATCCAATTTGAAATTCGTTGGCGGCCTAGGTGGTCCAAGTGGCTTCCTAGGGATCGTGAAGAGGTATCTCAAAATATTCTTGTGAGATCAGCACAGTACTTAATTATTATCTACCAATATTTCTCTTTTGTTTTTCAAATATATCTAGGTCCATACCTGGAGGTATCAGTAGTCTACCTCTATAAGGTACAAAATTCCATTAACCGAAAGTTACTTGTATTACGCCTACGACCATTTAGACCCTTTTATTTTTATATTTGGACTGTTGATACATTGGGGCTTGAATAGTATTTTTGTAAACAGCGGGCATCTGTAGGTCAACAGTGTCATGCCAGATGACTAGTTGTTGCTTTTATCGATCACGTCTTACTGTAAGTCTCGTGTTTATCCATACAGTTTAGGATAGATTACTGACTTTAAATTTTGACCTTTCGGCTCATACCTATTTACTAGTTTCCCAATGGCATTATCTGAAATGTCTCAGTAGGACATTTTCACAGAAAAACATAAGGTATGAACACTGTATGTACAATTAGTTCAAATAAAATAAATCAGCATACTATGTCCATATTCCTTTGTATGTTTACTCAGGGCGAGATTTGTGTGTAATGTATCATCAGTAATTCGAGTGTTGTAATATGCAGTGGTTGATAATAATCATTTAGCTTTTCGGTTTGAAGAGTAGCTTCTTAGACTTTCATTCTAGGTGTGTACGTTGTGCTTTTCCAAAAGTAAAAGTGTTTTTATAGTTGTGCTCCTATATGTATACCTTCCGTGTATTCAGAGTTATCTTGTGGTGTTGCTGGTGCAGCTATGGTACGAAGTCTGAAACCAGGCTCTAAATCACTAGTCTTACTGACAGTTGTTTATTTCTTGTCCGTCCCAAGTGTGCGGTAAGAAATTGGAGAGAGGTGTACACCGTTACTTCGTCATTCCTACTTATGTCTCAATGAGTACTGTTCAGATGGTCTGGCGATCCACGTGAGCTCATCTAGTTTCTAGGCAAAGGACCTATTAGATTTTTCTGTGTGTCCATATATTTTACCTTTTTAATTACTGAATCGTAATCACAAGCATTTTTCTGGGTGAGCACGGTATATATATGTTAACATGCTAGTATTTCTTACGTGGTTAATAAAAGTTGAGCAGTCTCATTATTTTCTAAAAGTATGTTACCGGACTCCAACGCCCTTTGTATTCTCGGCATCGTATGTTTCATCTGTTGCTTACTCGCATAGGTGAAAGGTTTTTTGAATACAGTCTGTATTCGACATTTTGTATCTACCCATGTATTAACGCGGTCAGTTGACAGAATATGTAGAGATGTAGGTAGGGTACATGTCCAGTAAGCACCATGCAGTCATCTTCATCATTCATGGAGTCTACACAAGGCACTAAAGTGGTGAGGCAGCTAGAAAAATATACATAGCCTCAAACAATATATGGAAACGATGAGTTTTACTGGAAGTTTTATTATCTTCAGAACGCCGGGAATGAAAGTAGTAGTTGTAATACGTGATTATGACACACTGGTCGACAGGTCAAGTTAAGGTGAAGAACATTTAGATGTATCTTCTGGTGTCCCAAACCAACAAACACAACGGTGTCTGTCTACTGCAACCAAGCTCAGATGACCGATTATTATTACCAGGTAGATACTTTGGCATAAGGGAAGACATTATCTAACCTGACAACTAAGACTAAAACAGACACGAATATATGTCGCCATAGGCTATCGTTGGGATTATTCATTTATTTAAACACATAAATATTGGTACAAAGTGGCACCGAATGTATATGCTTCACACAAGTCGCCTGGTTTGTGTGTGGGCTGCGATACTGCCCGGGTCCCAGAACAGGAGCAGGTGGTTTTCTTAGGGGGGCACACCCCGAGCTTTCGTTCTAAAGGCTTAATCCACAGGGCAGTGGAGCAGCGTCAGGAGATGCAGTCTCATGGTAGCCAGTGACCAGTAACTGGTTCGTACGCCATTTGTTCCTTCGGGATTCCGGAGCCCGTATACATCTTTGGTTTGGGGTCAAGGTTTTCCAGCTCCCTTAGATGGATATTCTATATCCACCAACCCGCTCGAAGCACCAAATATTTGCTTTTCGTCCTCTCAATTTAGTAAACAACACTAATGCCGCGACGAAACAGTATGTAGGACTTCCGTATCATTGGTTGTATGCACGTGGACATGTCAGAGCATTTCGAGAGAGCTAACTATACCCACCCTCAGCCGTACCAGGGCATCTGGGGGCTACTGCTTGGGATTCGATCTTACCCTTGTGAAGACGTATTTCCGCGGGTTTTGCTGAATGTAAGAAAATCGTAACCGGATTCTTTTTATTTGTTTACTGAACACGAGTGGTTACTGGTACAACCGAACACTAAAGTAATTATGCGCCACACTAGAAAGTGAAGTTATAATGCAACAGAGGGAAAAGAGAGTATGATCAAAAATAAGTGAACAAAAATAACATATAATTGCAGAAACATTTTAGTTAATTTAAGGTAAATTAAGTTGAAGCAACATATATAAGCGAACAATATTGTTTTCGATTAGATCCTCATCAGGCTTTACTCTAATATACAGTAATATCTATATGCATATACGAAACTATTAAATTAATCAAGACAGTTTGTGAGACATTGATAACAGTGAAATAAATTGCTTAAATTAAGTTATATAAGTTCTTCTTGTTAATTAAATTATGAATCAATACTTGCTAAATTACGGGCGTTCGGAGGTTTTTCTAATAAGAAATTGGATATACGCTAACAGGTTAGACCAGAGGCTTAATCTACCGCACCTCAATGGTAATCTCTTTGTTGACTATCAACGAAGTTGAAGAAACATAGGTAATCTTACCTTAATTCCCTAATTGTATGTGACGGTTTTCTGGTGCAATACCGTTCGGAAGCTTGTCTTTTTCTATGTTTTAGGGACTTCGTAAACCAGGGTCATTTACTAATTTTACCTCTACGTTTCCGAATAAAGGACAGTTACTATAGATTTCCGTACTAATAAAAGTTGCTTAAATTATTAGTGATCTACGAATGCATTGTATGCTATTAGTATTTTAGTGGTATATTACCAATTACATATAATATCCAATTATTATGTTTGAAGGTGAGATTTTACTTCTTTGTTCCATCAAAAACTTATTAGTTTGTTTTTTTGGGAATATAGAACTCAAATCGAACAAATATAGCTACAAAACACCATTCAGATAATTTTGAGTTGTATGGGTATATATGTACATTCCGTATTATATTTTTGATGTGTACTTGGCTTTATTTTTTTTTCTATTTGTGGTTGATTAGTGATTTGCTTTCTTTCTTGATTATTACTGCATACATGGGTATTACCTGTCTCATCAAAATACGAGTATTTTGTGTTGTACTCCTTAGTTTTGAACCGTTATTATCACATTAATTTCCTTTTTATTCGTTTTTAGCCAACTAATCCGATTATAATATGGTTATACACAATTGTTGCTTTGATATTTCAAGTTCCAAACAGTATTTTAATCCTGTTTCGATAGTCTGTCCATAGTATATCCACCTAATTAATGTTTTGGTATTCACCGAATAATTGAAAAAAAACTACTGTACAACTTGGAAATATTCATCAACAAATCACATGTCATGCCAGCAGTTATCCAACTCCTACAATTTTTTCATCATTTTTATTGTGTCTAGTTCCAACATCAAATCTACTCAAGAAAGAAGCTTTCACTTACTGTAACAACTAAAAATAAATCTCACTTTGTAATCATTGCAAAGTTCAAAGCCTGTTTTAAGGGGAAGTTTTTTCACTATATTCATGTCATTTTGATTAATTATGGACTGTCGCCTTATCTTTCGACAAATCGTGAAAATTATCCACTAACCACTGTATGGTGTCTTCTGTATTAAACATTTTTCCCATATAACTAATTATCATCATATAGATCTTCATCGATACCACATTTATTTTTGTGCATATTCACTGTTCGTTGCAAAATGTTTATGATTGTCAAGTAAATTCGATTATCTGTTGTCAATTCTGTAAATCATTAATAACCAGTTCGTCCCAATATTGACCATAATTATAATCTCTTTACTCTCCGATCAATTATTTTATTCATTCCAATTTTTCAATTACAATGAATCCGCCTGCCAGTGTACCGTTAAATTTGCTGCCAGGATATACAGATAATGTTAATCATACTATTCTAGAGGCATTCGATAATGATTATTATGAAGTTAACGGTTTGCTCCATCCATTTAAAGACGGGACGCAAAACAATGTGCAACAACATGGTGATGAGCTGTACATTCAAAAGCCGATGGATGATGGTTTAGACGAAACGGCTAGTGTAAATTTACAAACACGACAAACCGATCAAGACTCATCGTTTATACAATCTTCAGAGTCAGATATTGAATTGCATAATCTAGAAGAATTATTAGCTCGAACATCGATTAGTGATGTTTATTTAGGACCTGTTAAAAACAATGATGGTAAAATCATCCCGTTGGATGTTGAACGTCGTACAATTTTCAATAATAGTTTGGCATCTTTGCCATACTCTTCAACATCCCTTGCTTTTTCCCCACCTGGTATACAAATTATAACAGAAATGTGGACTATATTTCTACGAGATCGTTTGAGTCATTGTAATAGCCGTATAAACAATATGTCTTTAGATAATCTGCGCACTTGTCTATATGATCATAATTTAAATCAATTGGGAAACACTACCGTATTAAAACGTCGTTTACAAGAGTTTGTGCGACGGGCACGTGTAGCACAATCAATTGATCACAATATTGAAATCCAAATCAGTGATGATGATGGAGATGAGAATAACGGTTGCAGCTACGGCGGTCATGATAGTACTGTTCTTGGCGAAGTGAATCTAAACTCTCAAATAATTAACAACTGTAGGAATGATAGACACAGACTGAGGAACCCATCAGTTACAACGACGACAAAACTACAAAAACCAGTTATATTGACACCAGATACATTCTATGACTACTTGTTAATTATTGACCTGGAAGCTACTTGTGAATCAAAAGAGAAGTTAACCACTGACGCCGATTATCCACATGAAATCATTGAATTTCCCATATTACTATATAGTACAAGGTTACGCAAGTGTGTCAGTGTATTTCATGCTTATTGTAAGCCAAGATTACACCCAGACCTTAGTGAATTTTGTACAGATCTAACACAGATTCAACAAATCCAAGTAGATAACGCTCAACCGTTTCCCTACGTTTTATTACAGATTGAAGAATGGCTGTTCAAAAGACATAAACTGGCCAACAAGAGATGTGCCATTGTATGTGATTGTAGTGCAGATATGAGTAAATTTATGCGTATTCAATGTCGTCTGTCTAATATATCTATGCCTAGTTGGGTCAATATATGGATTAACTTGACCAAATCATTTCGCGCTTTCTATAAGTTTCCACCACGTTATCGTATAACATTGAATGTTATGTTACATGATTTGGGTTTATCTTTTGTTGGCCAGCGACATCGTGGTTTAGATGATGCTATTAATATACTACGTATCGTACGTGTATTATTATCTGATGGGTGTTCGCTACGTGTAAATGAACGTATTGATTTTGACAGACCTCCTTCTTTTGTCTCCTCTGTACCAAGACATATGACGCAGGTCACATCAGGTTTAATGGGGAGCAAACTGGTTTTACTATCACCATCTCCAAGAAAAAACAAACCGAAGAGTTCCGAGATTAGTCGTCACAATCGTACTGTTGGAAACAAACACGTAACTCCAAGTGATCTTGACGACAACAATCGAGAATCGTTATTATGGTTAGCCAATGTTCAGAAAACTCGGATAAACAGAGATAATTAAGCATGTTCAGATCTTCATATTTCATATACGCCCTCTTTCAATATTTAGCGTAATAGTTGTCGTCTTTTTATCAGTAACATTTGTTTCTATTTTAATGCATAACTAATGTGTCCTACTGTATGCTTATTTTGACTGTTTTCTATTATTTGAATACTATAAATCTGCTGCACAGAAATATATGCAGTTGGAAGTTAGCAAATTGACCAGAAACTAAGTAACTTATTCGGTTGGATTATTTGCCTCTAAATATTTTAAAAAAAGTAATTATGTGGAGATTTATTTTTCATGTACGTTTATGATTTCTCTCCCTAATTTTATGTTTTATTTTCAGCTTCTTACCAAAAAGCCTGTATGATTGATTGCCTCAGCTGAAAGGGAGTGATGATAATGAAATAGTTAACCAAACTTTTATTATTTGTTTTTCTGCTTTCTATCAGTTTCCTTTTGACGTTATATGAAAACGATGTGTAATCCTCATTATTTTTGTGGTCTTAAAAAAATTTCAGGTTTTATTGTGCACACAAAAATTTTGTGATAGCCTATAGATTAATGCCACAAAATCCTTTCTTCCTATGCTCCTTATCTGTATGTATTAGCTTCTTTTATTTAGAACTTTTTGTTCAAATATTTTTATTATGGACTGATGCGATGTAATATAGAGTAATTGAATTATCTACTTGTCAGAATAATCATGACTGTTTACTGATACGTTTTCTTTGACTGTACCTATCACAAATGGTAATTCAATTGTACATATTTCCGATTTTCTTTAGTAGTATGTCCTTTACTCATCAAGTGAACAGTTATAAATCACTAGGTGGGTTTTACTTCAAGGTTGGGAGAATTCCGTTGTGATGAGATACATTTTCTCATATTTCGGGTCACGACTTCAGCTAACGATATTATTTCTGATTAAATATAAGCCTTACAATCGTCTAATTAGTATTGTATTGTACGAGGCATCATACAATTTAATATATGGTAGTGAGAGTAAAATGTGATTGGTCGCTGAGCGTGGACAAACAGGCACTTAGCCTGATTGACTTAGATATGTGGTTCCCTTTCCTCCCATTGATTCCTACTCAAGACTTACTGAGTTCCATTGCTTGTAACTATGCTGAGTAAATTACTGTCTAATGTTATTCGAGGTCATGAATCCTTGATCTGATATAACGTATTATCGTAGTGTATCTAGGGTGATAAACATACTTTAAACCATTCGTTATATCACAATTCAGAGAATATGTCGATTTAAGTTGTTAAAGCGAAAAAAAGGAAAATCCTAGGGGTACAGATACTAATAATGGTAAATTACCAAAAAAGAGTAGATGCGAAATCACTCTGAGACGGAATGATAAGACGTTTACGGCTGAAAAATGAAGATATCGCACCTAATATGGTTGAGTTCTAGTCATATTGCACTAATTATGACTCGCAAATCTGTATCCAAATTACCTTGAAAACATTAGCTTTAAGATTAACGGAATTGTGATGATGCAGAATTTTAGTTTGATCACCTTACTTCGTTCTGGACCAGATTCATATGTCCATGAGTTATGTGTTTGTGTAAAGTATCCAAACTATGTCAATTGATTAATATTAACAGCTATGTTGCATATATTCTTCGGATACGTGTATTATCGAATAGCTTTACTGTATAGATATTTCCAACTTTTAGAAACGACGCTTCAATCTTTGAATAGACTTAGTTTTAAATGAGTGGTAAAACCAGTTCACTTAAGAAATGGATATGCAGCTACGTATAGTGAAAGCCAGAACGGTTTAGGCGAATCTTTCCAGAACCTCTCGATGTTAGTCTTGCCGTTGAAGATCGAATTTATGACGAGTCAATGAGCTGTTTTGTTCTATGCTTGAAAAATCTGGCCTCAGAGTTGAGAATGACAAGCGACTTTCTGTGTTTGGTCATCGTTTTCTCCGAACGATTGCTGACATTCAATTACAACACCATGTTAGTAATGTGAAGATTCGGTAACGTGTGTTCGAACGGAATGACGATAATTCAATTGATGTCATTGGTGCATCCGAAGAAGATTAATTTATGGGTAACTTACGAGAACTATTTATAGACTGTTATTATACATATATTCTTACTGTATAACTGTCAAGTAACTATTTTATTTAATCACATATATATTGATACAAAGGGCACCGGATACATATGCGCCACACAAAATAATGAGAATGGGAGGAGAAGGAAGAAGATGCGTATATATAAAAGAAGGAAAAAAGAAAAGGAGAAGAGTAATGATGGGGGAACTGAAATGTACAACCAGAAGGGCTCTCTCAGTTAGGAAAGTTATATTTATTTATTTATTTAAACACAAATATTGGTACAAGGAAGCACCAGATAAATATGCACCTCACAAATTTCATTCGATTTGTGTGAGGGCTGTAATACTGCCCAGACTGAAGCAGGTGGTTTTCTTAAAGGGCCACACCCGGAGCCTTTGACCTAAAGGTCTAGTCCACAAGGCAGTGGAGCATCGTAAGGAGATGCAGCCCATGGTAGCCGGTGACCAACGATTGGTTCATTTGCCATTTGTTCCCTCAGGATGCTGGAGCCCATGTGCACCATTGGTTTGGAATCATGGTTTTCCAACTCCCCTAGGTGAACTTTCCATGTCCACCAACCAGTTTAAAGCGACGGACATTCGCTTTTCATCCTCTCAATTCCGTAAAAAACACCGGTGCCACGAGAAAACAGTGAGTAGAACTTCCCTAGCAGAGGCTATATATTCGCGTGGCCATGTGAGAGCATTTCGAGAGGGAGAGCGGACTCTCCACACTCTCGGCCGTACCAGGGCATTTGGGGGCCACCCATCATTTAAGCATCTTCGAAAACAACAAGCTTTATTCTTTAAGTGTTTGTTGAATATTTGTTGATTTGTAACAATTCTGAAATTGCTTGTGGATAGGTTTGAAGAATAAATTTTCCACAGATCTTTTATGTTATAAATATGTGTAATGAATTTCAGTTATCATGGTGATTTGCATGATATCAATTAACTTAACACTACCATATAATCACATTGATGCTTCTCGCCAGGATCGATCAATCATTACACAAGAAAAAATTCTCATAAACTTCACCATTTAGTCAATCTACCTATAAAAACAATAAGGAGTGTTTACTTTTAATAAAAATATATAATTTAACGATAACAATAGTAGGAGACAGTTGTTCACTAAAGTGGCTTAGTAATTTAGGGGTACAACTTTCAGTCAATGTAGGCAAGTCCCAGGTTTGAATATTGCTCCACTTTGATTTGAGAAACCGCGTAGTGTCATTAGCCCTCATAACTCGAATATGGTTCATGGTCAAGTACCTAATCGAGTCAGTGAATTTAGAATTAAAAATGTTCACTTTCAAACACTAAACCTCCATCTTCTCATCATTTCAGTTGAATAGTGATGTTTTTCTGCTCATATATTTCATGTTAAATACATCAACTACATATAGATTGCACATGACACAATGAACCTGACCATAAAGGGTATGATGATTAGTGGGTTTGAAGGTGAAATAACCAAACGCCATATTTGGCAAATAACTTACACAAAGAATCCAACACAAAACATAACAAATATGACTATAGAGTTTCATGAATTACTGTTGCAAAATTCAAGAGATAAAACCTACAGTTGATTATTAATTGGTTGAATGTAAGTTAGTGTACGTGCATCTATAAACTGTTTCATAAGATAAGGAAATTTCTGCTCAACGAAGAAATAGAAGCATAATTCTCTGAAACAAACAGACTAAACGACTATGATGAAATCTGATGTGAGAGAGGATAGAAATATTTATATGTACGTTATTATATTAAGTCATTGGATAATCAAATATCATGAAATAAAGCTACTCATTTCCATGTGATTCATACATACACAAATAAATATTGGGAATTTTATTGTGCTGATTTCAAATTAATGGATGTACAAAACACTTAATACTGGTATATATTTCACTGGTTAAATAACAAGTGTTGTGATGGCTGTAAGAAAAAGGAACAAACGTATTTCATCTACTCTGTATGATATTGTTGCTGTCCTCAATCAATAATAATCTACATTTTGTCTTAGAATGATATTTCGTCATTGTTATTAAACGAAATACCACAGAATTGGAGCATAGAACAGAGAGAGAAGGAAAGAGGTGAGGAGTAAATAGAGAAAAGCAAGTCATTTGACAGAATAGCCCAGATTTATGTACAATAAGATTCAGTTACTTGGATCGATTGGTTGAGGTGGAGGCCAGTTATTAATCAGATGACGTAACGGACGATAAGTAGAAGTGGTAATTGGTTTGTAGTTGTGATTTTTGGTATAGTAATCAGAACTGGGAACAGAACCAACTGTAACGAAATGAAAAGAAAAAACATTTTAGAAAAAGTGCAGAAAGGTGAGAAGGGCAAGGGAAAAAAATTAAACAAGTAAACCAACTTCATTAATCAAGAAAATTGGGAAAAAAGTGAACTGGTAAAGGGTTGATATATATATCGTTGACAGTGCAATCTTACTTTTAATCGACAATTTGATCAGCTGCATTACTAATATCATTGGGTTAAACTGTTTATCATTCATTTGGAAAAGGTCTTGGGTTCCTGCCGTATTATCGATCAGCGCTAATAACTAGACAAATAATTTGATGCTAATAGTCAGTGACCAACACAATTAGGAATATCTGCTTTGCAAGAGGTCATTTGGAGCACAAATAGCTTAGTAGTAACATATCAGGCTGGTTGATGTGGGTTCGAGGCCTACAGGGAGTATCGATTCCCTCAAAATTAAGGGTACGCCATGATGACGAGTGACAGCTGGCAAGAAACCTAGATTTAGAGTGTCTCCCACCGATTACCTACAATCATCTAACATTTACTTCATCTTCAGTGCTTTATTTTGCTCTTTAAAGAATCAATAACTTTAAACGTCAAGGAATGAAAACCGTTTACCATGTGATATTGTTGAAATGAGGCTATTTTCTCTAGTATTTTTTTGAATTTTCTCTTTTAAAAGAAATAACTTTAACCACTATAGTATACTATAGAATCTACCATTTAATATCGACTTAATCTAATTTAACACAGAGATATCAATAATGATAGTATATTAGTGTAACACATTTCCTACCTATACAAGTTTGAAGGGTTAGGGTATGGTGATACTGTTATTTACTTGTTGGGGATGTCAAATCCCCAGAACTTACTTGGTAAATGACCTAATCTTGTAGTTTTATTTTGAAAATTTGAATTTAGCTGTTTTCGCGCCAAAAGCGCTCTTTTACCTTCACGTCATATTTCCCACCTGTAAACTATCTTAACCGCTATTGGTCCTTTGTTTCTTTATGTGTGCTATTTACTAATGGTGCTCAAGGACAATTTGTTACTGTATAAATGCGCTTGACTTTTTCCCTTATTTGATTGCTTGTACTCGGCTGCTTACGGAATACATATATATTCCCCTACTTGCCTTGGACTTCTTCATCTAGTTAGCGGGGCCTGGGACAACAGATTAGAATAGCTTATCGTGTCATTGTGTCATTGGCTTTCGTTCGTTACCGCGGAATCGATTTAGTTTCAGGCATAACAATTGGCGACGGGGGTTCGGAAACATGGATCCTTCTAAACTCGAATCATTACTTGAACAGCAGCTGAAGCAATTCCACATTGGTCATCCAGGCATAAAGCGTATGAAATCCATCGCCAGAAGCTATGCTTACTGGCCCCTCATGGACCAGCATATCGTGGATCTAGTAAACAAATGTGCTCAGTGTCAACAAGCTGCAAAGTCCAATGCGAAGGTACCGCCGGTCCCATGGCCACAGCCTGAGCATCCCTGGTCTAGGATACATATCGACTTTGCCGGTCCAGTCAACGGAACCACATATCTTGTCGTGGTCGACGCCTTCTCAAAATGGCCGGAGATTGTTCCCGTCACTCCACCAACGACCACCCAGACTCTGAAACAATTGACTGAGTTGTTCGCACGAAACGGATTACCGGAAGTGATTGTATCCGACAACGGTTCGCAGTTCGCCTCGGCGCAGTTCCAAGAGTTCTGCAAACGCCTAACCATCAGGCATCTTCGCGCCCCACCTTACCACCCACAATCGAATGGGCAAGCGGAAAGGTTCGTGGATACGTTCAAGAGGGCTCTGATTAAGTCAAAAGGGGAGGGGACGCCAGTGGAAACACTGCAGAATTTTTTATTTGCCTACAGAACGACCCCCAACGACACGCTGCCGGAGCAGAAGTCCCCCGCAGAGATCCTCATGGGAAGACGGCTGAGGACCATTCACAACTTGATGCTGCCGAAATCCACACCACCACTAATACAAACCACGTCCCGGAAGCTACCCACGTACAACGTTGGATGCCCAGTATTCGCTCGGGACTACAGAGCAAATCGTGACCCTTGGATCGAAGCACGTGTGGTTAGACGGATGGGAGAAGTCATGTATGAGGTTGAGGTAGGAACGGACAGATGGACCAGACATCGAAATCAACTACGCAAGCGGTTAACACCAGAGCGCCCATCGACCGAAGTAAAGATTCCGCTGGACGTACTATTGGATACATTTAATCTGCCGGCAGTCCCAACGCATGAAGAAGATCAAAAGGTCGATCTACGGTCCCGAAGATGGTCACTGCGCCAACGGCGACAGACAGTTAGAATGCAGGTGGACCCAAAGAATGTCCGTTACTAAAAAGGGGAGGTGTTGGGGATGTCAAATCCCCAGAACTTACTTGGTAAATGACCTAATCTTGTAGTTTTATTTTGAAAATTTGAATTTAGCTGTTTTCGCGCCAAAAGCGCTCTTTTACCTTCACGTCATATTTCCCACCTGTAAACTATCTTAACCGCTATTGGTCCTTTGTTTCTTTATGTGTGCTATTTACTAATGGTGCTCAAGGACAATTTGTTACTGTATAAATGCGCTTGACTTTTTCCCTTATTTGATTGCTTGTACTCGGCTGCTTACGGAATACATATATATTCCCCTACTTGCCTTGGACTTCTTCATCTAGTTAGCGGGGCCTGGGACAACAGATTAGAATAGCTTATCGTGTCATTGTGTCATTGGCTTTCGTTCGTTACCGCGGAATCGATTTAGTTTCAGGCATAACATTACTCTACTATTCCAGGATTTGATCTAACAATTTTATCTCGTTCTGCTAATAAGATGTGATAAATTGGACTGATGTACATAAGTACCAAGTTCTACGTTGTGGCTTGCTGACTTTTTATCGTTGGCAATGTAAGCGGTTTATGAATTATACTACATGACTGGTTAAATCAAAGTAAATAGAGTATCAAATGTTTGAATGATTCACTAAAACTCAGTTGAAGTACAGTAACCAATACAACTGCCAATCTGAATCATGTAAACAAAGGTTTAAATAAGTGATTTTTAGTTAATTCAATAGATATCCAAGTAATTAATGATAATCTATAATGAAAGCTTATGACTAAATGACATGAAGAGGCAATCCACTCAGGAATCTCATATAACAATCAGAAATGAAAAACCCTTAGTACTAATTATATCGCCATGAACGAAGATTTGATGGGATAACCAATTTATTGTTTATTGTAAAATCACACAGTGAGTTATTTAAATGTGAAAATCACACATCATCTGCATATCTTCATTTAATCGTCTCTTACAAGCTCCATTGTCCCTTCATTCCTACTGTTATCTTGATAGCTTTCAGTTTACTTCTCTCCATTTCAATCTTCTTAACCTTCTGCTAGCAGACATTCCACTTCTGATTGGTGCCAGGTACTACTTATATCTGTCAAAACAAATAACATACACCACGATATTACTACTGTTAAAAAATAGTATTGTTGTTACTATTATTACTAGAAAATTATTTTTCGTTATTAATGAAACTATTATCCTGAATTTAACTTAGTTAACATGGGATTCGATGAATGTGAGAATTTACCATTAATACTGTAAACATGACTAATACTATCAGTAGTAGTAACATAAATAGGTGTTGTTTTCGTTGTTAATTTATTGACAGTTAAAAATAATGATGAAGATGAAAATTTCACGGGATAATTCGATTCTAACTGTTCAAGGACACTTACTAAACATCCGATTATGGGATTTTGGGCATTTTATTTGTAAATGATTCCATTCACTTTTCATATTTTCATTGTTATTCGACGATAATGAACTATGAACAGACTTTGATGAAATTACAGATTGATTAAAAATTTGAGGAATGACGACTGATTGTGAATCATGAGTACGATTTGCTTTAGAAGATAAATTTGAGGAACTAGTGAAGAGTGAACATGAATTCGTTATAGTGTAATGATTAGTTATAGTAGTAGTATTACTAGTAGTACTAATAGAATTCGATGAATTGGAAGTAACAGTATTATCTATACAAGAATCATAATTCATAATCCAACTATTATCAGGTCGAAGACGCGCTGATGTACGAGATGATCGAGTAGAATGTGAACGTTCTGGTAATACGACAATAGTATGATTTGTTGTAACATTTTGATTAGTGTTTAGCATGAATAAATCGGGATAAGATGATTTCCTTCGTTCAGTCAATGCCATTTTTATATATGACAAAGGAATAAAACTAATTTCCATTAAATCATTACTATTATCATTTATGGATTTATTAATACAATCATTTGGTGACATATATTGATGTTTAGTGGTTGACTGTTTCATTAAATCACATTGATGAGGATAAGATAAAAATGTAGCATTTGATACATCATTTCTAGTGGTCAATATGTTAGTAGTAGTGGTCGTAGTGTTAGAATTGCTACATATAAATTGATTCTTTCTCCATTTCAATGTAGGAGTAAATGTGGATTCGTATGATGTTAGTATTTTTTCTTTTTTACCTTGACTCACTGAAGTCATCAATAAATTGGATTCTAAAAAAATTCAACAGAAATAACAAGCATGGGAGAGACAGGGAAACGATAAGTCTTTTCACTATTAATGAAAATATAACATTGTTTTTGTATAAATACCATGTAACTGATTAACATCAATTACAGGCGTTATATATTCGACTACTTTTTGTTCGCCCGCCTAATTGTACTCTATTTATTTAGCTGGAATGAAGTGGACAAAAAGACGAAGGGTTCTAGCTTATGATTTGATGGATTGGAGCCGGCAGCTTTAACCAATAGGCTATCATCGTTGCAGAAAATGCATCTAAATTATTTTAATTGATATTTGTTATGTCTTGCACAACATATTTATGTTACTATTGATATGGTTTTTGATTATGTCTGTGAAATAATTGCTTCCTTCTAATTGTTCAACTGAACAAGACTGAAATGGCTCGATGAAATGAATAAAGCAAGGCTATTGATGAAGATGTATCTACGTATTTTCCTCATTCCTATACAAATTTCCCACTTTTGATTTGGGTCCGATTGAGCAGAGTTTTTTGGAAGATGCGAGGGTGGCGGAGGCGGATGTCAACATAAAAATTGATTATCCTTCTTAAAATTAAACATTGAGGTTTATTTGTACTGAGCATAGTATTCAATATCATTTGGTTTATGGATAAAATTAGCAATGAGGCCTATAGTGATATGTATATTCAATGATTTTTGTAATTTCAAAATAAAGACTACACTTTTTCCTTATTCGTGACACCGTATATGTAATCACATTTATATTCAATATCTTTTGCTTTGCTGTATCAATGGTAAAAATCAGATATGGTTGTACTAATACTAATATACACTACCTCTGTTATTAAAATAAACGCTATCTCTATCGTCTGTTCTTTTATTTTATTGGCCACGGCATGTGAATGGAGGTTGTAGTTGTGTTATAACATCCTTTTAGACCGTTCTACATTGCGCCGGAGTTTTGAATAATACTGTTGGATTTAATCTTTCTCATCACGTCGTTGGAGCCACCACGTGCAGAAGAACCTTCGTTAATCAAGTGAACTCATATGTGGTTGTTACTTAGAAGGAGATTACAAGTAACATTTATTTCATAACAACTGTTATCACTTTTTTATTTAATATACCATTTTGTTGTGAGTGCTACTTGTTACCGTTGTGTTTTACTCAGAAACAGGCACTTTGGCTTGTAGTGTTCATATTTTTTTGGTATTACATAATTAACTGTGACTAAAGTTATATTTTTACTAAGCTCTTTTACTGGGGTTTACCATAGGCGGATTAAACTAGGGGACTTCATTAGGTGGTACATTCTATTCTTCGATGAATAGGTAAGGGTTATTATTACTACTACTCTGGGATTTTTCTGTCCTAATAAAGTGTAGCAACTTGAACCGACGAACATATACGGTGAATTCTACGTTGCTATGTATGATTGACTGGGCTGAAGGCGATTGGATAACGAAGTTTATAGATGAATGATAGAAATAAGTAAACTATACATACCTTTACTGGACATTTAAATAATTTTGTACATAACTCAGTATAGACTCGTTATCGTAACAAACTATTAAGAAAATATTTCATGGTGCAATTTGATTAATATACCTGAATGCCTACGAGGGAAGTGGTGATTAGAACGGATCAAAAGGGTAATAACTAATAAGGGTTAATAACTAGATTATCAGTATGCAACAGCTTTTTATCGAATCCTTTTTCTCCGAAACACAAGGTCAATTCTATTTCATTGTGAGAATCAATCGTAAGGTCTAGATTTAATACAATCTAAGTTAGATATTAAAAAAAGACAATTTTGATATACAATAATATTTTCGGTTAATACTAGTAGTATTTTGTGTATATAATAAGTAACATGCAACATACAGAGGGAGTATGCCTTAGGATTCGTTTTACAAGTTACAAGTAATTGAAGGGAGGAAACAGTGTTTTGAGACAATAAGTTGAATAAGTATAGTGTTTGAATCCTGTTACCAATAGTATGGGATCAATGAAGCTCAGAATTACAAGGTATATATTTCTGTACTCGACTTTGAAACAACATTCGTGATTGTCACGGCTAACAGAGGGTATATATTGTGAACTATGTGGATACGGAAGTGATGAGATTGGTGTGGTTAAATGATGATTCTCCAACCCAGACTATTGATACAAGTTGGAAATGAATGGATATTGAGAGACGGAATAACCGATCATCCAAGATATCCCATTTTATATGGTAAAAATTAATATACATATGAAATGTTTAAAACAAAATACATGAATGAAGTCCTTTGGGAACGTGATTGTCGAATTTAAGTTTCATAGGTTGTTCATCAGCCATCACAATTAGGATCTAACTGTAAGTCTCAGTTATCGTCCGTTACCATATCAAGGTAAATGAAGTAGGTATTAAATCTAGGACCTAATGGGCGAAAGTCAAGTGTTGTAATGACTGATCTATTGTGTTGCAGTGTTGGAAGATTAAATATATAAAGACATCAATATGCTGTTTATTCCACTGACATAATTTACATGCTTTTATTAACAGTGATCGAAGATAAGTAGGTGGTATATTCACACAAAATAGAATAAAAATTTTAAGAAATAGGGGAGGTAAAGGTTATACAGTAAATTCGTTAGAACCAAGCATAGAATGAATGAAATTATGCACTTCCAGTAAGAACACAACCAAAATAGGCGTCATTCAGGTAGAAGAGATGAATAAGAGCAAACAGTTCCAGCAGGGTAAGTCAACTCTGAATGAATACACGTATGTACTAGATTCAGTACTGCTAGTGACTAAATGACTGGAATAGAGTTAACTACTGACTACTATTCTAGACTATAATTAAAGTTACTACATTGCAGAGATAACAAGCACGGTTGCTAAAATCAATATGTCATGCTTTACTGAGGGGCACGGATATCGAAGGATGACAATTGGATAATAACGGCGAAGAATTGTTATTTGGCGTAAAACAGTTATTTATGAACATTTTTGACCAACCCAGAATTATAATGCAAAGAATGTCTCCATAATTTGTGCTGGTAGGGTATTATTTATTTATTTAAACACATATATATTGGTACAAAAGGGCACCAGGTACATATGCGCCACACAAAATAATGAAAGTAGGAAGAGAAGGGATGAAAAGATAACGCGGACTAAAATGTACAACCAGAAGACTCTTTCAGTTAGGAAAGTTAGAACCACTCTTTATGCAGAAAGTAAAAGAAGGTTGCAGCAGGATCGCCACTGGCTTCTATTCTGAGCCATATCTGATAACGTCTGTAGCCACTGTGTTGCACTATCTCTCGGACCCCAACCAGGGAGTCGTGAAGGACCAACAGAAGCTATCCCTTTGCAGCTTTCTTTCATGCCACGACACCATGTCATACACTGACCTCCTCTCCGCTTTTTCCAACCAGTCCCAGGGTCGGCAAATAATGCACGACGTGGAAGTCTCTGGGACGACATTCGTAAAACATGTCCAAGCCACCGAAGTCGGTGTTTCAAGATGGTGACACCAATTGAATTATCGTCTCTGCGCCCGAACACACGATGCCGAACCTCTGCATTACTAACATGGTGTTGCCACTGAATGTCAGCAATCCTTCGGAGACAACGATGATCGAACACAGAGAGACGTCTAACATCCTCAACTCGGAGAGGCCAGGTTTCACAAGCATAGAGCAAAACTGCTCTCACCGACGCGTTGTAAATCCGACCTTTTACAGCCAGGCTAACATCACGAAGGCGCCAAAGATGGCCCAGATTGGCATAAGCCGATCTGGCTTTCATTATACGTGCATCAATCTCATCACTCACGCCACCACCAGCACTTATATAGCTACCTAGATACACGAACTTTTTAACTACTTCGAACTCCTCACCATCCAGGGTGAGTACAGGATGAGAATCCTGCCAGTCTTGTAGGAGTACCTTGCACTTGGAGGGTGCAAAGCACATGCCGTACCTGCGGACACTGCCAACTGATTAAGTGCTGATTGCATGCCTTGGGCATTATCGCACAGTAAGACAATATCATCCGCATACTCAAGGTCGAGAAGTCGTTCTCCAGGCAACATATCCACACCGCCATTACTTACATCCATCAGAGCTGTTTCCAGGATGTCGTCGATGGCAAAGTTGAAGAGGAATGGTGAGATCGGGCAACCCTGCCATACCCCACTGCTCGAATGGAACAAGGGAGAAAGGTGGTTGTATGCCCTCACTCTGCCTGAGGTGTTCGTATACAGGGCCTTTAAGATGTTAATGAACTTCTCAGGCACACCCTTCTTCAATAGACAATCCCAGAGAACAGTCCTGTCCAACGAATCGAAGGCAGCCCTGATATCAAGAAACACTACGATTGTTGGCCTGCGATAAGTATGACGGTGTTCTAACATTTGGCGGAGGGTGAAGATGTGATCAATGCATCCTCGACCAGAACGAAAACCAGCCTGCTCCTCGCGAGTCAATCGTTCTCGGGTTTTAAACAACCTACGAAGAATGATAGAAGCCAATAGTTTGGACGCAATCGAAAGTAGACTTATCCCCCGGTAGTTATTACAGGAACAACGTGAACCCTTTTTAAAGATAGGGACGACTATTGACTCATTCCAAGATGTTGGAACACTTTCATGCTCCCAAACCTTTCCAAACAACGCAGTCAGTTCCTTAGCCAGAAAGTCACCACCATCTTTAAAAAGAGCCGGAGGTCAGTCATCTGGGCCAGGTGATTTATAACGTTTCAAGAGTTGGAGTTCTTTGAGGACTTCCGCCTCGTTTGGTGGATCAGTCGTCACCGGCCATGGGGGGCAGGACAAACTGGTTGATGTTGCCGGAGCAGCAGGTCAGTTGAACTGCCCTTCGAAAAATTCCGCCCATCGTTCAAGACGTCGACAGATGTTAGTGATTGGCATCCCATCATCCTCGTAGATTGTTTCACTCACACCAGGCTTCCCGGTCCTTACGCAAGCTTTGCCCGATTTCATTACGTAACAGCCTTCGTTTGTGGTCAAACTCACGGTCACCCGGAGTAGACCGACGGGCTTCCATCAGTTGTAAGGAGCCAGAAGAGACCCAGTGCTTGTAAGCGGGACGTTTCGCGAAGCCGCAAGCGGCTTTACTCGCCATTTTCATGGCGTCGTGAAGATGCAACCAATGCTCATTTATACTTTTCGGTGGGGTGGTAGCTAGCCTAGAGGCTAGCTATGCTCGATACTTAATTGCAACAGAAGTTGCAGCCAGTTTACTAATATCAATCCGTTGGTGGTGGTCAATCCTTCGGCCAATGAAAAGTAAGGTGAGATTGGCGCAGACCAGGGCATGATCAGACTCCAGATAGGTACTCCAAAAGGAGCGGCAGTCTTGTACACAACCACGCCAGCGGTAGCTGATCGCGATGTGGTCAATCTGAGTTCAGGCTTGAGATGCAGAGGGAGGACGCCAGGTGGAACACCGGCGATGACTGTGCCGGAAGTTAGTGCTGGCCAGAAACAGGTTGTGGTCTGTGCACAGTTGCAGCAAACGGTCCCCGTTATCTGTCCGGCGACCAACAAGTCCCCATCGGCCACCTAGACGACTCTCTTCTGTGCCTAGACGCCCGACCTGTGCATTCAAGTCTCCGGCTAGTACTACAATATCTGTCGAACGCGCTTTCTGGAGAAGAACTGTTAACTGGTGGTAAAACTCATCCTTCATTGTATCCAGGCTGCAATCTGTCGGGGCATAGGCGGAGATGACGAAAAGACACCGTTTCTCACGCCGGTTTCTTCTCAATTTGATGGAACTTTCTAATCTAACAGCACATAACCGACTGTTAATGGGGATCCAATCGATTAGTGCTGCCTCAGCTCTAGCGCTTAGTGCGACACCAACGCCATCAAGACCAGACGAAGATGCCACAGGGTCCCCGGATAAGCGCAAGTGGAACAAGCTCTTCGAGGCGACAGATGGAGAGCGGATTTGTAGTACTTCACTAGAGTCTTGAATACGGGTCTCGGATAGACAACAAACATCAACATTAAGACCTTCCAAAGACATAGCCAGCCCTATCTGTTGTCTGATATGCATTAGTGTGCGAACGTTGAAGGAAGCCAGCTTGAACGGCGTACGTGGTTTCAGAAAGACTGCTTCAGTATTCATTATCGGTGGAAGCATTCACTTTCAACCAGACAGTGACTGGAGATCGTTTAGATAGGACAGATTTTCCACCATGGGCGAGCTGCTGCATAAGTTGAAAAGTAACGTTACACAAATTGGGGATAAAAGGGGGTGAGTTAGCGATATGGTGAATAATAATAATAATAATAATAATAATAATAATAATAATAATAATAATAATGTTAATTGTCTTGCTTTTAGTATGAGCAGGGATATTATCGTAAATAGAGTTCATCATTTCATTCATTTGTTTGTGTGTGGGCTGTGATACTGCCCGGGTGCCCAAACCGAAGCAGGTGGTTTTCTTAGGGGACCACACCCGGAGCCTTTGACCTAAAGGTCTGATCCACAAGGCAGTGGAGCATCGTGAGGAGATGCAGTCCCATGGTTGCCGTTGACCAATGACAGGTTCTTCCGCCATTCGTTCCATCAGGATACTGGAGCCCATGTGCACCATTGGTTTGGAATCAGGGTTTTCCAACTCCCCTACGTGGACCCTCCGTGTCCACCAATCCGGTTATAGCGCCGGACATTCGCTTTTCGTCCTCTCACTTTCGTAAACAACACCCCCGCCACGAGAAGGCAGTGAGTAGGACTTCCCTGGCAGAGGCTATATATTCGCTGGCCATGTGAGAGCATTTCGAGAGGGAGAGTGGACTCTCCCCACTCTCGGCCGTACCAGGGCATTTGGGGGCGCTGGTAGGGTAATTGGAGCTCAATAAGGAAAAATAAATTATAAAGTAGAAAACTACTCAGATCATGGTGAGCAGTATGAGTATAAAATACTTTAGTCTTATCCTATGAAATATTTAGCAGGATAAACATAAAGATGTTAACGTTGACATGAAATTGTATAAAGATGTGAAAAAGCATCCTCCATACTTACCGGACAATCGGGATGACATATACAGTACATTAGATGATTTCCTATCTGAATATTTTGTGCGTTCATCATCTGTTATTGCTTCTATATCCACATGTTTCTTTCTTGTGACATATTTATCTATGTTCAATGAATTTACAATAATTGATGCGTGTAAAACTAGTTGACATGTAATCAATGGAATACAAATTGGTTCATACGGAATAATACAAAGTTTAGCATGTTTCGTAGACGGCATCATTTTTAATTCAGTTGCATAATCCCACGGCATAGATGACACAGTATCAGCATAATTCAACTGGTGAATGTGTTGTTGTTGTGGGTTACTGACAGATGTTATGGCACAAGGAGAAGTCGCAGCAATACGTAAAGACGGCGATGGTGATATAGCTTTTTGCAATTTATTAGTATTATTCAAAATGCAATGTCGATCTGAGCCATTAACATTTTCACATACATCTGGATGGCATTGGCGTAAACAATGAGAATCTTTTGCTACAATCGTACTATTTACAACACCTAACAGACAAATAAATAGACATAAACTTGGTTATAGAGTTTTGTCTGCCAGAAGATAATAAATATCTTAATATGTGAACTTCACGTTATTTTAGACTCAATTTACAACCTGATTATCGTCCGGTCAAACAAAAATCATTGTCTTTTATAATTAGAAAAATAGAAGAGTACTTATCTGACAAGCTGTTGGATTACAATACTGTTTTCATTAGAAATACAAACTGCTAATTTATTGCATACAGTCTACTGGATCATAGACATATAACTTACATTTACGTAATATTATTATTTTGATGCTTAGATTGGTATATATACGTTTTATGCAAATATATAGTATTTTTCATACTAAGACGCGTTCAATCATCCATTCATGTCACCTGGTTAATATTTTTATTTATGATTCTATCAGGTTGTATACTAATGACAACGCAATACTTGTTGAATGTATTTTTCTAATGGATTGTATACGATTAGTAATACTGTATTGTGAAGTCAATTTACACTCATGCATCCTGCATGCAATAGATCACAATACTAACAATCATGTCCAAAATAATTATTTTGAAGTAACATAGAAACCATATCAATTTGGAAAGTGTAAACTTAAATTGTTTTATTATTTATCATGATAATGATGATTAATAGCTGGTGATTTGTGTCAACTTGATCATGCTAGCAAACTGGTGTGCATTCAGCATTAATTTCCAAGGTACATTGTTATTATAATAGTAATCGATTCACTGAATACAATACATATGATTGCAGTAAGGAGTTCGCAGTGCAAAATATGCATTATTATGAAAACAATCTTCTTGAATGAAACAATTTCCATTAGAATTTAATCATTTTTTCTTTTACTTTTCATATGACGGACAAAAACTACAATTTATTTACTAATTCCACATTCATTTTTTCATTTAAATGACGTAGTAATTAACTTCACGGTACGTTGTTAATGTTGTATTAAAAAACAAACATAAAATACTTGGGTACTTTAAGCGTTTGACATATATATTTAATTATGATCAGAAAGGGGGTTTGTGGAGATCGCAGATGTGCACGGCTTAGGGGTCCCATAGTAGGACGAAATGGCCGTCCAGTGCTTCCAAGTTTTCCATGTTGGTCAAATTTAGATCGACTGATGAATTCAACTATTAAGATATATATATATATATATATATATATATATATATATATATATAATTACTTATTTTAATTTAATAAAAACATCATTCAAAGATAGAAACATTTATCTTAAGATTTGTACAAATAGAAAATCAGTGGTCCGGAAGTTCAAACAGACTGGCCGTCGGTGATTATTATTATTATTATTGGAATAAGTAATTATTTAGAAGAATGTTAACTAGTGAATATATGTATTTTATTATTTATTTTATTTAAACACATAAATATTGGTACAAAGGGGCATCAGATATATTTGCGCCACATTAAGAATACATTAGGAAAATATCAAGAATATACTGTATACAGATTAGTTTTTTTCATTTAAAAAGAAGGTAATTACACTATAATAAACAACTGTTTCAGTAAAAACAGACTTTTATCTACTGCATTCCCTCATCATCAATAAAACTATGAAAAATAAAGCATATTATCAAATTAAATGGTTGTAGAATTTTCATTCAAGTATTAATTATCCTGATAAATAGTCATTGAAAATTCTGAAGTGATATAAAGTAATAATATAAAATAACTATTAGAAATTCATATTGTATAGATAATTATAAACATAAAAGAAAATAACTTAGTGATCTTTTAGAGTATATATAAAATTCTGTTAGCTAAACTAAAGAGTACCGCTGAACTAATCGGGAATGAGCAATCGACTTCAAGGTCACGGAGTGTATATCACTAGAGTGTCGTTTATTTAACAATATGGGAAACGTGAGTTTACGGTTTATCGTACGATGATGAATTTGAGTGAAGAAAACGCCGTAAAACATTTACAAATAGTTGGAATATCAGATAAAACACTAGTATGTGATTGAAAGAATAAAATAACGCTGAATGTATGTGCAGAAACAAGAAACACATTGAAATGTCATTATAATTTATGCAGAGTGAGAAAGTTAACTTGATAGAGCTAGGATGTCGGGTTTACAGTAAGAGTTAGAGTAAATTATCCATCCAAAATCAATATATTCTCGATAAATTCTTTCGTATCTCGTGAGAAATTATTCATTCGCTATTTTGTAATAAGTATCAAAGAAGTTGAAATAATTATATTATTGATGAAGAATAAATATTGCAGACTATTGGTTGGAAAGATTGAATTCCAGTGGTAAAAACATACAAGGTAAGGTTGAAGCTCAAGATTCAGAGGATGATAAAGAGAGAATTATCTACACTACTGTGACCAATTGCAAGTCATCCATATTAACCAACAGTGACAACGACTGGTTGAGGTTATATCAAGAACTCAACTAAGAAGTCTGTATCTATTAACATGGTTCAAACCAACAGTCAGTTAGGTCGCCTCTTAACTTTATTCCCAATAACCCAAACATCAGCAAACATCGTCAATCCTTAAAATTTAACTAACCTGAACTCTTCGCTTTATCATCGTTTGTATCATTAAAATACCAGAGAACTGGTCGATACATTTGTGATGGAGACAAAGATTTGACGACATTATCTAATGGTGATGATCCATTCAACAATAATTGATTATCCTCTTGTCGTTGTTGTTGCAATGATGATGGCGAATTTTGTTTTTGTTTATCCAGTTTTGAATTATTATTATTATTATTATTATTATTATTATTATTATTATTATTATTATTCAAAAGATAAATATTATTAGGAGTAGTAAATTTTGTTGTTAAATCGGGAATAACTGAATGTTTGAAGGCAGATAATTCAGTTTCTAAATTTAATGTACAATTACAATCACAATCTTGATGAATGATATTTGTAAGGTGATCATTACATTTAGACGAAGAGGAGGACTGTTGTGCTACTATCGGTGATGATAATGATGAAAGTGGAGTTGTTATTACGGTCGATGTTGAAGATGAAAAATTAGACAGAGAGGAAGAAAGTTGAGTAGTCGGTAAACATCCATCTGCAATTAAACTACTATTCATAACAGTACTATTATATGGATTTTGTTCTAATTTTTTACTGGTCATATTTACTTTCATGGTAGATGAAGATAAATTGTTATCCTGTTCATTTCCAGTTGACTTATTAATTAAAACATTTGGTGGACAATAATTTTGTTGGTTATCGACTGATTTGTACTCTGGGGATACCGTTTTAGTTGACTTGACTTCATTATTGTGAAATATAGGCTTATATCGGTTGGAGCTATATTAAATGGAAAAAAACAGAAAAGTGGAACAAAAAACGGGTGAGTCACTAAACATGAATTATGCGTTTTGAGATCACAAAATCAAATCAGTTCGTGATCCCAATGACATTCAACAATCTCTATAACCCCATATACTGATAATTATCGATTTATAAGTAGTGCTAGGAAGGCGTTAATTTACAATGGTTAGTCAATTATTAGTGGCTAGTATCATGTTTTCCTAGTTCTTTATTGTGTTGATCGAGTTTCATTGATCGATTTGCATTGTGGCAACTAGTATGGACTGCTTTTAGACATTGTGTGGTTGTACGTAGTTGTCAAGATACCCCCTATCCATTACCTTCAACTATCTATCCCCAAGGCCTCAATTCATCTATTTCTTTTATTAAAAAATTAAATTTTCTGACGAATAAGCAATTTTGTATCTTACAACTACCACACTGAAATTTTGGTTGTTTTCACTGCTTATTTGCTATTTAGGTACATGTTCATAAGATAATTGCTGTTAGTACATAGAAACAGAGGCAATGAAAGAAGAGTATTTATTCGACTAGATTTTATCACTGATTTCGTGCAAATTGGACAAATAGTAAATAGTTAACTGACATATGAAAAAGTTGACCATTTTATTTTTTTAAAGACATTGGAAAATATCTGCCAGTATAGACCGTTGTTTACAATTAAGTGTTCATAATATTAGATCATCAAAAGCGAGTTAATGCATCGTATTATCATCTTTATCCTGTATGTTCTATTTGCTTTGTCTGCACAAAGATATCCAACTGATTCTCTGATTAATTTACGAGTTATGAATCTATTTTCACGCTTCAATAATTACTGATGTCCATAAATTCATTCAATGTTAACGCAATAATCTGAAGTTGTAAGCTAGCTGTGAGACCTAAAAGTTCTAGGTTAGAATTCTAGTAGGGTGGTGGATGGGAGATGCTACGGAGTGTGATACTAGGATAATACAAATAGCTGTCCAGTGCTTTATGGTCTTCAATAGTTATTAAAATAAATTCAGTTCATAATGACAAACTGAAAAAAAAATTGGAAATTTGTTTAAATGAAGATCTAATTTATGTTTAGTATACTCATCAGTGGAAAATTCTACTGCATTCGTTATGGTTTAAATTAATCAGTACTTTAGCTAACCCTACATTGAATATTTCAGTATATTTGATGCGTTAATGTATTCACAGATGACAGAGAATAGGGATTAATTTTTCTAGGAATCATATATCATATATATCAATTTGAATTCTGTAGTTTTGTGAGAAACATGTGACAGTTAGAATGAATTTCTTCATTAGATTAGATACTGAAAGTAGATTTTGTATTGTAATCCAATACATATATATATATATATATATATATATATATATATATATGTAAACGACATAATACACGTATTGATGCACATACACAAACCAAACACAATAAATAGTAACCTATTTAACTGTTTTTTAAGAATAGTTTCAAGTAGAATAATAATCTATAATTTATATTTTAGGTAATATTTAAGATTCTTGAGATGAATTAAATTATAATGAAGAAATTTTCATTATTTTTCTAAACAATGAACACTTAACCATTGAATCATTCAGCTTAGTAAATTTAATCGTTATCAAAATTATTCTACTTTTGAATTATCATACTGTTTCTATCATTCCAAAATTTATATTCATCGTTTAATTAAAAATTAGGAAAGTCAGTCTTTACTCACATTTGTAATCTACTTCTACGATTAAATAATGGAATTTTTCAGTAGGAAAAAAGTGATTACATATTAATGATAAAATGATATAATAAGAAATATGTTTCATCCATATTAGAATCTTCTTATATTCCCCCACATTTATATCGTTGTCAGCATAATTAAAAGTTCATTTTTTGTATTGGTTGTTTGAATCTTTACATTGATGTTCAGGACTGCAATTGATCAGTCTCTTTATGCCTCCTAAACATCAATCGGGAGATTCAAATAACCAATAAGAAAATTAATTAAAACTTCACCCAATTGCATAAGCTAGTGATTATCTAAACTCAGCAGCTAAATAGATAACGCGATGGAGTTTGACGTGAGCAGTACTGGGTTCGAGTCCCGAAGTGAATATCAACTCTGGTGTGTATTTAAGCCCGGCTTTTTACCACATAATTTATTCACCAATCGAAATAGGAATTATCCTATCTTAGCACTGTGCCAAACCAATGACGTTTGACCGCTACGAGCAGCCTAGCGTCTTTATTGGTCCTTTGTCCGCCTAGCCTGTCCACTTAAGTCCAGAACACCAATACCAGCTCCTACTATGCGAATCATTTATTTCAAACATACTTGGTTTATATACCAGACAAACAGACCGCATCACACCATAAAATATAAAATAACATTTGTACAAGATCAATTCATAATGTGGCTGTCAACGTGAGAGACAGTAATCAATAAACTGAATACAATTTAGGAACAGTAAATTGTATAATAATAATTTATAGATCGAAATGAATTTTATAATAAGACGAATATAGATACACACAATCTAATTACTGAATAGTTATACAATAAGAATATTTATAGAATATTAGTCCATTAATAGATCCCAGAAGTTACTCCTACTTTAATCTTCACTAGGATATAACAAACTCTGGGACGCAGGTACATTCGGCTGACGAGTCCCAAACAGGACGAAGCGCGCGTCCTGGATTCCACTGCTAGCCACCATCAATTATTATTTATAAAACATAGAAGTGATGATAAAAACACTTTCAATTTGCTTTGTGAACACACTTCTCTACTTTCATCATAGATCTTCGAAATCAAGGGGGAGGCGAGGATGAGGAGATGGGGTAAAGATGAACGCGCTAATTTAGATGGTCGATATCAACTTATACTATACAACGGTAGACGTTAATTTTTCTGTGGTGATGCTAATATTTCTTGATCATATAAAACATATTATAATATTTCCGTCAAAGAGAAAAACACACAAAACATGTATAATAGTGAAAAAACAGATCAACACTTTTACCTTGCTTCTAATATACCCTGATAAGTGTGTAGTTCTCTCATAAAACCTGGATTAGGCTGTACACATGGACGACGAGCTTTTACGTAAGATAACGCAGTTTTTAAATCCCAATTATTTTCTTTCATAGCATATGCAATGACCTTTAGAAAAGAAAAACAGAATAGTTGATTTATAAAATGTGATAGCATAAAGTGGTAAGCTTGTTGCTTAACAGCTTATCAGTAATCAATAATTGTACTTGATTCGAATTAGCTTAATTTGGAACGAACTATAAGCTACGTTGTAGGCATTGATGGTCTGTACTCTAGGAAAGGATAATTACAAATGACAGGCAATTGGAAGTTTATCATACGTTCAAACCGTTATCCTTAAAAGTTAAAGATGGAATAAGAGAGAGAGATGTTGTTGCTGAACGACTAAATACTGTAAATTTCATCAAACACTTTTTCTTATCATAGATATGGTACAATCGACCGCCAGAAATTTTTGAATATACGTTTGATGCTGGTTGAGTACCACCAAGAAGACATCAGTACTGTGACATTCAAGAAAAGCATGACTCTTCTGACTAAAGTTTACTTTAGTGGTCTTTTAGCTTAATTATTTACACCGGAATCAATATCCTATAGTGTCTTAGTAATATAAACAAGTTACGCTTAAGGTTGTAGCGAGACATTGATCAATATCCATTAATCAAATCTTATAATATAATCAATCGGTAGCTCAAGACTGAAACACCTTCATCTTTGTGATGAACAAACCAAGTCTAATTCTTTAGGTGAGGTTCAATTTTCTTAGAGTTGTAGATAGATCATTTCAATGTATAGTTGTAAGGAAGCATGAGACATAGACTTTCAGAAAATATTTCATCTATTGTTTTTCACCTCCGATGGATATTAATGACATAGCATTCACTTATCAATTATTCGATAAACTTTCTTACATGTTTAAAAATGATCTTTAGACTGGTTTCAAATCTGATTGTGTGCATAGATATGTTTATTGACAAACAAACAAACTATCTCAATTGCTTACATACAACATTGTATTTACAAAAAACGATGGTGAGTGAAAAATAGCATAATTTTTTAAATTTTGGCTGTTCATACAAGAAAATTTGTCATGGTTATGAAAGTTTGAAACAAAAGTGAAAATAAATGGTTAGATTTGTTAACTTATCAAAACTAAAGGTTGTGTGAATTTTGTTTTGAAGACTTGGACATTTGACGTTTTTAAATTTTCAGTTTAGGGTTGTGGAGATTGAGATCATGAATGTGAAGCTTAATAGTTCACGTAGACCTAACTAGTTCTATACACCGACATAGAATTTGCATATGTTAAATAGTTGTATCCCTTGATTAAAGACAACTAAGGATTAAGGGCTAGAAAATTAAATACTGAACTATTGGAATATATAGAGCGTCGTAGATCGAGGCATTTTTCATTGAATTTTGAAGTCAACATGCAATGAAAACGTGCTTGGTCCTATACAAACTGTACTTAACCGATTAGTGATTCTATGCTCATAAAAACTTGCCGTCAGATGGTTGTATAAAAGCTTTGATAATGAGTTGTTACTGCTGTAAAGTGGTTTGGTTTATAAACACAAGTTTATTGTTCTCAGTCATAGTCAACGTAGACTCCGACACAAATGTTTTTGGGACGATTAGTAATACCACATTAGTAGGATGAGATCAAATTAACAAAATAATGGTAAAAAAGACAGAAATAATGCAGTAGAAATTATAATAAAGACTAAACGCTGAGAGTATGGTTAAAAAACAGAGTGTAAAGGTATGCAGAAACGAACACTGGAATTCAAAATCAAGAAGAGCATAAATAATCAATGTATTTTATTCCATCGTGACCAATTCTTAACCGTTTCATTAAAGGTCTAAAACCACTGTTATTCACATCTATTATTATTATTATTATTATTATTATTATTATTATTATGGATGAGAATTTTGTAAACACAAAGAATCTATCAGTATGGGGTTGTGGAGATAGTTGAATGGTATAGAAGTGATCTAATTTAGACAACCACTGAAAACGATGGAGCAATGGATCCCCATGTCGCCATGAAATATGACTTCTTAGCAGTGCTCATCCACGACTCTGCAACTGGCAATCGAACTCAGAATCAATCACCCCATTCAGGTTTTTATTGGTTGTCTAACTTATGTTGGTATGTGTTCTCAATAAAATTCAAAAATCTCCAAAACCCTGTACTAACAATTACCCCAACCGTTGCTGCTACCTTGACGTGGTGGTCGGGCTTGCCTATCGTGATGAAGCAATCGAGCTATGCTGGCTGGAACAATCGTTCCTCGAGGTCCTACCATGCCAGACAGGTCGGTTGCAGAGCGGTAAGACTAAAAGCAGCAATCCCAAGGTCCGAAGGCAAAGTCGTACTGCCGACTGTACAGAGGTGTGACGGCAGTAAGGTGTTTCCTTCAGACAACCAGCATGACAGCGATGCTGCCTTCCCACAAGGAGGGGTGGGGTTAGAAAAGGTCGACCCTAAATATGCACACCTCGCCTTACCCCACGGATATCCGTCTCCGGCGGTAAGGTCCTTTGAAGAACGGAGCTAACACAAAACCTACCCACAAAAAGGTCGTGTTTGACCGACCTCAAGCAGTTGTCCCTTGGGCACTGCGGTCACGCTCCCAAGTCATTAAGACCACCTCTAACCCAATTTCCTTTTCAGGTACCCCTAGAAGAACACTTCCACGGTGTGGGCAACCGGAAAGTGATAACTACCCTCATACATCTAACAGCACTAAAGATCACTGTATTCATAATCAGTCTCCTTCTTCAGTTCCTACTATTCCTTCTACCTTGACTTTCAACACTAAACTTCCTCTTTCGGTTTCCTCCTCAAATGTCAACATGGCCAACGATTCTAGTGCGCGAAACGCTGTCCCAGGTCTACTAAAACCTCGCTCCAAACTACACATTGGAGCCTTCAACGTACGTACTTTAAGTCAAATCGGTCAACAGGCCTCCTTAGCTAAAACCCTAGAATCTCGTACCATTGATGTATGTTGTGTGACCTTAATGCCCAGGTAGGCAGCTTAAATCAAACAAAAAGACATTTAGGTGGGTGTTTTAATATTCCGGCTCAACGAACCGATAATGGTGATCGTCTGTTGCAACTATGCTCAGACAATCGTTTATTTTTAGCAAGCACTAATTTTAAGCATAAAGAGAGACAACGTCTAACATGGCAACCACCTGCAACCAAACCAACGATGGACTCAAATAGACCATATTGTCATCAGTCATCGTTGGAGAGGCTCGATAGAAGATTGTCGTTCGTATTGGATTACTGGTTTAGACTCTGATCACGCTTTAATACGAGCGCGCATTTGTCTGCGCCTCAATGGACGCAGGAAAACTACACTAAGAATACCCATTAGGATTGAACTGGAGGACGAGAAAGCCAAATGCGAATTCCAGAAACAACTGAGTTCACATCTGTTAGTCATTTAAACCATAGGGCTCCAAATAACCAATGGATTTCTTCTAAGTCTATTTCACTGATGGATTCGCGTAAGCTCATCCCATCAGGCTCTGAATATGACGAAGAGCGTTAACAAATTAGATCTAGGTTAACTAAAAGTCTAAGGAACGATCGTGAGCAGTGGTGAGCAACGAAAGCAAAAGAGATGGAAAAGGCAGCGGCTGTAGGCAACACCAGGCAACTATTCAGACTAATAAAAGAAACCGGAATTAAGAAGTCAAGTGTAAGTGAGACAATCTCTGAAAAAGGCGGAACCCTTATCTACTCTCAACCCAAACGTTTAGAACGATGGGCGTAACACTTTAAGGAGCAGTTTAGCTGGCCTTCAGCTACTGCACAACTACCCACTATTCCTAGAAAACCTGAATGGAACATTGAAGTAGGCCCCCCGACCCTACTTGAAGTTCAAAAGGCTATAAGTAATCTGAAACGAGGAAGAGCGGCTGGTCCAGATGGATTGGCTCCAGAGGTCTTTAAATATGGTGGTCCAATTTTAGCGATTAGGTTGACTAATATTCTGACTAAAATCTGGGAAACGGACGTAATCCCATATGACTGGTCACAATCACTGATTGTCCCAATATATAAGAAGGGGCCAAAATCATCCTGTGATAACCATAGAGGGATTAAATTAACTAATATAGCATCTAAAATACTAGCCTCAATAATTATCGGGCGCCTAACTAAGATTCGTGAACTGCAAACACGAGAAAATCAGGCTGGCTTCAGACCTGGTCGTGGCTGCATCGACCACATATTCACCATTCGTCAAGTTTTAGAGCACAGACACGCTTATCGGCGTCCGACAATGATAGTTTTTCTTGACTTGAAAGCAGCATTTGACTCTGTAGACCGAGAGGCTCTGTGGCAGTGTCTGTTATTGAAAGGTGTACCTGAGAAGTACATAAGCCTTGTCAAGGCTCTTTACTCGAACACTACCAGTCGAGTGAGAGCTTATGGCGAACTGTCATATGATTTTACAACATCAAGTGGTGTCCGACAAGGCTGTCCACCATCTACATTTTTGTTTAACTTCATTATAGACCTGTTGCTGGAAATAACACTCTCTTCGACTGAATTTTCAGGAATTGATCTTCTACCAGGAGGTTCACTTATAGACTTAGAATACGCAGATGACATAGTCCTGTTTGGTGAAGACACTGGCAAAATGCAGAGTCTTCTGTTGGAACTCAGTAATAATGCCACGATGTTTGGGATGCGTTTCTCCCCATCCAAATGTAAATTGTTACTCCAGGACTGGCCTGTGTCAACACCCGAACTAAGGATATGGAGTGAAGTAGTCGAACGCGTCGACAACTTCACTTATCTTGGAAGTCTGATCAGCCCTAATGGGTTGGTATCTGATGAAATCTCAGCACGGATTCAAAAAGCTCGTTTGGCTTTTGCCAACTTACGTCACCTATGGCGAAGACGAGATATCCGTCTATCAATTAAAAGACGAGTATACTGCGCAGCAGTTCGCTCTGTTCTACTTTGTGGCTGTGAAACATGGCCATTAAGAGTAGAAGATACTCGTAGGTTACTAGTATTTGACCACAGATGCCTTAGAAATATTGCTCGCATCTGCTGGGATAACCGGGTAAGTAATAGTGAGGTTAGATGCAGGGTATTAGGGAACGATGGTAAATCAGTTGATGAGGTCATGAATCTTCATCGACTGAGATGGTTGGGCCATGTGTTACGTATGCATGAACACCGATTACCACGACGCGCTATGCTGACTAGTGTAGGGGATGGTTGGAAGAGAGTTAGGTGCGGCCAAACCAAAACATGGCATCAGTGTTTGAAGTCACTAACTTTTAGTCTGAGCCATGTTGGCAGATGCAGACTACCTGGTTGGGGTCCGCGTGACTATCGTAACCAATGGTTGGAGACTCTGGGTGACATGGCTCAGAATCGATCATAATGGCGTAGGTGTATACATTCTTTATCTTCCCTTAAACCTTGAGACTAAAATTGCTTCATATCTCTCTTCCTTCCTGTACTATATCCTTATATACAACCTATAATTTATATACTACTACCAACAATAAATTAACTACTATGAATCCGGTGTTCATCTTGTTGTGCTAACGAGGTATGGCAACTTGGACCGATGCATATATGTGCCTGGTCCTACGTTGTAGCTGACTGACTGACTGACTAACAATTATCATGTGGTCACTGATGACTAGCTTCTAAAGGAAATTTTCGGAGTTTTAATGAAGAACTGTGACCATTGGAGTTCCACGGTGTCGAGTGTGACGCAGTTACTCATTGAAAACGCCTTAACTGTTGGATGGTCAATGTAAGAAAATTCACTTACCAACTAGTCAGAGTCAGTTGACGAATCGAACAAGTGCTGGAAACTTCTCCAGTATGTTTTTCCATCAAAAACTTCGGATATTCTTTCAGCTTTCTTTAAGAAAATATTTCTGTACAAACGTTTCTGGTTCTCATTCTCATCAAGTTGAGTAAAGCGCATTAATTGGAGATTAACAAAAACGGGAAGACCTCAGCATCATCAAACAATGACTCATAGTTTTGTGAAACATAGTTGATATGTTTCTACAAAATTTCATAAATCAATGAACTAGCGAAGTGGCAGGCAATAAGATGACTGATCACTGAATCGAAACCAATAGCATGTCCATCATAGTCATTAAGGTTGATAGAATTCCAAGCGATCAAATTTTAATGTGATAGATAAATTTAATGTGTGAACATCATTGCCTACACTATATGTGGTATTAAGTGATTGAACGTAACCAATAAAGATACTATCTCTGTTGTGAGCTAGAAATTACTAGAAATAGAAACATTGATACTACACACAACAGTATAATTGACTAGCTTCAATGACTACCCCACAATTACTAGAAAGTTCAGGTGGAAATAGACTAATGGATGTAATTATGCTTTAGTAGCTAACTTAAGTGACGATGAAATGATCTTGGGACCTAATTGAAACGTAAATCGTATTAATGAATAATCTTGAGGTTATGCAGCAGGTAATATCGGTTACACAATGTGTACTTTCTCTAAGCACATTTCTGAGCATTGCTCGGGACAGATAGATCTATTATCAAATACGCAGTCAACTCTGATCATGTAGAACCTTCAGAAGCAGTTTCTAAAGTCGCCTATAATATTAAACAATCAAGCTGAAAATGAATACAGAACAGAAATACATACCCTGTACAAGGATTAGTGGATTCATAATTCCGAACCTCATCTGGGCTTTAAAAGACGCCCTGTTGAAACTCTTATTCTACAGTGATTAGAAAGATTCACCATACTTATAATAAATTCTTTCCAGTTTTAGAAGTTACAACCTTTTATCCTCTCCCTTTATGATGCAACACTACTCTAGTCACAATTCTAAAATATTCTTCAAATGAACAATTATCTTTCATTTATAATCTATCTCCACTTTGCTGTTTTACAACACTTTTCAGTCAATTACATAATCGCTTTTGATAGTTAAAGACACTTTTGATATTTTAAAAAAAGAGTTCAGGTGTATCCATTTTATTGCATATAGAGTTGTGGGTGTTAATTAGTCAAAAATATGGTAGTATAACTTTGGTAAATGATATTGTCAGTAAGGAAATTTTCTACGCCGAACTTTCTTAATTCCTTTCTCAATGCTGCGATATGTTTTTTTGTTGGATTGATTTTCTATTTACTGACTATCAGGTACGAATTCGAGCCACACTCTAAGTGTAAGGATTAGTGATACTATCCAGTTGTCTAAACTGCAATAGGTGGAGGGGATTTCGGATCTGAGACTTAGTGGTTATAATCTGAACGTCCAAACTACCGAACCACTACTCCACTTCGATGGACTGCACAACAGCTAAGAATGTGAACTATTGGATTTATTGCTTAATTGAGTCTAAACATAATGCAATTTGCTTTTACAATTGAAAGTCATGAGCTCGGTCTCGTCGTTTAAGTTTGGTTATGCACATTGCTGACGAGTCAACGAACTGGAATTAGACTACTAGTCAGTCCTCTATGAGTATCAGTCAACAATCTTCCTTCTCTAGGGACCACCCACACCTTGTACTCGGCTAATTACAATAGATCACAAAAATTATCTTCACGTTTTTACGTTAAATTCAAAACATTATACTGAGCATACTAAACATATCAAGATTGTGTTTACTTACCGTAGATGCTGAACGACTTATGCCCATTTTACAGTGAACAAGACATCGTGTACCCATAATCCTAAAAGTAAGAGAAAGTGGAAAGAAAAATATCAATAATGATAATAATGATAGTAATAGATGACAGAATACGGAAAGCATGACACTTTAGCGGGTTATAAATGAAATACTTCTAGATAATAAGAGAGCCATACATACTGGAAATGAAACAATTTTTGAGTTAATTTTGTTTATTGAATATTCTATGCACAGTTTCAACAAAACGAACGAGAGAAATAATGCTCACTTGATGACTGAAGATAGGAAAATATAACCGATGAATCGAATCCGACTACGATAAAGAACGTATAATATTTTTACAATTAACAACTTCGGTAATTGTTCCAAAATTGTGTAAGGAGCAAGAGAGTAGTGTTCAAGATGTACTCAACCAACTCTCATGTTTTATTGCTACCTATTTAATTATTTAGCCAGTAACTACAATCAACAATATATGTTGGGCTAAACCAGTGAGCAATGTTGAGGTTAAGAGTACTATAATAATGTAAGAATGATGAGATAATGAATCTTTATCAACTACGATGCTTAGGACATGTATTACTTATGTTCAACCAACGTCTACTTCGACGCGGGATTTTCGTGGATGTAGGAGTAGACTGAAAGAAAAGTAACGAGTGCCCGAACCAATACATTACATCAGCCCTCAAAGTCACCGACTGTTAGACTTTGCTGTACGGGAAGTTGCAAACTATCTAGTTAAGGTCAGCGTGATTATTGTAAGCAATGGTTGAAGTTGTTAAATGAAACGACTTAGAATTAGTCAGAATGGAAAAGATGTATTAACTCATCTTTCCTTATATCTCAAGGTTAGAAACTATCTAAAACTTTATATTTCGCGAATTCGTTCTTTCTTCTCGAACAAAATAGTCGATTTCTAGTGTTTTCTACTACCACTGTTACTCGTATTGCTTCAACTACTCGGCATACTGGTACGGTGTGGCAACTTAAACTGATCCATATTTGTGATGGATGCTACATACCATATGACTAAATGATGTTTGATATTAAAATTTATATTAAACGTTAACTTCATGATATAACTTTTTTGAATACTAACTAGCCTATTTCAGAAACGACGGATCTTCTAATATCCCGCATAAACAATTAATTATTTGACGTCAGACTAAGCAAAAAAGGAGATCAATCCAAGAAACCATTTACTTCATTATTTAAAATTGAAGAAACTTTACATGTAACTGTTTGGATTTTCCCAAACAGACGGTGGGTTTGTAAAGCATATCTTAATACAATATTTTCAATAATCATTTCCAATTAGCTTACTTACTTAGCTTCATTTATAAATCGATGCGTTTCTTCCCAATAAGGTAACAATGTCGATTGTTCGTAATCGTATATTCGGATATTTTTATATTCAAATTTATCACCGGGAAAAAAATTATCCACTTCACGTGTTACATTTAAAATATGCGTTACATTGAGACGTTTCAATTCATCACGATTTGATGCATTGAATGATGTACCCAATAGAACATGATCAAATATTACACTTGCTTTATCCATTTGACCACAAATTGTAAGGATTTGTTTTTCAATAAAATGACGAAATTTGTGTAATGGCTGTTTAAATTCTTCTTCTAATAGTTCACGAAGCTTTAAAAATGGTGGGAGAAAACAAAGAATAAGAGATGAGGAGAGAAGGCGTACATGTTAAGTGAGATTTCTGAATACGAAGTTAAATAGATAGATAGTCTACTAGGATTTGTAATGTCATTCACAAATTTATCTGACTGTAAACTGGATGTAATAATTCAGGTGTTTGTTACAGTTAAATTGAAAATTGAAGACCATGGAATTTGTAATCTCACTATTAACATTAATAATTAAACTGTTAACTAATTTTATCAACCTTTTACGGATAGGTCGTTGTTATTGTTGTTGTATTCCATTAGATATTGAATTTCAAAATTATTTCATATTCTTTATTCTTGATCTTTTCTACTATCAACAATATCGTTATTACTTTTGCTAATCTGGAATTTGTCTTGATACTTTCATCTCGCTGGGCTTGTATTATGTGACAACTTTAACAAATGCACATATGTTTCAGGTTTGACGTTGTTGTTGACTGGCCCCTAAATGCCCTGACAAGGCCGAGATTGGAGAAGGCCCTCCCTCTCTCTCGAAATGCTCTCACATGGCCACGCATATATAGCCTCTGCCAATGAAGTCCTAATCACTGCCTTCTCATGGCACCGGTGTTGTTTACGAAATTGAGAGGATGAAAAGCGAATGTCCGGCGCTTTAACAGGGTTGGTGGACACGGAAAGTTCACTTGAGGGAGTTGGAAAGCCATGATTTCAAACCAATGGTGCACATGGGCTCCAGTATCCTGAGGGAATAAATGGAGTATAAATCAATCGTTGGTCACCGGCTACCATGGGACTGCATCTCCTCACGATGCTTCACTGCCTTGTGGAACAGACCTTCCGGTCAAAGGCTACGGGTGTGGGTCCCTAAGAAAACCACCTGTTTCGGTTTGGACACCCAGGAAGTATCACAGCCCTCATACAAACCAAATGAGATTTGTGTGGCGCATATATATTTGGTGCCCCTTTGTACCAGTATTTGTGTTTAAATAAATAAAAATGTTGTTGACTGACTGACAGACAGACTGACTATTGACGTTATTTCTTTGAGTAAAGCGTTTAGGAAAAATATGCTCTTTTATTGATTAGTTTCACTGTGTCGTCATAGAAATAGAGACATTTATGTGACTGAATATGGAACTGTACAAAAGGCACATTATAATGTTGAAATGATGGGGAATTTCTACTTTAAAAAACACTTCAATAAAATTACCTATGTATATGTTTGACACAATATCTAATCTGATGTAATAGGGAAGCAGTTTGTCCGTTTGCACAATAGGAAAATACCATGAGAGTAAACTAACAATAAGAATAAAATGTTAAAGTGATGAAGAAGATGAAAGTATGAAGGGAAAACTGTTCATGAATCAGAGTAGTATGAAAAATGGGTGTACTTAGTCACCACTCATAGACTTTGGGTTATAAATTAACACTATACAAATGGCAGTTATTCTTCACATTCTTCCAATATTGTATTTATAAAAGAAATTATTAAAGTGATTGTTTAAAATAATTATCATATACCGATTCTATAATAAATAGGATACTAACAATCGACTGAAATTTTTTGGTGCGCAAACAGTGCAGTAAGTTTTCCTGTTTTAAATGTGTTACACATGACCAATGCTGTATGTTAAGTGCATGTACTCCTGTAACGCGTTTATAAAAAGCTAGCAACCTATTATTACGCTGTATAGTCATCCGAGTTTGATACTGATATACAAGTTTCCCAAACGGTCTACTAGAGTCACAAAACTAAGAGTCAGCATGAAGTGTTTAATAATCAGTCAAATCCAGTACACTCACAAATATATATATTTTTTCCCCGGAAAATTAGGTCATATTTTCGACAAATTGTGTGTTGCTTTTCTTAAGAATTAAAGTCAAACTTTTACGAATAGCGTCCGCCTATCAGCATCTCTCACTTAACATTTGGCCTATATACTGAGTGGTGATACATACTTCTTATGTCTGTTGACATAAGTAGCATACACCACATGACTGTAGAAATTAGTCGATTTTTAAAAATTTAAATGCCTATCATTGTCCTGTCTTACCTGTTTGATTTTAGCCTAAATTAATTAGTTTCATATCACGAACTGACTTTGGTTAGACGGTAAATGGAAACCAGGGAGCACTAGACAAATGTTTCATCCTAATATGGGACTTCTCAGCAGCGAAAATCTGCGCCCTACACAGGGTTCGAACCCCATAACATTTAAACTTCGAACTAATCGCTTAAGCTCAATAACCACGTACCATCCCGTATAATAAGTTTTAGTCTACCTATTTATTAATAGAAATACTACCATATGGTTGCCTTGACCGAATTAATTTCAGGTAAAATTTAGTCAAATTAATCCCAATGATTGGATATTGTGTATTTTACTAATTTACACGTCAAATATTATTCTCGCACCCTATAATCTTGATTTTTCAAGAAATTGATTGACGAAGAAAGTTTAGGTTTTCAAAAATAATAATCGCTCCGCTCAATACCGTGTGCTTGATTACAGAAAAGAATTCTCAGCAAAAAATGTCGATCATTAAAACAGTTTGCCGTCTTCTGCTTATTTAACTTGCAAATATTTCAAAGGAAAATTTGTATTTAAAACTTTCTTTAGCAATGATTGACTTTCATTCATCTTCACTTCATTAAACACTCTCTGCTAGCTTTATCCCTTTGATATCTTTTTTTCCCACATAATATTCATTTGATTAATTAATTTCACTATTATCCCGGTCAGTCACAACGTAGAACTTCGTACGTACGTAAATCAGTTCGAGTCGCCATACCACATTAGTACAGAGATGCAGTTGTCGATTCAAATCCCATAGTGGTAGAAGTAGTAAGAGTACAAGCATCATGTGAAAAATTAGGGTTTGAAGAGTATAATTCACTATTATCTACCGTTTCATCAGGGAATAAACTTAAGTCAGAAGGCGCATACCATCAATTGCTCTGATAACGCCACTTAAATTTCACAATAATTATCATCATGATAAGCAATACCTGGCAGCAGGGGAGTGAGATCGAATTGAAGAAAACAGGAATGTAAACGGAGATTAATTGTAATAAAAACAGGAATGAAGGAACGATGAAGTTTGTAAGAGACAATTAGTGGGAGATGTCCAAATGAAGTATTTAATGTATGGTTTTCATATTTTACGAAGACATTCTGTAACTTTGCATTAAACAATAAATTGGTCTTTCCCACCTGTGTTCGTTCACTACAGTTATACTACATGAACGAACTTGAACGATATTATAAATGATCTTGGACTTTGAAAGTCAATTTTCAGCTAATTAAAGTGATAATCCGAAGTCAAGAGTAGTTCACCATGAATTTTCTTACGTTAATTTTATCTACTTATCAATCATTTATAATACAGAAAAAGGGTTGACAAATCTTATTTATCTAATTGTGAATATCTTTGTTTCTGGATTGTTTAATATTCATAAAAATAAATAATTTTGTCATCTCTTACGAAATCTTTCATTAGAAAAAAGCACTAAACAGTTATATAAAATTTAGTTATGAGAAAAAGATCTAGTGAAGTCATGCATAAAAATCTTGATCTGTAATTTAAAATTCCTACCATAACAACATACCGAATTTTCAGTGAGTTATTAAAACATTGATACAATTCATATTAACACAATAAACAAAATTCGAATCATGTCTATAAAGAATAAATATTGAAAATATAAATTTGATCAAGTTCACCATAAACACATAAATAATATTTTATAGAGTTGAGATCATGAGTCAATTGAAGCTAGACTACCATGGAAAACCTGGAAGCACTGGACGGCCGTTTCGTCCTATTATGGGACTCCTCAGCAGTGCGCGTCCACGAACCCACTTTCGAACCCAGGACCTACGAGTTTCGAGCCGAAGCCCTTAACCGATAGACCACTGAGCTGGCATCCAACGGTGTTAATTTCTAACTTCAACTGATTCACGAAATTGAGCAACCATTCACCAATGTCATCAGTGAGTTCCTATCTCACAACAGACCTGGTTGAACTCCACCGGTTACTGCTTCTCATTAGAACTCCAGGAAATACCTCAAGGAGTCAGTCACTAGTGAGCACCTGATTATTATCAGAAGGGGTTTTGTGGAGATTTTAGTATTTTATAGAGTTGAGATCATGAGTCAATTGAAGCTAGACTACCATGGAAAACCTGGAAGCACTGGACGGCCGTTTCGTCCTACTATGGGACTCCTCAGCAGTGCGCGTCCACGAACCCACTCTCGCGGGATTCGAACCCAGGACCTACCAGTTTCGAGCCGAAGCCCTTAACCGATAGACCACTGAGCTGGTTTTCCATGGTAGTCTAGCTTCAAATGACTCATGATCTCAACTCTATAAAATACTAAAATCTCCACAAAACCCCTTCACATAAATAATATATTCATGAATAGATTCACTAAAGTCTACGCTAATTAACTGTTTAAATTTTAGGTGAAATATTTAATTAAAATAATTATTTTTCGGATGAAAAGATATACATAGTATTGTAAATATCAGTTAATGTATTGCACATATACATGGATACTAGTGATTCCTTTAAATGGTTTTCTTGCATGCTTTGAACCATTTTTAAATTAGTCAACTCTGAATTTTTTGTTAGAGTAAATGACTTTATTCAGTAAAACAGCTCAATTACAAAGAAGATTATTGTTATTATTATCAGTATGGGGTTGTGAAGATTGTTGAATTTCATTGAAATAGTGAATCCTGCCTAAGTTAGACAATCAGTGAAAGTGTAGAAGCATTAAAATGTCATTTCTTCAGTACGAAACTTCCAAACAATGCGGATCAACGACTCTGAAACCGACAATTCAACAAACAAGCTCGTGTCGCGCACCAACGCTTAACCTCTAGACTATTGATCTATCATTCCATGGTGTACAACCCCAACTGAAACCAATAAACGATATTGTGAAAACATGTTCCATTTTCTTCAGTAGGTGCCTTTTTCACACTTGACACTGCAGAACTCCACTTTCCATTAAAACTCTAAAAATTCCCTCTCAAAGTTAGTTACTAGTGAAGACATGACAATGGTTATATGGAGTTGTGCAGATTGTAGAAGTTAGACATTAACTCTGTTGGATGTCGGCTTAATGATCTAGAGGTCAAGCGTTCGTGCGCAAAAACGTGGGTTCGATTTAAGGTCGCAGGATCATGGATTTGCAAAGATGAGGAGTCCCATATTAGGACAACACGTTTGTCCACTGTTTTCAAGTTTTCCCTGATGATCTAACCGGCATAGGTTCATTATTTCAACGGAAAAAAATTATCATACCAGAAAAGTAATTGACTGACCAGTTGAAAATCTGTATAATTAAAAGATAGTAATAGTAATGATAAAAGTTTTCATTACCAACCGATAAATTACCATGGACAGAGAGTCACTGTAAATCATATTATTGACAAGTTTTGTTTTGGAAATACAACTGAATGGAAGGATTAAATCAAAGTACACAGGACTACTTAAATAAGCATATAATCTTTAGATCATTAAAGGTGGCAAACTCTATGACATTAGATGATCATCAATGTAAACGACGAATAGTTCTGAGTCGATGAGTCACAAATTGAAACGGAACAGATATTCACTGTTCGCTGTATTTTTTCCAATAGTTCTCCAGAAAATGTATCAGTCAGTTGGCGACAAAAATTATTCTGAAACACTTAAATATGGACAAATTTGTGGTTTAGCAGTAACATGCACACGTTCAAATATCTTGAAAGTGAGTAATGGAAAAAAAGATAATTGGGAATTGTGTAGATTGAACAAAAACAGAGGTGTATACCAGTAGCACTGAATCTGTGTATTTATATTTTGAGCTTATCAGAACTCATCCACAGCTGACTGATAACACTGAAATGTTGAATCGATAATGTTTGGCGTCAGTATTAAAGAATAGACATTAATATTACCAGTCACCACTACAGTATATCAAATATTGATGAGTAAGCGATACTAGTGCCATAGTTTGTTTTTTGTTATAACAATGGATGAAAATTTATCACTCACTTGAAAGACGGTAACTTCTTCTAAGTCAACTGTATACATGATTTCTTGTAATTTTACACGAATTAATACTTCCATTTCAGCACGTTGTTTTCTGTCAAAACATATAAGCGTAAATCAAAGGTAATTAATTAGGTGTAACTAAGTTGTAATCAATACAACAGCGTCTAACCTTACGCTAATGTATATTAATCTGAGCTGCTGCAGTGTGGCATGTAGTCAAATCCATTATTTAAATATGTTTTCATGCATTTGACTCCAAGCCATCTGTTTATTGTAAGAGATGATGTGATACTACTCGACTGCTCAAACCATATTGACATGGAATGGAAATTCGACCTGTAATCTATTGATTTTAAAACCCAGTGATTTAACCATTAAGTCACTGCGACGTCATGTCGTTACTTTTGAAAACAGATTAGTGACACTAGCAAATGTAAAGAAAGTTAATCGATCGAAACAGAATACTAACGTCGATAGACAGGGTGACAAAAATAATGATGAAGTAATAAGACGTTTAAGATTTTAGGGGAAATGAAAAATGACCGAGACTAATGCATATCACCTGGAATTATCAAACACCTGGGTTTTCCAGTGTTAACACGATTCATCATTTAGAATGCCTACACTTAGAGAAAATCAGACTTCATAGATTCGTACTATACACTGACTTCGTCAACCGTGACTTTGATAAAACTTATTCCCTTTTCGATATGTATAGTGTGTATTTAAAATCACTGCTAAAAAAAATTAAACATATTTGCGAATGTCAATTACGTCCTGGTACACATGTGATTGATCTTATTAAAACAATCTTAAAAAGTGGACCGCCTGGAGTCTACATTGAACTAGCGAACAAACAATTAAAGACGAAAACGTTCTAGGCATAAGATTAAATAAATACTCATCAGTACGTAAAGACACATACATACATTGCACACAAGTACTCAATAGATCCAGTGTATTTACATGATATAAACACCATATGACGAATATTTTTTGAAACACTAAAAATGTTTAATGTAACTAATAATAAGTCACTGTCAATTAAAATAACTCTGACGAAATATCAACAGTGGTTAAGCGAAAAAAATAATAGACATCTTGAGATATCATTTTTAAGATAGTATAAACTGATTAATCTCTGTCATAGTAACCAACGTCATTTTATTAACTCATTTATTTCAAGTGCTTACTGAATACTGTCAAAATTAGAAGAGTATGTACTTTGCAAACGAATGCTAATAACATGAAGTACCATTGGGTCACACGGTTTTGTTTGCCAATTTCTTGCTTTAAATTACCTAAGAAAGAATTTGATAATACATATACTTCTTTCATATTGTCTACCATTGGTTAGGACATATTTTGACGATCAACTCTATAATGATTTTAAATGCGTTGAATGGAGTAGATGAGGGAAGGGAGGATGGAAAAAGTTCTCGAACGGTCAGAAGACATTGAATCAATTGATAATTATTATTTATTTATTTATTTATTTAAACACATAAATATTGGTACAAGGAAGCACCAGATAAATATGCGCCTCACAAATCTCATTCCATTTGTGTGAGGGCTGTGATACTGCTCAGGTGCCCAGACTGAAGCAGGTGGTTTTCTTAGGGGGCCACACCCCGAGCCTTTGACCTGAATATCTGATCCACATGGCAGTGGAGCATCGTGAGGAGATGCAGTCCCATGGTTGCCGTTGACCAACGGTTGATTGGTACGCCATTTGTTCCCTCAGGATACTGGAGCCCATGTGCACCATTGGTTTGGAATCAGGGTTTTCCAACTCCCCTAGGTGAACTTTCCATGTTCATTAACCCGGTTAAAGCGCCGGACATTCGCTTTTCGTCCTCTCACTTTCGTAAACAACACCCCCACCACGAGAAGGCAGTGAGTAGGACTTCCCTGGCAGAGGCTATATATTCGCTGGCCATATGAGAGCATTTCGAGAGGGAGAGGTGACTCTTCCCACTCTCGGCCGTACCAGGGCATTTGGGGGCCAATTGATAATAACTAATTAGCATTGAATGTAAATTTGCACTTTATATGAAATATTGGTTAACTTTGAGAACTCCTCTGGAGAACCTTGATTCAGAAACTGGAAAGAGCTAAAAATATCCAGTATAATCAGTGTTCAACAGAACTATACATAGGGTGGTAGAAAACAACAAATTGTGTCGCATTCTGACTAGATAACTATTGATTTAGTTACTAATTTAAGCACATTCCCAAACATTTCTAGGACATTAAGGTCACATAAATCTACCTTTAAACATTGTTGAATCTGTACACCAACATAGAAAAAATTGTTTTTACATTTCCAGCCTATTGTTTTCCTATTTGGGATCCAAGTGTAGATTTCTGGAGTAATCAAATTGAAAATTCAACAAAAATACCTTATCTTGCTCATAACATTTGCTTTCATATGCATTGGTTGGTGAGCATGTTCCGGAAAATGTTGATCATATTATATGTGTAATGTGATGAATTATAGTTACAATTGTCGAACTGCCATGAATGACAAACGTTTGTACACTGTTAATTCTTGCCGATTTTTTATTTGGGAAAAATGTAAATGAATTGTGTATGGTGAATGGTTAACTTACATTTGATCTCGTTTTACTCACCCAATCCTTTCTTTAAGATTCCCGAGCACAAACTCTTGTTTACACTCACTACAAACAATGACAACGCAGTTACAGATTAGATGCAAACATATCAACAACTAGAGATTATATTAACTACAGTTCTTTAAAGTCTGTTCACAAAACACCTGAATAAATGAGCAACTATCTTGTTGGAAGGAATGTTGTGAGGATCTATTCGTAGATTGCATTTGTTACAGATTGATTTCGGTTGAGGTGCTATAGAAAACCAGTGAGGGCTAGACAGCTGTTTCTTGTTAGTATGGGATTCTCAGCAAAGTGTACACACGACTCTATCAGGGATTGAAACTAGTGCTCTCCGGTCTCGCGGTGAACACTTAACATATATAACCACTAAGTAGGAGCCCAGTGGTACAATACCAACTCAGACTATTTTATTATAAGATGAACATTGGAGTAGTTTGTTTTTCTAGAGATAATAGTGAAGTATCCATATATATATATATATATATATATATATATATATATATAACGCGCCTATCTTGAAATTACCCTCAAAGCTTACGATCACTATCCGAACACAACAATCCAAACTATATGGATTGAACACAATAAGGTAACAGCATCCATAGAACACAAAAATAGAATATTCTTAATGAGATAGAAATTTTTATTCTTGTTATGATTGTAGGTCTATTTGACCTTGTTAGTTTAACGTATTACTATGATTAAACTTCTAGCCAATGAACTATGATAGGTTTGTTTATGTGGGCAGATATATTTCCTGATATTAGGGCTGATTATAGTTGGGATTTGATAGGAATTAAATTGTTCTAAAAATTCAGCTTCACCAAATCACACCTTTCTGTCAATGAAATGAGTCTGACTAACTAGAGCAACCTTAGATAACCTGCTTTTTTCTAATCGACCATTTGATCTTCTACGCTAATTTAATTCGATCCATAATGGAGTACGAAAACCTGGTTGGCGAGCTAATGCGCATATGTATTTATTTACCGCTCTTGTTTGTGATTCACGAGATGAAACTAATCTAGAGTTGGAGATCCACGATTATGTAAGATAAAAAAGTTCAATAAGTGCAATTAGTCTACCCTAGAATAAAAATGAGTCCACTTAAATAAAAGATTCGTTTTAAATGTGCTTTGAAGAGTTAAAGTCAGTGAATTGGAGGTTTTGAGAAAAGAAAAACATTGAAAATAAACGTGTTTTTCCGATACGGCAGTCAGTAATCTACTAATAGTAGTAACAATAATGATTATTATTACTACTATTATCGTTTTACTCAACGTTACGTGCTTAGTACATGATAGAATTTTCAAAAATTTCTTACTTTTCCGATAAATCACAAAAAATATATACACATAAATGTATACGTAAAATAAGTCAAAAAAACTACGTAAAACTGAGTTAAAGATTTGTAAGGAAATAAGAAACTTTACAATAGCGAATAATCTCCAGTTTATAAGTGTGTTTGGCTAGGTCAGCTCTCACTACTACCTGTTCGTTAGGTAGTATATGTGGTTAGATACGGTATTGTAGAGCTTTAGAATTTTCTTTGAATGTATGAATCTTATCACAGTTTTGTCTCATTCTACCACAAAATGTACAAAGAGGAAGATGTCAATAGATTGGAATGATTCGGATCTACTAAAATAACGCTTGTCAACAGTTTGGAGCATTCCGAATGTTTAGTCACTACTTTTTCTACTAGTAACCTTCAATAATCTACACAACATAGCACAATCTTTTTTTATAAGTTAAGGAGAGAATAAGTGGGAGCAGTATATACTTACAAGCAATATGTAAAACAGGAAAGTATCGAGTAATGCTGAAAACACATAGCCTCTCTTAAAATCGTAAAGTAGACAAAAGACTCTCTTCGACATTAAAGATATATGGGAAAACCAAGAGGGATCGAAAGTAAGACTTACACCAAGATAAATGACATTCGACACATATTTTACTGAAGAATCTCCAATAGTATAAGTAGATGGTTGGTAAATTAGTATGCGTAATATGTTACAGGTATTAAAATGGATAGTTACTTGAAAGTATATTATTCAAACTAAACCGAAGCAGATGTTTTTCTCAGGGGGCCACGCCACGAGCCTTTGGCCTAAAGGTATAATCCACAAGGCAGTGGAGCAACGTGGGGAGATGCAGTCCCATGGTAACCAGTGGACAGCAATAGATGCATAAGCCATTTATTTCCCTAGGATCCCGGAGCCCATATACACCACTGGTTTAGGACCAAGGTTTTCCAACTTCCCTAGGTGGATCCTCTATATCCACCAACCAAGTTAAAGCTCCGGACATTCGCTTTTCGTCCTCTTAGTTTCGTAAACAACACTAATACCGCGAGGAGGCAGTGGGCAAGACTTCCCTTGCAACGGCCGTATACGTGTGGCCGTGTGAGAGCATTTCGAGAGGGAAAGCTGACTCTCCACACCCTCAGCCGAACCAGGACATTTGGTGGCTGCTTCATCCTATTGTAGTATTACCGAGCAGTACACATACACGATCTAAACGTGGGTTGCATCTAGGATCCTTAGGCCTCTTAAAAAGAGCTTGGCCTTTAAACCACTAGATTGGCATCCAATGGTTCGCACTTTTAGCTTATAAGCCATTGGGTACTAATTCAGTAGTCTAAAAACTAGGTGCTCACTGAGAGGGCTGAAGGTACTGGGTTTAGTCCCTAGTGGAGCCATAAGTAGAGGCAGCTGAGGAGTCCCATACCATTACGAAATAACCAGCCATTGTCTTACATCGTACTGACTAAAATAAGTTAGTTAACAACTAGTTATATGCCTAATGGGATTTATAAATCCCGATAAGTTGACTTTTACTTTAAGTGAATAATTATATTAGTTATGAATCAGAACAATAGAAAAAAGTCTGTTACCACCTATACGCCTTTCTTTAACCCAAATGGGGTGTTAGAGTAAATCAGAATTTTCGCGGCTTATCGACTGTTTACGAAGAATTTAATAACGAAGTCGGTTGGTTTACTTTTGGTGGGATTTGTAGGTGATTTTTAAGTAAATATTAGAAAAGTAGAGTTTATAGCGAAGCAGCAGGCTGTACACGGCTATGACACGACTCTTAAAAGCAAATTACAGGAAAAAGTCAAAATAAATGTAGCCCAAACACTGTTTAGGCGTCTATAGCTACTGATGGAGCAATAGCGATATTCGAGTCAGAAAAGAAAACAAATCAAGCGGTAGATAGATATTTAGAATCTGTACCAACCGAGATAACTGGGATTTATATTCCAGATACTTAAGCATCATATGTCTCATTATTTACCTATAATTGCAGTATAAATGAACTCGAAAACAAAAAGACCGCTATACAGATTAATTTTAATCACTTACTCCTCGTCAGTTGCACTATCCGAGAGAGGGGAACAAGATAACGACTGAATGAATTCATCACTTTCATCCGTTCTCAACCATTCTTGTATTTGGTGTGTAGATGACGCTGGCAAATTATGATAGTAACTGACCCAATCATGGGTGAAACCCCGACAGAAATAAGCATTATCTCGAGCCACTTGGCACGCTTTATTGACAGCCTGAAATGCAGCCCATAAAGCTTGTACAGAAACAGGTTTGAATTGGTTTACTGTATGCTTAGTGATTAATTCAAACCCACTATTAATAGAAATTATGGAAAGCAAATGAAAAGAACTGAAAAGTTTTAAAACTAAAGATGCATGAGTATATCTTATCCATCAAAAAGCAACAGAATTTTTGATCTGAACACGTTTGTGTACTTTCTAACTGATGTACTTTAAATAAAATAGACAATGGTTCTGGTTGATATATGAGTGGATTGGAAGAAAGCTAAAGAAATTAATTAATCCAATCTCTCAAGACTTACAGAAACTCTTAAACCTACTGACATTATACCCGACCGTTGCTGCTACCTTGACGTGGTGGTTGGGCTTGCCTATCGTGATGAAGCAATCGAGCTATGCTGGCTGGAACAATCGTTCCTCGAGGTCCTACCATGCCAGACAGGTCGGTTGCAGAGCGGTAATACTAAAAGCAGCAAACCCAAGGTCCGAAGGCAAAGTCGTACTGCCGACTGTACAGAGGTGTGACGGCAGTAAGGTGTTTCCTTCAGACAACCAGCATGACAGCAATGCTGCCTTCCCACAAGGAGGGGTGGGGTTAGAAAAGGTCGACCCTAAAAATGCACACCTCGCCTTATCCCACGGATATCCGTCTCCGGCGGTAAGGTCCTTTGAAGAACGGAGCTAACACAAAACCTACCCTTTTACAGAAAGCTCTCTGAGCTTCTTCAGAAAGCTAAGCGCTCAGACATAGTAGTCGTAGCAGGTGACCTTAATGCCCAGGTAGGCAGCTTAAATCAAACAAAAAGACATTTAGGTGGGTGTTTTAGTATTCCGGCTCAACGAACCGATAATGGTGATCGTCTGTTGCAACTATGCTCAGACAATCGTTTATTTTTAGCAAGCACTAATTTTAAGCATAACTCCGCCTGTAGCTCCTCCAGGGGCTACTGCCGGTCCCAAGCCCGGGTAAAGGAGGAGGGTTGGGCATGGGGTTAGCGACCCCATCCCGTAGAAAATCAACTCGCTAAAAAAACGCTAACCAGAAAAATTCATTCAAACCATTCAAACTCTGCCCTGGGAGTAGAAGGAAAAATTATGACGTCTCATGATGAAAGCCGAGTTCCTTCGGAAGTCATGAGGCCGATGCACCTTCTTACAACCAGAGCGACAATTTTTATAGGTACATGGAATGTCCGGACAATGTGGAAGACCGGCAGAGTCTTCCAAATTTCTGCGGAAATGAGGAAATACAACCTGGAAGTGCTTGGAATCAGTGAAACACATTGGACGCAGGTTGGACAACAACGACTGTCTTCAGGGGAACTTCTGTTATACTCCGGTCATGAAGAAGAAAATGCCCCACATACACAAGGAGCGGCACTGATGCTGTCTAGAAAAGCACAAAATGCACTTATAGGATGGGAATCTCATGGACCGAGGATCATCAAAGCCTCCTTCAGAACAAAGAGAGAGGGCATTACAATGAACATCATCCAATGCTATGCGCCGACCAACGACTACGATGAAGACGCTAAAAACCAATTCTACGATAGGCTGCAGTCAATCTTCGAGAAGTGCCCAACCAAGGACCTGACCATTCTAATGGGAGATTTCAATGCCAAGGTTGGAAAGGACAACACTGGATACGAAGACGTCATGGGACAACATGGACTGGGAGGAAGGAACGAAAACGGTGAGAGATTTGCAAACCTATGTGCCTTCAATAAACTGGTCATAGGTGGCACCATATTCCCACACAAAAACATACACAAAGCCACTTGGATTTCACCGGATCACACTACACAGAATCAAATCGACCATGTCTGCATCAACAAAAAGTTCAGGAGGACGATGGAGGATGTGAGAACCAGGAGAGGAGCTGATATAGCATCCGATCACCATTTGCTGGTCGCCAAGATGAAACTAAAACTCAAGAAGCACTGGACAATGGCGCGGACAACATCACAAAAGTTTAACACGGCCTTTCTTCGAGATGCTGACAAACTCAACGAATTTAACATAGCCCTCAGCAACAGGTTCCAGGCCTTTCATAACCTACTCAATGAAGAGGGAACCACCATGGAGAGCAGCTGGAAAGGTATCAAGGAGGCAATCGTTTCAACATGTCAGGAGGTTCTTGGCCAAAAGAAGCACTATCACAAGGAATGGATCACTGTTGGTACACTGGATAAAATTGAAGCAAGGAGGAACAAGAAGGTAGCAATCAATATCAGCCAAACAAGAGCAGAATAAGTCAAGGCACAAGCCGAATACACAGAGGCAAACAAGCAAGTGAAGAGGAGCATCAGGACCGACAAACGTAAATATGTGGAAGATTTAGCGATGACAGCGGAAAAGGCTGCAAGAGAGGGAAACATGAGACAACTGTATGATACAACAAAGAAACTTGCTGGAAATTACCGTCAACCAGAAAGACCAGTGAAAAACAAGGAAGGCAAAGTAATCACTAACATTGAAGAACAACGAAACAGGTGGGTAGAACACTTCAAAGAACTCTTGAATCGACCAGCTCCACTGAACCCACCCAACATCGAAGCAGCACCCACAGACCTCCCAATCGATATTGGCCCACCAACAATTGAAGAGATCAGCATGGCCATTAGACAAATCAAGAGTGGCAAAGCAGCGGGACCAGACAACATCCCGGCAGAGGCACTGAAAGCAAATGTAACAGCAACTGCCAAGATACTCCACATCCTCTTCGGTAAGATTTGGGACGAAGAACATGTACCAACAGACTGGAAAGAAGGACTTCTCATCAAGATACCAAAGAAAGGCGATCTGAGCAAGTGCGACAACTACAGAGGCATCACTCTCCTCTCAATACCAGGAAAAGTCTTCAACAGAGTATTGTTGAACAGGATGAAGGATTCCGTGGACGCTCAACTTCGAGATCAACAAGCTGGATTTCGTAAGGATAGATCGTGCACAGATCAAATCGCAACTCTACGTATCATTGTGGAACAATCAATCGAATGGAATTCATCACTGTACATCAACTTCATCGACTACGAGAAGGCATTTGATAGCGTGGACAGGACGACACTGTGGAAGCTTCTTCGACACTACGGTGTGCCTGAGAAGATAGTAAATATCATACGGAACTCCTATGATGGACTAAACTGCCAAATCGTCCACGGAGGACAACTCACCGACTCGTTCGAGGTAAAGACCGGTGTTAGGCAAGGTTGCCTACTCTCACCCTTTCTCTTTCTCCTGGTGATCGACTGGATTATGAAGACGTCAACATCTGGAGGAATGCACGGGATACAGTGGACAGGCAGGATGCAGCTTGACGATTTAGACTTCGCGGATGATCTGGCTCTTCTATCACAAACGCAACAACAAATGCAGGAGAAAACGACCAGTGTAGCAGCAGCCTCAGCAGCAGTAGGTCTCAATATAAACAAAGGGAAAAGCAAGACTCTCCGATACATTACAATATGCACCAATCCAATTACACTTGACGGAGAAGCTTTGGAGGATGTGGAAATCTTTACATATCTGGGCAGCATCATTGATGAACACGGTGGATCAGATGCAGATGTGAGGGCGAGGATCGGCAAAGCAAGAGCAGCATACCTACAGCTGAAAAACATCTGGAGCTCAAAACAATTGTCAACCAACACCAAGGTTAGAATTTTCAATACAAATGTCAAGACAGTTCTTCTGTATGGGGCAGAGACGTGGAGAACTACGAAAGCCATTATCCAGAAGATACAAGTGTTTATTAACAGCTGTCTACGCAAGATACTTCGGATCCGATGGCCAGACACTATCAGCAACAAGTTACTGTGGGAGAGAACAAACCAGATTCCAGCGGAGGAAGAAATCAGGAAGAAGCGCTGGAAGTGGATTGGGCACACTTTGAGGAAATCACCCAATTGTGTCACAAGACAAGCCCTCACATGGAATCCTGAAGGTCGAAGGAGAAGAGGAAGACCAAAGAACACATTACGCCGAGAAATAGAGACAGACATGAGAAGAATGAACAAGAACTGGAAAGAACTAGAAAAGAAGGCCCAGGACAGAGTGGGTTGGAGAAAGCTGGTCGGCGGCCTATGCTCCATTGGGAGTAACAGGCGAAAGTAAGTAAGTAAGTAAGTAATTTTAAGCATAAAGAGAGACATCGTCTAACATGGCAACCACCTGCAACCAAACCAACGATGGACTCAAATAGACCATATTGTCATCAGTCATCGTTGGAGAGGCTCGATAGAAGATTGTCGTTCGTATTGGAATACTTGTTTAGACTCTGATCACGCTTTAATACGAGCGCGCATTTGTCTGCGCCTCAATGGACGCAGGAAAACTACACTAAGAAGACCCATTAGGATTGAACTGGAGGACGAGAAAGCCAAATGCGAATCCCAGAAACAACTGAGTTCACATCTAGGCAGTTCTGTAAACGAGACTGACTCAGATGCTGCTTAGAAAGACACACGAACAGCTGTGAAAACAGCAGTAACATCTGTTAGTCATTTAAGCCATAGGGCTCCAAATAACCAGTGGATTTCTTCTAAGTCTATTTCACTGATGGATTCGCGTAAACAAATTAGATCTAGGTTAACTAAAAGTCTAAGGAACGATCGTGAGCAGTGGTGGGCAACGAAAGCAAAAGAGATGGAAAAGGCAGCGGCTGTAGGCAACACCAGGCAACTATTCAGACTAATAAAAGAAACCGGAATTAAGAAGTCAAGTGTAAGTGAGACAATCTCTGAAAAAGGCGGAACCCTTATCTACTCTCAACCCAAACGTTTAGAACGATGGGCGTAACACTTTAAGGAGCAGTTTAGCTGGCCTTCAGCTACTGCACAACTACCCACTATTCCTAGAAAACCTGAATGGGACATTGAAGTAGGCCCCCCGACCCTACTTGAAGTTCAAAAGGCTATAAGTAATCTGAAACGAGGAAGAGCAGCTGGCCGAGATGGATTGGCTCCAGAGGTCTTTAAATATGGTGGTCCAATTTTGGCGATTAGGTTGACTAATATTCTGACTAAAATCTGGGAAACGGACGTAATCCCATATGACTGGTCACAATCTCTGATTGTCCCAATATATAAAAAGGGGTCAAAATCATCCTGCGATAATCATAGAGGGATTAGATTAACTAATATAGCATCTAAAATACTAGCCTCAATAATTATCGGGCGCCTAACTAAGATTCGTGAACTGCAAACACGAGAAAATCAGGCTGGCTTCATTTCTAGTCGTGGCTGCATCGACCACACATTCACCATTCGTCAGGTTTTAGAACACAGGCATGCTTGTTGGTGTCCGACAATGATAGTTTTTCTTGACTTGAAAGCAGCATTTGACTCTGTAGACCGAGAGGCTCTGTGGCAGTGTCTGTTATTGAAAGGTGTACCTGAGAAGTACATAAGCCTTGTCAAGGCTCTTTACTCGAACACTACCAGTCGAGTGAGAGCTTATGGCGAACTGTCATATGATTTTACAACATCAAGTGGTGTCCGACAAGGCTGTCCACCATCTACATTTTTGTTTAACTTCATTATAGACCTGTTGCTGGAAATAACACTCTCTTCGATTGAATTTTCAGGAATTGATCTCCTACCAGGAGGTTCACTTATAGACTTGGAATACGCAGATGACATAGTCCTGTTTGGTGAAGACACTGGCAAAATGCAGAGTCTTCTGTTGGAACTCAGTAATAATGCCACGATGTTTGGGATGCGTTTCTCCCCATCCAAATGTAAATTGTTACTCCAGGACTGGCCTGTGTCAACACCCGAACTAAGGATATGGAGTGAAGTAGTCGAACGCGTCGACAACTTCACTTATCTTGGAAGTCTGATCAGCCCTAATGGGTTGGTATCTGATGAAATCTCAGCACGGATTCAAAAAGCTCGTTTGGCTTTTGCCAACTTACGTCACCTATGGCGAAGACGAGATATCCGTCTATCAATTAAAAAACGAGTATACTGCGCAGCAGTTCGCTCTGTTCTACTTTGCGGCTGCGAAACATGGCCATTAAGAGTAGAAGATACTCGTAGGTTACTAGTATTTGACCACAGATGCCTTAGAAATATTGCTCGCATCTGCTGGGATAACCGGGTAAGTAATAGTGAGGTTAGATGCAGGGTATTAGGGAACGATGGTAAATCAGTTGATGAGGTCATGAATCTTCATCGACTGAGATGGTTGGGCCATGTGTTACGTATGCATGAACACCGATTACCACGACGCGCTATGATGACTAGTATTGGGGATGGTTGGAAGAGAGTTAGGTGCGCCCAAACCAAAACATGGCATCCGTGTTTTAAGTCACTAACTTCTAGTCTGAGCCATGTTGGCAGATGCAGACTACCTGGTTGGGGTCCGCGTGACTATCGTAACCAATGGTTGGAGACTTTGGGTGACATGGCTCAGAATCGATCATAATGGCGTAGGTGTATACACTCTTTATCTTCCCTTAAACCTTGAGATTAAAATTGCTTCATAACGTTTTTCCTTCCTATACTATATCCTTCTATACAACCTTTCGTTATATATTACCACCACTAAATTAATTACTTCTATGAATCCTGTGTTCATCTTGTTGTGCTAACGAGGTATGGAACTTGGACCGATGCATATATGTGCCTGGTCCTACGTTGTTGCTGACTGACTGACACTATAACATACAAACTTTATGGTTTATCAGAAGTACATAAAAGTGGTTTGTTACCTTGTCTATTATTAGATATGTTAAATTCACTTGGCTACGCAACTGTGAAGTCATTGGTAGAACTTGTGAGGCTACTTTAGGCGAAGTCAGAAAAGGTAATATCAAAGGTTTCAATTTACCAACACGTTTAGAAACTTGAAAGTTAACAAGAAATTCATCATAATATTTGATGTCTTATCCCTATTTATGAATGTGTCTTCGATGTAGACATATGACGCGACGTGTAGTGAAATGAAAAATCGAGGAATAGAAATTGATGACCCCATTTCCTCTTCAAAAAACTTATTTTAAAATATAAAATGAATACACAGCTTTTGTTTAATACAGAGATTTACAGACAGTGTGATGTTTAATCCTAGAGGGTTTCTTCTTAGCAAAATAAGAAAATAGCGCTTAAAAATTTGTGAAAAACTAGCTAGCATTTTGTTGTTGCTACGATGAAGACACTTGTATGTATTTTAAAATCAAAGATGAAGTACAGAACATGTTGGACGAGTTTAATACAAATAATCAAGCAGTTACTTTATATAACGGAAGAAAACTAAGATTACATCTCTTTTCCATATATTTTACTAATAAGAAGAGCAAACTGGAAAACAAAAAAGCACTCTACGTTAGGTAGCAAAACTAGTTCAATTCAAATTATCTTTACATTAAGATCATGAACTGATCTAAGTTAGATTACCATTGAAAATCTGGAAGTACAGGACGGTTGATTTGTTTTAATTAGAAAATGAGGTATTTCATACGATTTGAATTAGGATGCTAATTTCTTTACAGATCTTTCAACTCTTTAACTAGCTATCTGCTAAATACCTCAAATCTCACGCAATCTTCTCACGGTCGAGGGATTTATATAGAGTACGTTTGCTATGAATTAAAACCTTTGTAGAATACTACGTTTTGTGAGCAAGAGCAATAGGTGAAATACTATTCGTGGTCCTAGCAGCTGAAATGTAAAACCAATTTTTCATAATAAACAGCCTATGGATTACTTTGTGGGATTGCGGGTGTGATGAATCGCATCTAAATTTTATCTAACAGTGGACGGAGTAAAACTATCTATCTATACAGACAGTTAATGAATTGGGGTTTGAACCTGATTCAATGCTGAATGCAAGAACCACTAAGTTACTGCTCTACAATTGAGATGTGATAAATTGTAGACAAAAAGAATCATCTAGTAACTTTCATGCCAATTTTAATTATCCGCTGCAATTAGCCATACTAGTTTTCAGACCGATCCATAGAGTAATTCCGATTAATTCATAAAACTTTTCCATAACTGATGGTGAGAGGGAAAATTACGTCCAGAAACCTAACAACGAAACCCGGGTTTTAAAGTTGTCATATGTCGAAAGGTTGTAAACGTAAATGAGTTTTTATATACTGAAGATGATCTGATTTCAGTTTAATATAGTCATAATGTCCTGAATCCAGCGTAGCCCACCCGTGATTCCTAAAAAGCATTAGACATATCAATGGATCAATGGTATGAAATTGGTTGGAATCTAAGTTTCATGTAGGAAAAACGACAAGTTTTAAATTATGAACAGACTAGTGAAAAATTGTCAAATATGATTAAAAACGAAAGTCAACGATGTGCTTACCCATCACCACACAAATTGATTGACATGTCTTGCCATATTTCTAGAACCAAACCCACAGTAGCTTGTCCCTCAGTTATATCTACACCTAGGACGAAAGATTCTTCAGTTCCCAGCTTCCCATAAGTAGATATAACACAACAATATCTGTTTTGATGAGGCTTTGGATTGGCACTCTGAAGCTTGACAATCTTTAAAAAGTATAAGAATTCTATAAGTAACAACCAGCTGAATAAAGTCTCCAAATCGAAGGATAGAGACTATTCTTTTCAGATGATCCTGCATTTGATCTTCAGAAATAGAAAAAGAAGGGTAAAATACCGTTTGATTTATTGCAACCAGAATTTCTTCTTGAGTGAATGTTCAGGCCTATAGCTGTCCCTTTGCACATCATGAAATCTTCACTTCGGCTGCAGAATAGATAACAAATTTGGGGTACCTGCTTCTAGATGAACACTCATACTTGTCGCCATCAATTGAATCGACACAATCCTTATGTTTTATTTCGTAAAGCGAAAACAACCTACAGTTTCTGGTTCTATAAGTGACCTGTCAATAGTTATCAATGACATTTGGGGGGGCACGGTATAAAGTCAGGGCCTTTCAAAGTCGCCCGCCGTTTCGTTTTAACGACCTTGAACGGCCTGACAAGAGGCGGTCATTCCGTATTTGAGATGTTGAGGGCCTTTTGGGTGCCCGTTGGATTGCACGAATATCATAAACTCTCGACAACATGTAGCATGTGAGCGAGAACCAGTGGCATTACTTTTCAACTATGCCATTTAGGAGAGCACGACCACAAACATATTCCTCAACCTTGAGAATAAGGCTACAGTTAAACTCAACTCCATTTCGTAATCGTGGCAGTCTACTTAGCGACCAGTCCGAGTGAAGCGGAAATTATTATATCCACCATCTTTGTAAGTAATAACGGTCGGCTTTCTTCGTTCTGTTCTTCTTTCCTCTGGTTCTTTTGTGTAGCTGCATAACTAAATGTTTCAGTGTGCCGAAATTCCGCAGTTTGTGTATTACTCTTAGTGTTTGCACAAACTGTCCTTGAACCAGCTTTGTTTCTCGATTTTCGCTGCTGCAACTCAAGTCAATGTATTCCTTCAGGCAGTATGTTTTTTAGGTATTATTTTGAAGATATTGGAAGTCAAAGATAGTTTTTTTGCTAAAATAAGTGTTGCTATCGTCTGGGACACTAACTGTTCTTATGTTCGTCCCTATAGGCATGTTGACAATCTTCTCAGGAACTTCAGAGTGTCGAAGACGTTTCCATAATGTTCTTCGGTCCACACAGCCAAATGTTTTCTCATGGTCAATGAAGTAATGTAATGTAATGAGAAGACGAAGATTATCAGAACTGTGTCACTTTATAAGAGATATGTGGATGATATCTTAGTAATTGGTGAAAGAAAGGAGGACATAAACTGCTTATTGAATAAATTTAATACTATCCAAAACCATATCAGTCTTTCATGTGAAGACGAGAAGAACGACCAGCTTCCCTTCTTAGATGTACTTCTCAACAGACAAGAAGATGGCTCAATAAAACGATCCATTTTTTCGAAAACCGACGTGGACGGGTCAATATCTTAGTTACTATAGTTATTGCCCTGTACAATACAAACGTGGTTTGGTAAAGTGCCTTTTTAACAGGCTTCGTCGTAATTGCACAAATGACGCTAATGATGACGATGTTAGGTTGTTAACCAAGACATTAATCGGGAATGGCTATCCACCTAAATTTATCAATAGATGGAAAGTTCAGGGCACAGCGAGACCTACTGTAGCCTTGGTAGGGAAAAAGCCTGTCTACATCACCTTACCATTTAGAGGTGATTCAAATAGCCTTTTATTGAAACAAAGGCTTAAATCTGTTATCAACTAAACGTATTGTGCTGCGAAAGTCGAAAGAACTCTTATACAAGATTAATGTCAGGATTTTCAACACAACTGTTGAAACACTTTTGTTGTATGGTGCTGTTTACACAAGATGCTCCAGATCCATTAGCCAAGCACTATAAGTAGTAACCTACTGTGACAGGAAACAAATCAGCTTCTGGATGAGGAAGAAATTAAGAAAAGACCCTTAAGGTGGATAGGTCATATTTTACAGAAATTATCAAATCTAATAACAAAGCGAGCCGTAACTTGGAATTCTTAAGGCAAAATAAAAAAAGAGGGAGATCAAAGCACTGAGAATCGGAGGCATATATCAAGATCAGGAATAACATTTGGCAGAAACTAGAAAGTTCAGGCTAGGATGGATATACTTGATTGGTGGTCCCTGGTATTTCTCCTACGACTGACTGGGTTTAATAGGCTTAGGTAAGTCAGTAAGTAATAGCCTACTTACTTACTTACTTACGCCTGTTACCCCTTGTGGAGGAGCATAGGCCGCTCACCAGCATTCTCCATCCAACTCTGTCCTGAGCCTTCCTTTCCAGTTACTATTCAGCCTTTTCATATCGGCTTCTATTTCCCGGCGTAGTGTGTTCTTTGGCCTTCCTCTTTTCCGCTTCCCTTCCGGATTCCAAGTTAGGGATTGAGTCGTGATGCACATTGGTGATTTCCTTAATGTATGTCCGATCCACTTCCAACGTCTTTTCCTAATTTCCTCTTCAGCTGGAACCTGCTGGTTTGTCCTCTCCCATAAAACGCTGTTGCTGATAGTATCCGGCCAGTGGATGTTGAGTATTTTGCGTAGACAACTGTTTATAAATACTTGTACCTTCCTGATGATGGCCGTAGTAGTTCTCAACGTTTCAGCTCCATACAGTAGGACTGTCTTGACGTTCGTATTAAAACATCTGACCTTGAAATTGGTTGAGAGTTGTTTTGAGTTCCATATGTTCTTCAATTGTAGAAATGCTGCCCTTGCTTTGCCAATCCTTGCCTTTACATCTGCATCCGATCCCCCTTGTTTATCAACGATGCTCCCCAGGTACTTGAATGTTTCCACCTCTTCCAGAGTTTCGCCATCAAGTGTGATTGGGTTGGTGTTCTCCGTGTTGTATTTGAGAATCTTGCTTTTTCCTTTGTGTATGTCCGTGTGTATGAGAGAGGAGGGCTAGGTCATCTGCGAAGTTCAAATCATCTAATTGATTCTGAGAAGTCCATTGTATTCCGTATTTCCCTTCGGATGTCGAATTCGTCATAATCCAGTCAATCACTAGAAGGAAGAGAAATGAAGAGAGTAGACAGCCTTGTCTGACTCCGGTCCTTACTGGAAATGCATCTGTCAGCTGTCCTCCATGCGCCACTTTGCACTGTAGTCCATCGTATGAGTTTTGGATAATGTTGACAATCTTTTCAGGAACTCCATAGTGTCGAAGAAGTTCCCATTATGTTCTCCTATCCACGCTGTCAAACGCCTTCTCATAGTCAATAAAGTTGACGTATAGTGATGAGTTCCACTCAACTGATTGTTCAACGATGATCCTTAGTGTCACAATCTAGTCTGTGCACGACCGATCCTTCTGGAATCCAGCCTGATGATCCCTATGTTCGGCGTCTACTGCGTCTTTCATCCGATTCAGCAGCGCTCTGTTGAAAACTTTTCCTGGTACTGATAAAAAACTGATGCCTCTGTAGTTCTCACATTGGCTCAGATCTCCTTTCTTCGGTATCTTGATGAGATATCCTTCTTTCCAGTCCGTTGGCACTTGTTCCTCTTCCCAAATCTTCTTGAATAGAAGGTGAAGCATGTTTGCAGTTATTTCAATGTCTGATTTCAATGCTTCTGCTGGTATATTGTCAGGTCCTGCCGCCTTCCCACTTTTGATTTGTCTGATGGCCATCTTGACTTATTCGATCGTTGGTGGAGTGACATCTATTGGAAGGTCAGTGTGTGCTGCTTCGATGTTGGGTGGATTCAATGGGGCTGGTCTACTCAGCAGTTCCTCAAAGTATTCTGCCCATCTTTTCCTCTGTTCTTCAATATCCGTGATTGTCTTTCCTTCTTTGTCGTTGACTGGTCTCTCTGGTTTGCTATATCTCCCTGCCAATTTCTTCGTTGTATCATATAGTTGTTTCATATTCCCTTCTCTTGCAGCTTTTTCCGCCGCCGTTGCTAGTTCTCCCATGTATTTCTGCTTCAGTCTCGTCTTGGCCACAACCAGGTGGTGATCTGAAGCTATGTCAGCTCCTCTCTGGGTTCTCACATCTTCCATTGATCTTCGGAATTTTTTGTTGATACAGATGTGATCAATCTGGTTCTCTGTGGTGTGGTCCGGTGAGATCCATGTAGCTTTGTGTATGCGTTTGTGTTATAATATTGTGCCGCCTATAACCAATTTGTTGAAAGCACATAGGTTTGCAAGTCTCTCCCCATTTTCATTTCTCTCTCCTAGTCCATGTCGTCCAATTATATCTTCATATCCTGTGTTGTCCACTCCAACTTTAGCATTAGGATCTTCCATCAGGATGGTGAGGTCCTTTCGTGAGCACTTCTCTATAATTGATTGCAGCCTTTCATAGAACTGACCTTTATCATCGTCGTTGCTATCATTGGTGGGTGCATAACATTGGATAACGTTCATTGTGATCCCTTGCTTCTTTGTTCTGAATGATGCTTTGATTATCCTGGGTCCATGAGATTCCCATCCTACAAGTGCATTTCGTGCTTCTTTGGACAGCATTAGAGCAACTCCCTGAGTGTGTGGAGCATTTTCCCCTTCGTGATCGGAGTACAGCAGCATCTCTCCTGTACCTAGACCTTGTTGTCCAGTTTGTGTCCAATGGGTTTCGCTGATTCCGAGTACTGCCAAGTTGTATCTCTTCATTTCCATTGCTATTTGGCTGGTCTTTCCTGTCTCCCACATTGTCCGGACGTTCCATGTACCTATAAAGAGTGTTGCTCCGGTTGTTAGAAGGTGCATCGGTCTCGTGACTTCCGAAGAATTTCGGCTTTCATCATGAGACGTCATTATTCCTTCAACTCTTGGGGCAGAGTTTAAATGGTTTGAATTATTTTTTCTGGTTAGCGTTTTTTTAGCGAGTTAGCTTTTCTACGGGATGGGGTCGCCAACCCCATGCCCAACCCTCCTCCTTTACCCGGGCTTGGGACCGGCAGTAACTCTAGAAGAGCTACAGGCGGAGTTAAGTAATAGCCTGGTGTAGATAAAATTCCAATAAATTAGAAAAACGAGTGAAAATAGATAACACATACAACAGGAGATTCCAAAACATTTATTAGGATATATCATTATTATCCTGTTGTTAATATTTAGATGGAATCTCCATTATTTTCCACCAACAATTTAGCAATAACATTTAAGATAATAAAATTTAACAAATAAATCTAGACTAAAAGTTTATCCAAGTATATTCTCTTTGAAATAAGATATCAAGTTCATAGACTGGAATTTTTCAAGACCGTCTATCGACAATCAAACCCTAATCTTCTTAAATTTCCAGAAGCCATAGTCATCAAACGCCTTAACTCGTACTTGTGTCCAAAAAGAAGACAGTAATAAATCTTTCTTTACCATGGTGACGGTACACTCATTTTATTTCATCATTCTTGCAACTCTCTCTTAGTTCGATTATATCACTTCCTTCAAATTCATAAGTTTATTTCAACTGACTGATTTCAATTTAGGTTACTCTAAATGACCATAATTGTGCGTTCGTTTACTTCATTACATATTCAGATGTTGATTTTATTAAAAAGAGAAAATATTGGACAGTAAGATGTGGATAATGTAAAAAGCTAATAATGAAAAATATAACAAATGCGCGTTTACGTGTACCTTTATGTTATGGGTAATTACAACTTTAGCGCATAAATGTAGTCTGTGTCTACTACTTAACACAGATTAAACATTAACGTCAATGGATGCTCCCTCAGTGGTCTAAGAGCTAAGTGTTCGTTCGCGGGACCGAAGATCCTGAGTTCGACTCCCGTGTGCGAGATTATGAATGGGCACTGCTGAGGAATCTCATACCAAAACGAAGCGGCACTCCCATGATCCCAGGTTTACAATTGTAGTTTAACTTACATCGGTTCATGATTTGAATGAAATACTGAAGATGTGTTAATTTGTTTACTTATTTATTCACTGAAGAATTGTCTTACACTGAGCCACGAAATGTTAAACGATTCAAGTTTCTATTCATTGGCGCATTGAAAATATATATCATTACTTTTATCATCGACAATCTACTCAATACTCAGTTTATTTGAAATCGTCAAGTCAAACATTGGTAGCGATATCCATGTCGATCATTTAATTTACCCTTGATTGAAAAGTTTGTTAAAACGTTTATGTAAGATTATAAAATTCAAATGCATAGTTGTGATGTTAAAACATTAAAACGAATTTTTGTAGGAATAAAACTAAATGTAACGTCGACATGTTGAATAGACATATGGTCCAAATTACTTGTTAATAAGTAGTTATCAAGGTGTGGTTAGTAGTATTCAATTTTTTTCTGTTCAGGGAGTTCTGACTAGCTCATATATACAGCTCTACCGCATTCACTCTTTTTTATGCCAACCAGAACCTCTTCAAAGTAAATATTTTGTCTCATACACACGAACGAATGCAACTCAAATCAGTCAGTGTAGTAGAAGCCTGTGAATCAGCATGCCTTAACATACATAAAGGAAAAGGCAAGATCCTCAAATACAACACAAAGAACGCCAAAGCTAATCACACTTGGTGGCGAAACCCTGGGAGATATTGAATCTTTCACGTAGCTGGTCAGCAGTATCATCGATGAATGTGGAGGGTTTGATGCAGACGTAAAGGTAAGTATTGGCAAAGTAAGGACAGCATTTCTACAACTGAAGGACGGGTGAAACTCAAAACAACTGTCTACAAACCAACATCAAAGTAGGAATCTTCAATACGAACGTCAAAACAGTCCTATTGTATGGACCCGAAACTTGGAGAACTACTACAACCATTTTCAAGAGGGTTCAAGTATCTACAATCAAGTGTTTATGTAGAATACTGAATATCCATTGACCGGATACCATTAGTAACAGACTATTGTGGGAGAGAACAAACCAGGTTCCATCTGAAGAGGAAATTAAAAAAAGACGTCGGATGTGGATAGGACATACATTGAGGAAATCACCAACCAGCATCACGAGGCAATCCCTAACTTGAAATCCGGAGGGGAGGTGGAAAAGAGGATGACCAAATAACACGCTGTGTCGTGAATCGGAAGAAGGCACGAATAGGATGAATAGAAACTGGGAAGGACCGTGTGCGTGTACCTGTTTTACAGCAGTGGGGTTTCTGGAATCAGCAGTGCTTACTTTACAAGACTGGAGTTTGGTTAGTTGTAATATAAAAATAGTGGAGGAAAATTAGGATGGCAAAGAGCTACAAGACGATTGTTAGAACATGTATGTAGATAAGTTAGTTTATGAGCAATATGAACAACGTTGTGATCCTTAAATGTGGAAATAACAGGTAAATGAAGCCCATAGAATATGAGCTGACAGTATTTGATATAAGTAATAATAAGTTACGAGACATGCATCAGGTACACATGGTCCGGGTTACAGATGGTAATTCAATGTTTGGTACGTGATTAATAAATCCCCTCTTGAAACTATCCATTGACGGTGGTATGTTAGTTTTGGCTGCGCGAGCATTCATAGTGTATGGGAAATGAGAAAATGCGGGACCTTCCTGGATTTTCTCTCTTTTTTCTGAAATCATTTGAAGATCGCCTTGAGGAGCGTGACGGAGATGCTCTAGTATGATGTTCTTATTGGAATACTTTAGAACAACTTTCATCTGTGTGGTATTTTCAGTTCACCTATTTCTCTCCCATAGTTCAGGGGGAACAGTCCCAAGTGTCGGAGTGTATCTTCGTGAGACTTGCTTCTCAGCCTCCTCATCCACTTTGTTACCCGTTTTATGCTTGGTAAGCGAGTCTTATACTTCTTTCAAAGAGAGGGAGCAGCAAAGTTTTAGTCTTCAGAGTGAAGTCGTGAGTATGTTTTCAAGAAACGATTCTGAGGTAAATTTATCAACCTGTCTTCATGTAAAGTGCGGAATCGGATTCACTTTGGCAGCTCCTTCGCTGCAATTTCAACTATCTTACAAGTTTTTGCATGGTTAAAGGTTTTAAATCGAGCTTTGTGAAGACAATTAAGGGAGTTTTAACATAAAGAACGTACATTATCTGTGCTGCGTTTGACCGAATGTTCATAATATTACATTTTGCTGAGCTACCTATTAACTTCATCAAATGTTGTGAACGTGTCATAATATGACTCCCTAATCCATGGGATCTCAAGCCATAATTGCATCATTAACCATACCGACTCATGCTTCTTGCAAGTGCAATAATACAGTGTACGTTGATGATTCTTTTATAGGGATTTGCAGGCTTCCAGATCAGAACTTTGTTTTGTGGTTAAGCTCGTGTGTCATATTTGTTTTTCATACGGATACTGGACCTAGTCAACGAAACTTTATGTACAGACAGATTATCCTGAAGACTGTGATAGCTAAAATTCTTGGCAGTAAAGGCGGAAATACCATTCCTAACTTTCCTGAAGCTAAAACTGATGGACATTACAGCACAGCTTTGGAAAGAGTCTAACATGAATGACAATCTTAATACTTGCAAACAGGGGTTATGCAGGGTAATTAGTGGACGTGGTCTTCATGACCTTACTGAAGCATTGGATCATGTGCTAAGTGCTGGGTGCGAAATACGAAGTTCTAAGGATTCCAGGAGTTCTGTGTCGTTGAATGTTCAGCGATTCACCACTTGTTTAAACATATCATATAGTCATAATTAAAAATTTTTGTGTAATAACAGAGAGGGATAAAAAACAATGCAGAAGCGATACGGTAAAAGTAAATGTAGATAAAAACAAAGTACATTTGAACAATCTTTTCTTTAAAGAGAACAATCGCCGATCATAGCAACACTGTACAATTAGACTGTAAGACAACTAACCTCTTAGTCTTTATGAATACGAACTGATTACATGTGGACTAGAAAACGGTGTTCCGATTAAGCAAGGAACGACGTTCTATCGAAAAAATAGGTTAAATTTTTTAAAAACTGAGACATTAATATATGAAGTAATAGTTATGAAGAAGTGCAAAAACGTTACAAAATATGACCCGCAAAGAATAATTAACGCTACTTAGAAAAAGGGAACCCATTTCTTCTCTTTGAAACAGAACGAAAGTAACCAGCTACCATAGAAACAATTAAGGGCTGATAATTCAGTGTGATATTCACCAAGAAGGAATGATAAGTTAGATATGAGTGACATTATTAAAAAAATCAAACGATATTAAGTTGGTCCAAGCATAGAATCTATAGATAGTATAATAATAGCAACCGAAAAATAAGCATAATGTACTTGAATATAGAGAGCCAACGAAGTACCGTCACTGTGAAAACAAACGAGGAAGCTTTGGTACATGAAATGTATGCATGAAAATACGTAAGTTAAACTTAACACAGCCATCGTGAGATAAAAATTAGAAAACTATGTACAGGCAACAAGCCTTCATTTGGAAGGGTACTCACACCTCAGGGAAACTCAAAAAATAGCAGTCACCTTTATGCTATTGACTCTTGGTTCACTCAAACATTAATGAATGTGTCTTATCTGGTCACTTTACTTAATAGCAGTTTGCGATAAAGTATATGACGTTAATGAGCAAATGCGAACAAGATTAGTGTCCTGTTATTTTGACCACATCACGGCTTTCCAACACTTTAAAATCAATTTGACAATAATGTTTCCACAGAGTACCGGTTTTTTCACCAAGTAACTAGCTACTGTAACGTGTCTACTGACTGACTTGTAGATCACCAACGAAGGTGATCTGTGTTAATGACTGAGGGACTACTCGGGTTCAACGAGAAAGGTTCGACCAACCAACTGACGTAGAAGTCAATTATTACGGTTAATGTCTAACATGGACCATTCTTTAGTCGTATCCAGATAATATGGCTACTTTGATGACCATATAATGCAAGCAACGTTATGACGGAAATACATTCGTAACAACAGGTTCATGGGCCAATTCTTGGTGTGCAGTTGATAGATGCCTCGTTGATTACCCTTGACCTTGAATGCGATCGGTAAATCGTTCGATATTCAGTGACCCAACTGCTGGATGATTTGGTTAGGGCTCAAACATGATTTATTGGCCCTTTAAACTTATTTAGAAAACCAGACACATCTTAATATGGCAGAAAGGAACTGGCACATCTCTACGGTGTTTTACCCCCGGAGTTCAAGCCCAAATCTCGATTCAAAAATAGGTCGTATGACTTAACGGGATTTGTCCCTAACATCATTAACATGAAGTTTTCTTTCACTCTTTAGCAAAGTTTCAATTTTAGGTCGAGTATTCTTATGCATTATACAGACCTCGTACTTCAATCAACAGAGTTCGTCGTATGAGTATCACCATAAGGATTCACAAATTATTGAACATTTTGTTTTGTTACTTTCCGGCTAACAGTCAGTCGCGGAATTAGTGAATTTCAGGCGTGATGCGTTACTTGGCTGCATTTCTACTCTGTCAGTTAGGTGGTAAAGAGAAGCCTACTGAAAATGATATAAAGACTGTCCTAAATTCTGTTGGCATTGAGCATGATTCTGAGAGACTCGAGAAAGTAAGCTCGCAGTTATAAGTTAACTTTGTAGCTGTTGTCTTCGTTGTCTGACAAAGATATCCCACAACTGATTGCCGAAGGATCCAAGAAGTTGTCCTCCATGCCGTCAGCCTGTGCTGTCGTCTCTACTGCACCTTCTACGGCAGCACCAGCTAAGACTGAAGCCCCACAAGCAGATGCCAAGCCTGCAAAGGCAGAGGTCAAGGAAGAGTCCGAATCTGAAGAAGATATGGGCTTTGGGCTTTTTGATTAGTACACTTGAAAATAAATAAAGTACGGTTAAGATGCTTGTATTTTAAATTCATGGGTGATCTGAGTTCATGTCGCTGTAAATTTTAATGTCATAGGGTCGATCCTTTTATATGCTACTTCATTGCGTTTATTTGCACTGTGATTGATCAAGTTTACATCCGATATCGCATTAGAACAGTAGGTTTGTGAAAAACTTCGTTACTAAAGTAGCTGCAACGTTTACATAGAACTGGTAGATTTAATGTTTCTAGATCCCTGAAAAAACCTGAATACAATGCATTATAGCTCTTAGTCATCATGCATTCTCATGCATTGATTAGTTGATATTAGTACAACGTAACTACAAATTTCCTTGTTCTCTAGAATAAATTTCCTGTCATTGCCAGATCCACGCGTCTCGAATTTCTGTTATGAGCGTCCCCTGACCCAAGATTTATTGACGTCATTTATTTCGTGTTCTGCTTGTGTTATGGTTAGTCTTTCGCCTTCGCTCGGCACGTGTGCAGTAGTGTTACAGTAAGTGGTCCGATTGCAGTGTTGATTTTATGCCCAGATCTGCCTGATTATAAACGGTGATTTGTCGTTCTTCTATAGTTAGCCATTTTAAAAGTAGGAAGACTTGAACATCCTACAGTTCTTCAGCATAGGTATGATTGAGAATCCATGATTTCAATTTTTTCCGGTCTCTACTAGTGTGATTTGGTTGTCCCTCTAAACGTAGACATTTTGGCAAGTGTATCCCACATAAATGATTCCTGTTTGTATGAAGTACATACTGTTTCTCATGGGCATTGTTGCAATGACTATGTTCATGCTTTAAAACGAAGTAACGGGTTTAGGCGTCGGGTAGTCAATCTGTACTGTAGCTGAATCAAGCCGTGTCATTGCATTGCTTGTCATTTTATGGTTGTTTAATGCAGTCAGCTATCGTCAGTTCCTATTTATTTATGTGTGTGGATATTCTCAGTAAAGTATTTTAGGGATATCGATGGCAAGTGCATTTTTTTCACTGAGTGCTCTTTATTTTGCACTAGAAAGTGCGCCTGATAGTCCATTATGTATCCCATACTGCGGACCTATCGTTGTTCACCATTTCTAGACAGTTATTCCATATTCATGAGGACAGATATGCTGGCCAAGCTAAATGCGAATGAACTCGGGCTTCCTGCGAAACGCACCGACATGGCATTGATAAGTGTCACTGAATTATTTCTGATATAATCTACATTTTTGTGACGGGTATTTTTACCTATAGAAAATGAAAACAAAAACTCGTTTCGACTTTCTTCAGCCATCATAGGTATGTTCGCGCACGTTGGTTCCGAGATAGGTATAAGAGCGAACTAGGTATGTTTAAGGTATCACTGGGTAAAAATTATGAATGTCAATCTTAATGTAGAGTGCAACATGATATATATATGTATATATATATATATATCATATACGACAAATACTTTAGTAGATGATTGGTCTTGTTGCATTATGGGTTTTGTAATGGTGTCTAGTAATACTGATGTCAGGTTATGTACCAAACGGTACGTAGTTGCGTACTGACCAGTGCAAAAGAGCATCACAAAACTTGGAAAATATAACGTCTTCAGTTGTCCCTTGGTCGTCATACAAATTTGACTAGGTAGAAGGTTCTAGTGTAATGTTAATTTGTAAGCATGTAGTTCAAATTGAACTTGATCATTGAAGGCAGTAGAGCTCAAAGGTGGAGTTAGTCTAAAATTGCGAATAAGTATGCGATGTGTAGGTCTGTTCGGCAGTGTCACCTGCTCTCACACCTTAGTGTTGTAGGTTGTCAATCTCATTCTTCAAGTATTGGTAGGTCGAGTAATCATAAACCGACCTTCAAGCTTATTTCTGTTAGTAGTAATCAGCGAAGGACTTGTAGGTCTGTAAATGATGTACCACATCAGGAAAGTGAGTTAATAATAAGATGGGTCGGAAAGTAGTAGTGGGTCCAACAACGATAGCGAGGAAGACTAGAGCTAGAAGAAATGTTTTGGAAAGACGGAATGTAATAAAGGGATAACTAGCGAGAGATGATATTGGGACCCAAGGTTTAAAAAGAGTGAACAGTAGTTGTGATGTATCAACTGGCATATATACCGCTACCATTGACTTCAAATCAGGCACTTTTGAAATATGAAGGAGGATACAGTTATTTGCTAGCTTGATTCTAAGACAATCATGCAGTCTAATTGACTATTTTCTCAAGAACTACAACCAATGGTGTTAACTGGTGGACATTTTCTCTTTCTTCAATTCTCATGTTAAATAGCGTGGGGTTCCTGAGATCCTGTTGGTCTAGTACAAGTGGTATATCACCTAATTGCTTCAGTGTTATCAGTCATTGACTGATATTGTCAAATATGTTGTGTTTTACAGTGGCGACTAATAATAAATTTTTGGTTACGTAATAGAATACTGAATATATGCTAGTTGAATGAGAATTCAGCTGGTGTGCAGATTTATCACGGGAGGTGTGCTAGATGCACGGTAATGAGTTTGATTCCTAGCGAACTATTCAACCTTCGTTTAGTTGGGAGCATACAACTCTGCATTTTTTGTGGTACAATCTCATTCTGCTGGTTTGCGTTTTATTTTCGAAATCATAGTACAGTTCAAATTCTGCAAGTTATTGAACCACTAATGAATAGATAGACCGTCGCTACTACTTTGACGCTCTCGACCGCTGCCGCTACCTTAACGTGGCGGTCGGGCTTGCCTATCGTAATGAACCAATCGAGCTATACTGGCTGGAACAATCGTCCCTCAAGGTCTTACCGCGTTAGGCAGATCGGTTGAAGAGCGGTAGGACTAAAAGCAGCAAACCCAAGGTCCGGAGGCGAAGTCTTACTGCTGACTGTACAAAGATGTGAAGGTAATAAGGTGCTTCCTCCAGACAAACAGCATAACGGCGATGCTGCCTTCCCACAAGGAGGAGTGGTGTTAGAAAAGGACCCTAAAAATGCAAGCCTCGCCTTACCCCAAGGATATACGTCTCCGGCTGTAAGGTTCCAACAAGTACGGAACTAACACAAAAATTACCCGCAAAATGGTTGTGTGTGACCGACCTCAAGCAGTTGTCTCTTGAGCGCTGTGGTCACGCTCTCAGGTCACTAAGACCACTTCTAATCCAATTTCTTTCTCAGGTATCTCTAGAAGAACCCTTCCACTGTGTGGGTAACAGGGAAGTGACAACCGCCCTCATAACTGTAACAGCACTCAAGATCACTGTATTCATAACCAATCTCCTTCTTCAATTCCTATTATCCCTCGCACCTCGACTTTCAACACTAAACCTTCTCTTTCGGCTTCCTCCTCAGGTGTCACCATAGCCAACGATTCTAGTGAGCAAAACACTGTCCTAGATCTACTAAAACCTCGCTCCAAACTATACATTGGAGCCTTCAACGTACTTACCGTATGTGAAATCGGACAACAAGTCTCCTTGGCTAAAACTCTAGAATCTCGTACCATTGATGTATGTTGTGTCTACGAAACACGCATACAGGATCCTAGTGTGATCATCCACTTGACCTCACCAAGATGGAGAGCCGACGAGATACACCCTCCGCGTATCTGGCTAGTTCTCGTGGACTTGCAGGTGTAAGCATAGTACTTAGTACGAGGGCAGAACTAACACTATTAGAATGGATCCCCGTGAACAATCGCTTGTGTGCTATCCGGCTAAACAGCTCCGTAAGAGCTTGGAGGGATAGGGACACACATTGTCGCCTTTTCGTCGTTTCTGCCTACGCTCCCACTGACTGCAGCCATGATTAAGTGAAAGATGACTTTTACAGAAAACTCTCTGAGCTTCTTCAGAAAGCTAAGCGCTCAGACATAGTAGTCGTAGCAGGTGACTTTAATGCCCAGGTAGGCAGCTCAATTCAAACAGAAAGCCATTTAGGTGGGTATTTCAGTATTCCAGCTCAGCGAACAGATAATGATGATCGTCTGTCGCAACTGTGCTCAAACAATCGTTTATTTTTAGCGAACAATAATTTTAAGCATAAGGAGAGACACCGTCTAACATGGTGACCACCTTCACCAAACCAACGATGGACTCAAATAGACCATATTGTCATCAGTCATCGTTGGAGAGGCTCGATAGAAGATTGTCGTTCGTATTGGATTACTGGTTTAGACTCTGATCATGCTTTAATACGAGCACGCATTTGTTTGCGCCTCACTGAACTCAGAAAAACTACATTAAGAAGACCCATTAGAATTGAACTCAGTGACGAGAAAGCCAAAAGTAAGTTCCAGGAACAAATGAGTTCACATCTAGGCAGTTCTGTAGACGAGGCTGACCCAGATGTTGCATGGAAGGATATACGAACAGCTGTGCAATCAGCAGTAACATCTATAAGTAATTTAAACCAAAGGGTTCCAAAAAGCCAATGGATTTCGTCTAAGCTGATTGCACTGATGGATTCTTGCGAACTCATCCCATCAGGCTCTGAACACGAAGAAGAACAGAAGCAAATCAGATCTAGGTTAACCAAATATCTAGGAATGATTGTGAGTAGTGCTGGGAAACGAAAGCAAATGAAATGGAAAAGGCAGCGGCTGTAGGCAATGCCAGACAACTCTTCAGACTAATAAAAGAAACCGGAATTAAGGAGTCAATTGTAGGCGAGACAATCTCGGAAAAAGATAAGACTCTCAGCCCAGACGTTAAGAACGATGGGCAGAACACTTTAGAGAACAGTTGGCCTTTAGCTATTCTACAGTTACCCACCATTCCCAAACAGTCTGGATGGAACATTGAAGTCGGTCCCTCGAATGTAGCTGAAGTTCAAAAGGCTATAGCTAATCTGAAACGAGGAAGAGCAGCTGGTCCAGACGGATTGGCTCCAGAGGCCTTTAAGTATGACGGTCTAATCTTAACGTTTAGGTTGACTAATATTCTGACTAAAATCTGGGAAACGGACGTAATCCCATCTGACTGGTCACAATCTCTGATTGTCCCAATATATAAAAAGGGGCCAAAATAATCCTGTGATAACCATAGAGGGATTAGATTAACTAATATAGCATCTAAAATACTAGCCTCAATAATTATCGGGCGCCTAACTAAGATTCGTGAACTGCAAACACGAGAAAATCAGGCTGGCTTCATTTCTAGTCGTGGCTGCATCGACCACACATTCACCATTCGTCAGGTTTTAGAACACAGGCATGCTTGTTGGTGTCCGACAATGGTAGTTTTTCTTGACTTGAAAGCAGCATTTGACTCTGTAGACCGAGAGGTTCCGTGGCAGTGTATGTCATTGAAAGGTGTACCTCAGAAGTACAGAAACCGTGTAAAGGCTCTTTACTCGAAAACTACCAGTCGAGTGAGAGCTTATGGCGAACTGTCATTTGATTTTAAAACCTCAAGTGATGTCCGACAAGGCTGTTCACCATCTACATTTTTGCTCAATTTCATCATAGACCTGTTTCTGGAAATAACGACTGAATTTTTAAGGAATTGATCTTCTACCAGGAGGTTCACTTATGTACGTAGAATACGCAGATGATATAGTTCTGTTTGGTGAAGACGCTGATAAAATGCAGAGTCTTCTGTTAGCACTGAGTAACAATGCCAGGATATTTGGAATGCGTTTCTTCCCCTCTGAATGTAAATTGTTGCTCCAGGACTGGCAACTAAGGATATGGAGTGAATTAGTCGAACGCGTCGACAACTTCACTTATCTTGGAAGTCTGATCAGTCGTAATGGGTTGGTATCTGATGAAATCTCAGCACGGATTAAAAAAGCTAATTTGGCTTTTGCCAACTTACGTCACCTATGGCGAAGACGAGATATCCGTCTATCAATTAAGAAACGAGTATACTGCGCAGCAGTTCGCTCTGTTCTACTTTGCGGCTGCGAAACATGGCCATTAAGAGTAGAAGATATTCGTACGTTGCTAGTACTTGACCACAAATTCCTTAGAAATATTGCTCGCATCTGCTGGGATAACCGGGTAAGTAATAGTGAGGTTAGACACACGGCATTAGGGAATGATGGTAAATGAGTTGATCAGGTTGTGAATCTACATCGACTGAGATGGTTAGGCCACGTGTTACGTATGCCTGAACACCGATAACCACGACGTGCGACGCTGACTAGTATTGGGGATGGTTGGAAGAGAGTTAGGGGGGCGGTCAAACCAAAACATGGCATCAGTGCTCGAAGTCACTTACTTCTAGTCTGAGCCGTGTTGGTAGATGCACACTACTTGGTTGGGGTCCGAGTGACTATCGTAACCAATGGTTAAAGACTCTGTGTGACATGGCTCAGAACCGATCACAATGGCATAGGTGTATACACTCTTTGTCTTCTCTTAAACCGTGAGATTAAAATTGCTTCATATCTATCTTTCTTCCTGTACTATATACTTATATACAATCTTCCTTTCATATATTACCACTATTAAATTAACTACTTCTATGAATTCGGTGTTTATCTCGTTGTGCTAATGAGGTATGGAACTTGGACCGATGCATATATGTGCCTGGTCATACGTTGTAATTGACTGACTGAGATAAGCAGCCAGGAAATTGTCTAGCTTTGTTACAACAAATATTGAAGTTTACAAGTTGATAAACTAACTGTAGCATAAAATATAGACTATAATAATTGATAAACTTGTATTTATTGTAATCAATTGTTTTTATTCCGAAAAGACGGTTACGCTTTTTTCTAATGTATTGTCAAAGTCATACAAGAAAACTGTACTTTATACAGGTTAGAAAGTATATACAGCAAAGATTACAATAGTATATATGCATTAAACATGTATTAGATTGTGAAAAGAAAAGGGAATTATTTTGGATAAAACTTGACGGCCATGTGGTGTAAATGTTAGTCACATTTATTTTATGATAGTGTTGGCGACTAAATCCTGACAGTACAGTTGCTGTTGACACAGATAATTGAGTTGACGTGTAGAGTTTTCAAGTAGAAATTAAATTAGGAGACTTTAATGGTGGATCAAACGATTGAACTGATGGTGGGTCATTAAAATTCGGCATTCCTTGAAATATGTGCAGGTTATTTATTATCAACGCAATAATAATTATTATGATTGCTTTTTAATAAGTTTGTGTCATATATTTGTAGATCAGTTGGATTATTTTTAAGTTCTGCATGTAGCAGCAACAGAAATAGGATTATCTGTGAGAAAATGAATAAAGGGTATGAAGGAAAGTGGTTTCTTATGAACGAATGGCTCAAACGATTAAAGTTGGCAAATTTCAATTGGTGAAGTTACGGGGTCGAATCCCACTTCTTACATATTTCAGTTTTACTCATTGGGTTGTATGATTAGCTTTTACATAAACATCGGTTCAAGGTATACTAATCTGCTACTTGGTAAATAAGCCACATCAACATATCTTTTTAGTTACAACGTTGGAATACAAATATTTATTAGTTAGCTTGTTGGACAGAGACCACAAATCTCAATCTCTCTTTACTTTTCGAAGAAAACTTCGTAATATTTGAATCGAATTACTAAAATACTATCCAGTTAAGTTATATATCAACATATTGTGGGATTTCCGAATTTCCAAGTTGATGATTTACCAGACTTAATTAAATGGATTTACGTAGTTAAAACTTTTTCCGACATACCGATTTGTTGTTTGGATTAAGAAACGTTTTGTTTTCTCCCTCTTTAGTTTCTATTTGAAAATAAGTTTACCACATAAATACTTTAGTAGCACTATGGTTTTAGTGTGAGTGTAAACTTCAAATTTAATGTTATTTACTAATTGGATAAAATCTGTACTCGAATTTCATCAATATGTTTTGTTTGAGGGCTAGTTGCACTTACTCAACAGCGTAAACCAAAGTAGGGAGTGTGGAATACCGGTCTGCGAACCGATGATACTGTTAAATTTGTCAGTTTTTTTCAGAGGATATGTAACTTTTTGTTGAAAAGTTGTATAAACATGTCTCGCCTAGTTAGATAAAGATATTAACTCTATATGTTCTCTTTGTGTTTCAAACTCGAAAAAATTGTCATTTTGATTTAATTTTTGCTATAAGAAGCATATTAACCCAGGGAATGTAGCCAGTATTGTAAATAGTTTTATGTATCTTTTCTAAATGATAACCACTTATCACGCTTCATTACTGAACTGAGTCTCTGATGCTAGCAGTCTTACTCAATTATTCAGGCTCTGAACAGGTAAACCAGTAAATTATCAGCTTAAGTTTTGACTAATTAAGCTTCTGATTACACGTTCGTGAGGATAAATGGATTTGATAATTAACTCGTTGACTTAGAAATAAGATACTATGAAACACTTACCAATAAACTAACAACTGTCAATCCCATTCCGAGCATATATTCAGCGTATGCATTAATATAATCGACAAGTAGGTTAAAACAGCCCTTAGTAAAAAGAAAAATGAACATTATTGTTATGGCTTAGGATTTTTGTATTTGAAGAACTGTATTTCAGCAGTTAAAATGCAAGGAGATGTCTTTTGATTGGTGATATCTTATGATAAGGATTGTGGGGGAGCGAGGACTACTCACGAAACCATGTTATTGATGCAAGTCGCCCGGATAATTTGAAATCAGGCAGTCGCATCGTAGAAACCGGCACGTAAATACATCAGTTTAAGTTACCATACCTTATTAACATATGGAGATGAAATTGTCCGGGAAAATCCCAGGGAAGTTAGGGTAGTAACAATATTAGTGGTAATAGAAAAGATTAGGTATCGAGGATACTGTTGGAGAAAATATAAATCAGTGCAATGAAAAAAGGTTGAGAAGAATTTGGAAGCTTAAAATCTTTGGGAAGACGAAAAAGGATACATCTGTGTCATCGCAAACGATTTTAAGCCGGGCCATTCAGTGTCCCTGACCACTGGTTGCGATAATTATGAAGACCACAATCAGGTAGTCCACATCTGTTAACATGGCTGTCCGGTTGACTTCATGGCTTCGAGGGCTGATGTCATGTTTTGGTATGGTCGCCACTAGATTCCTCTCAGCTTACTCCTATTCCCGACGACGTCGTCCGTCGAGGTAGGTGTTATAACGTATGCCCTCGTAATATATATGAACGTGCAAATAGAGAGGAGTGGATTTATTGATCGGAGCAATGATGATGCATAAAATCGTACGAGCAGTCTTGAGTACTATTCGGTCCTGCTATTTGCCTCGCCCAGCCAGCTAAGTCCAGAACACAAATAACAGCCTCGGCAATATGAATAATTATTCACGAGCATACTGGGTTAATATACTAACCAAACAGACCACATTATACCAAAAAATTGAAAAATAACATTTGTACAATAATTGGCTGATGTGGTTGTGAATAGGGGGAAAGTAATCAATAATAATAGTTCAAAGGTCAAAATAAAGGTTATGATAAGGGGAACACGAATACGATTAGGTCAGTTATTTAACAACTATACAATAGGAAATAGGCATATTACATTTGTCCATAAATAGACCTCAGATTTACCATTCATAATTCACCAGGGGATATAACAGTAGGTGGTAATCGGGCATACGTAACGCATGCCCCAACCTCCTCATTTAATAACAATTTACTACATCACCAATTGACTTCCCACCCTTACCTAGTACACTATTTCTAGCCCAGACATTGCTTGTTCAGTGTTCCCAAAATACACGAGTACTGATTCAAAGGAACCTATAATCGATTACTAGTTACTCACGAAATTACAGACACGTAGCCAGAAGAATAGGTTCTTTCTGTCTATCACATTTTTGTGGTTTATATATTATCTAATTTCATTTGACATTTCCAACAATGGTCTTATAAATAGTAAGCTTATTTGTGCATATTAATAAATTGTTTGCTTTATTACGGTTTTTAAAGTTCTTAATAATTTAAAATATAATTTCATTATTGGCATGTTTGTTTATGGATAAATACATTAATCGGGTTATCAAGCAGTTCTTTTCAAATCGGCCCTACAGAATTAAGAAGGTAGTGTAAACAACATAGTCCAAGTGAGCAAACGTAACAAACATCTAACAACAATCTTTATAACCCTATACTAATAATCACCGTGTGCTTACTAGTGAGTAGCTGTGACCAGTAGAGTTCAACCGTGTCGGGTGTTAGGCAGTTACTTACCGAACACAAGTTTATTTATTTATTATTTATTTAAACACATATATATATTGGTACAAAAGGGAACCAGATACATATGCGCCACACAAAATAATGAAAGTAGGAAGAGAAAGGATGAAAAGATAAGGCGGACTGAAATGTACAACCAGAAGACTCTTTCAGTTAAGAAAGTTAGAACCACTCTTTATGAAGAAAGTAAAAGAAGGTTACAGCAGGTTCGCCACTGGCTTCTATTCTGAGCCGAACACAAGAAGGCTGCGCGATTTCATGGGTTGATTGAATTTGAACATTAACACCTTTGAATACCGGCTCAGTGGTCTGGAGGTCAAGCGAGACTGAGAGTCCTAGGTTGGAGTCCAACGTGTGATATTGGGGGCACGCACTGCTGAAGAGTCCCATAATCGGACGAGATGACTGTCCGGTGCCTATAGGTTCTGAATAGTGGTCTGAAATTGATCGATTCATGATCTTAACATAAGAAACAAATATTTATTTTGAGGACTGACTGATTAGAGATTACCTGGTCTGTCCACTATCCAAGCAATACGTAGGTGTGGTTTATAGTCAAGATCTGTCGGTGCGTCCGGACCTTTTAAGAATGGACTATAATGAGACGTACATGATGGAAAATGACAGAAATGATCCTGGTGATAAGTTTGAGCAAAAGGGCGTTTTATAGAGTATGGGTCCTCGGTTTTTAAAATTATAGAATTCACTGTCGATAGATAGGTGAAGAGAGATGACACGATGTATGTGCGTGTTGGCCATTCACTAGACATAATTATTCACCCAAACCCTCGAATGAATCAACATCAAAGACCTGAGCTACAAATCTTCACTATATGAAAGACAAGACTACAAATCAAAAGGATAGATTCTTTAAAAAATAATCCACTTATATATAAAGTTTCGAACACTGAAATAGGCACAACTGGATGTTATTTAATAAATAAGCAGTCTAAGGATATGAGAACTATAGATTATTCATTATCCACTGAAGTTAATTCCTAACTAGTAGACTTATTTCTTGCCTCCTCATAATAATTGAATAAAACTACTGTAATGGGTTTTGTTTAAATATCACATTTTTAACGACTTGCGTTTCAAGCTACCTAATTACGTGAAAATAACGTTGTACAACTACCCTATGCACCTTAATTTTAATGGAATTTCCTGAAAAGAAAACAAAATCAGTTCTCGATGAAATGTAAAATGTTTCTAAAGCAGTGAAATGTATTTAAACTATTTCAATGTAATGTTGGTAATTCACGAATAGATAATTTGTATAATCGACTGTGTCACAAAATGAAACTTTGAAATAGGAAATACAGAACATGAATCAACTTACTCTATAATATAGTGCATCATTATGTGGACCATTTAGGAATGTTGGTGGACCGTATTGCCAATTTTGACAACGTTTCTTATTACGATAAATTTGTAAAGGGAATCCGGTCAAACCATCAATTTTAGTTAAGCAACAAGATACTGGGACAAAATGATAGTAAAGATTTGTACCTACAAAAATCAATAAAGATTTCTTTATACACAAGAGAGAACATATTAAATGTCATATTGATGATATAAGTGATTTTCTATATTGATGTAAACACAGTTATAATATTTGCATTGTGTTAAAGCTTGCACCACAAAATAAAGCTGTAAAAATCTATGCAGGCCAAAGCTATAGTTAAGCGCAATGTAAAATGAGTAAAACTCGATCTCAGCTTATTATTAACGTATCATTTTTTTGAAGTTAGGAACCAATCTAATTAAGGCCATCATTGAAAACTAGGGAATACTGAACGGGCGTTTCATTCTAGCGTGGTACTTCATATCAGTATGTATCCGCAACCCCGCATTCCGTGGATCAAGCCCAGAACCTCCGGTTTTGCGCGCGGATGCTTAGCCTCTAAACCATTGAGTTGGGTTCCGATGATGTTAATGTCTAAATCAGACTTGCAAACCATTGTACAGCGGAACAGTGATCCACAGGGTTAAGCGTCTGTGTGCAAAACCAAAGGTTTTGGGTTCGAGTCCAACGCCCGGGGTTGTGGGTGCACACTGCTGGGGAGTCCTGTACTAGGACAAAACAGTCATCTAGTGCTTCAAAGTTGTGGATGAGTGTCTAACTTAAATTTGGTTTGTCATCTCAGTAAAATTCAACAGTCTTCACAACTTTATACTGATGAATATCATTAATTAACAGTTTGATCAAACGGTTTATACTTTATCCGATTTATCCAAGACCAGCTGATGCGGATTCATATTGTTTGACATACAGAAGCTTAATGTAGTGAATTTTATGAAAACACCTTCAAAGTAGTACAGTAGATATAAATTTTATTCTGTACTATAGACTTGTGAATATTATTCTTGGGATAGAATCATATTATATACTGATTTCTAATTCAGCAAATATTTCAACTGTAATATGAAAACCAATGTTTTGAATATGATTAAATATTTTAGATGACACTATTCAACATTGAAGCATTTTGAACAATAGAATATTCTAAGAATTTAAACTTACCTACATTAAAGCACCTAAATGAAGTAGTAATAATAATGATTATTTTACAGGTAAGCAAACAAATCTAATTTAATTATATTTTAGAAATTAAATTATTGCTTCTTATGACAATGAAACACAGTTCAAAGTGTTGTTGATATGAATATAAGGATTAGGTATAATAAATCAATCAGATTCTGTTGTAAAGATGAAAATGATTATGAATATATCAGATTAAGAGAAAAACATTCTCTAAACACTACTGTATTGATCATTAAATTTGGTGTTGTTTCGATTAAATTCTTTAGAAGGGACCAATCATTCGAAGATAGGTAAACTTGGATTAATTTTGATCTGATTAGTTATTCTCTGAAGAAATGGCTTACACTAAAATCACGGAATTTAATTTCTCTACTCGTTGGGATTTATTTATTTATTTATTTAAACACATAAATATTGGTACAAGGAAGCACCAATCTCATTCGGTTTGCGTGAGGGCTGTGATACTGCCCGGGTGCCCAAACTAAAGCAGGTGGTTTTCTTAGGGGGCCACACGCGGATTCTTTGACCTAAAGGTCTGGTCCACAAGGTAGTGGAGCATCGTGAGGAGATGCTGTCCCATGGTAGCCGGTGACCAACGATTGGTTCATACGCCATTTGTTCCCTTCAGGATACTGGAGCCCATGTGCACCATCGGTTTAGAATCGGGGTTTTCCAACTCCCCTAGGTGAACTTTCCGTGTCCACCAACCCTGTTTAAGCGCCGGGCATTCGCTTTTCGTTCTCTCAATTTTGTAGAGAACACCCCCACCATGAAAAGGCAGTGAGTAGGACTTCATTGGCAGAGGCTATATACGTGTGGCCATGTGAGGGCATTTCGAGAGGGAGAGCGGACTCTCCTCACTCTTGGCCGTACCAGGGCATTTTGGGGGGTGGGATATTACAAATATATTAATTTATTTGTAACAATCTACCCAACGCTCAATTTTTTCGAAATTATGAAGTCAAACCTTGGTAATGATACCTAAAAGCCGAATACCATTTGAGAAAAAGGGGAAATTGGTTTAATATGTTAAAGGTAAACAGAGTGATTGGAAAATAATTTATACGAATATTCGTCAAGATTTGAACGAATAGTTTGACAATAATTGGGCGCCGAGTATAGAGAATTCAGTATATGTGAAATAATTATATTTGAAATAGTCTCAGCCATTGAAATTTAAATAATTCCAACGTTTCGTCCAGCTTACTTGTCTCGACGTCTTCAGCGAAATAAAAAAAAAGTCCAGACAAGTTAGCTGGACAAAACGTTGGAATTATTTAAATTTCAATCGCTGAGACTATTTCAAATATAATTTTTTCACATATAAAGAGTGATTTTATATGTTTACAGTTTGTAAATGTGTATTCGGAAGCCATTCATGAAAAATGACCAAATGTTCATTCTGTATTTGTTGACTTTATTCAATTTAAAATGACTTATGTTATTCAAAATGAAATTGCATTTTAACAAGGCCCAGGACAGAGTGGGTTGGAGAATGCTGATCGGCGGCCTATGCTCCATTGGGAGTAACAGGCGTAAGTAAGTAATTCATCTTTGAAATAAGGCATATTTGCCAAATTTTGAGTGGAATTTCAACATTGTTCGTCTAAATAAGTTCTTACTTATATTAAGCAGGGAAGTTTTGTAAAATCAAGTTACATTTTTCTTGAGAATAATGTCAATGAAACAATTTAAAACAATGAGTGTGCTTTATAAATTGTAAAAGTGAACAATTCTGAAGTAATTGATAGATGAGATAGAATGGGAATGACTAAGTTGAAATATTGAAATGTGTGCAGATTAAACAAGGAAGAAATAGCATGTTGTAGGTTTTAAAATCAATGAGATAAATCGAGTTTGCCCTAATAAGTAAGATTAAACAAATAATTCTTATAAACTTCACTCTATTGCACAAGCTAATGGCCATCTGGACTCAGTAGTTAAATGGATAATGCAACGGTGTTTGAAGAAAACGGTACCCGGTTCGAGTCCTGTAGTGAACATCAACTGTGGGATGCATGTACATCCAGCCAACGAGTCCCAAATGGGACGAAACGAGCGTCCTGGAATCCAATACTAGTTACCATCCATCTCTACTTATCTCTGCAATCCGAACTAGATACACACACGCCAATAAGAGACTAATCAATTGCAACGTTAAACATCAATGGCAAGATTCATACAATCAATACAAAAAATGAACTCAATGATTTTTATGTTCATATTATACGGATTGTAGCAACTAGTTAACTATAGATAAAATCGTAAGCTAGTCCTCAGGTTGTCCAACGCAGAGTCTTAATGATACCAAAGTCACAATTCGTTTGATAAGCTTTACGTGTTTCTAAAATATAAATTAACACCATTATTATACACAAAAACAGAAATTAATAGTCTAGGAAGGAGGGAAGAAGAGATATATATAAATAACGTACGAAACAGTCACTAGATGATTGAAAAAATGAATTCAGAAAACCTAATATCATTTATGACGAACATCTAAGATTGTGATTAGGGAATAATCACAGTATAGTCATACAAGGCTAAAGCGAGCCAAGATGATTGGTATGTAGTACCATAATTGATGAGTTTATTTGTCAATTATATCTCAAATGCATCTTAAGTTACAGTTGATGAATTAAGTTTTTTGATGTATTTTAATTGCATTGAGTATCTACAAATATTCTTAAAGTTCGATCCATTTTAATTACTATAGTTGTATTCTCTCATCATTCTTAGTAGTTTGCCTTCACTTCATTGAAAATTGATGTATTTGAAGAAATTTCCCATATTTGTTGTTGCAGAGCTCTCAGTTCAATTCGCTAATTGACATTACTGGCATGACCCAACTCCTTGGTACAACCTTGATTTATTGTGTTCTTTTAATAATTGTTTCTATATACCGATTTAAAGGAAGCACATTTTCGCTGCTTCTATCTTGAAGCGTTGCTAATGCCCCATAGATACCTCGTTATTTTAATTTTGTAAAACTTTATTGTTTAAGTTGCCTTTTTACTTATAGTCCCATTTATTTCGAGGCAAATGTCGCGTTTTGATTTGAGAACTCAAGTATCACAGATTCTTTTTGATCAAAATCCTCAAGACAATTCAACGCAGGGTAAATTATTCAGTTATTTTTCTGTCGCAATGTTGATTCTGTTAAAAAATAAATATTAAGGGTTGAATTATGTTGGATAATTCTTAGCAGTAAAAAGCTAGGTGTTGGATTATGGTGCTACCATAGCCTCGTGAAATAAAAATTCCAGACATTACGATCACCTTTGTTGTGCATACATGTGTTGTGATATCAATTGTTATACAATCTAATAAGTTGCACTTGTTCGGTGACAAGCAGTTCGGAAGTAAATTACGACAACTAAATGAATTATACAATGAATAAAAACCAAATCTCTAGATATTAAATGCAGTAGTTTACAGTGTATTCAGATGGCAACAGATGAGCATGAATGTTTCAAACAAAAATATCATTTCAATTTACCCCCCCCAAAAAAAACAAATACATACGTGGTATAAGTTCATCATGACGATGTATATCAGTGTTGGTTAGTTTGTACCAAACAGTTTGATTATAATCCGACCAACCTCGATTATGTATAGCGCAACACCTAAGATTACTTTGCATAACATCCCATGCATTAGTTATTTGCATATTTTGGCCATAATTTGGAAATGTTTTGATCATTCGATAATATATCAAATTTGTCATCTGTACAGAATTAGGGAAAAAATTAAATGGATACAATGTTTGCCAAACAAATCTTAATATTAGTCAAAATAATAATTTTTATAAACTGGTTTACCTTACATTTATATGTAACCACATTTATATTCAATATTCACTGTTTCTCTGTATCAATGGTAAAGAAACGAATATATTTGTTTGGTTATATCTAACATACACTGCAATACCGCGGTTCTTAAAATGTAAACACTCTCTCTGCCGTTCATTCTTCTGCTTTATTGGCCATGGCCTTTGATTGAAGATTATAATAGTATTATAACATCCTTTTAGGCTCTCCCACACTACGTTGGAGCTTTGACCCGGATCACTAATTTGTTACTCTCTTTCGTTACTCACAGACATACGTTTAGGTTTGTAGTGTTAATTCTTTTTGGTATATTATTGGTAACTTTGCGTATTGTTATATTTTGAGTAGGCTCGTTTCCTGAGATCCACCACATACTCAAAGTGATAGAACGATGATATGATTTTCAGTATAAATTAACTATGCTATAAAATCTCACTTGAGCCCATCATATTTAAGAATATTCATATTTAAAGATAGCTTACATCGCGAGGTGGCTTTATTTGGGCAACCATTAAAAAGTAAAGAGAAGTGGACTTATATTTAGTGCTAGTATGAATTCCACAATAGTGTACACCTAATACTATGTAAGAGATCAAAATTAGAACCTTGATGACTATCAGGACGTGAATTATCTTCAGGCTATCGAATTGACACTTGAATTTTAAACTTCATTAGTTTTCGTATTGTGTAACCACCTACGGGTATCATTGATAACTATCTCACGACTGAAATTATTGAGATCCATCCTTCAAAGCTTCCAGTTAAAACTCATGAAATTCTGTTCGATTTTAACCAGTTTGGATCATACAAAAAAGATTATTAAGTAAATCACAAGAAAAATTGTAAGATTGTGGTTGTCCTATCTGAAGGACCTATTCAAAGTGATTAGAAAAAATATTTAAATGCCTAGTTTCCTATTATTGTTAGTTGCGACAACAGAAGGTATTTTTTATGTTGACGATGCACATCGCATACTTTCACTGATTGTCGTATCTCAAAGTACTTCTTTCGTATGCATTGATGATGGATTCCACTACTGTCTGTGAGATAAAGAATGTCTCTTATGATAAGCAGTTTATTTGATAGACGGGAACTTTGGAGTGGACACGAAAAATATACGTAAAACATAGACTACTTATAAGTAGTCGGTGGTGAAAATCAGTAAAATTCACAGAAATTCACCGTCTTGTGGTTAACGATAAAGAAAGTATCAGTTGATTTAAAGAGAAGACAACTATGTGGACGAAACAGATGAACTTTATAATTGTCCAACATACATTTAAGGATGCATTGTAAAGTTATTATAGTCTTGAAGTTAATGCTTTTACCAAGGCAATTCATACAATGTATTCATAAAATGCATATTTTCCCATTAAATCGTGGCTTTATATTTTGTTCAGTAAAGCATACAAAAACTCATATGATGTGAAAATTCTTTAAATCAATGCTGAAGAAGAACACGAAGGTTGTGAAGTCATCTTTGTTAATAAAGTATTACCATCTAAGATGAACATGTTATTAACTATAACAGATAGCTTTTATGAAGAAAGCTAAGAATATTTAAGATATTTTACTGTAGGCTGCTCGTACCGGTCGAACGTCATTTGTTTGGCACAGTGCTAAGATAAATCGTATTTTGATTGCTTCACTATAAACGTTTAGATGTCTTTAAGTTCAACCAGAAATTATCACATAATGTGATGACTTCTATATGTCAGTTTTCCATTTTTCATTCAATAAATTAACTTTTTTTACATGTTATCGCGCATATTATGCAAGATAAGGGTTTCATAATAATAAATATTTAAAACAGTGGAAATAGTATCTAATGTAAAAATAGTATAGAATGGAAAATAAAATTTATGTAAAATTAAGATGCTGGAAACTTTAATTAAACTTACAGTTTTAGGATACATATAAACAATCAATGATGTACAAGTAGTAATAACAATGAGAACAATTATACCAACACACGTCTGGAAGGAAAATAATGTTACATTGTTATTTTTATCAGTATAAAAATAATTACCGTGATAGATATACATCGATTTGGATGTATGAAACTGAAAAACCCAAGCAAACCAACCAACACAATGAATATACCACATGTTAGTATAACATAAATTCCACCAAATAATACATATCTTCCAAATATTTCGCTGGTTTGTTCAAAAGCAACAAGTATATGACCTGTAAAACCGGTTAAAACTGCACCGAACAACTGAAATGTAAATTTTAGCATAAATAATAAGAAATACGAATAATATGGAGCTTACAGTGATCAGTAAACAAAGCAATGAACCAATGATACGTGAAGGTATATTTGCATTAGTTTGTTTGATTGTATGCATCTGTTAAGAAGTATATAGATTAGAAAACAACTGAGATTTAAATCAAATATCCGTTTTATTCAATATTTAGAATTTAATTCAGAAAGTAAGATTTATAGGGTTTTGAAAACATGGACACTTTAATTTTATGGAAGAGCGTTTTGTACACAAAACCAACTTGGCCTACATCCTTGTAATTAATTTTAGTTCAACAAAGTTTGGACATACAAATGATTATATACAGACATGTTCATGAAGTGCACAAAATAATAGGTCTCTTATCTAATTTTGAATTAGTTAAGCATAGAACATCCAAATAACTGTTATCTCATCAAGTAAAGATTGTGGAGTATAGACAAAAATGCCTGTGAGGCACAAAACATCCAACATCAAAAAACGCTGCATGCTCTTAATATTGTTTTAAATTAAAACGACTCACTCGATTCAACTTTCAAAGAGAAAGAAAATCTATCTAAGAAACTTGTAAACGCATAAGACGTGAGTCATTACAAATTAACTCCCTTTAAAATTTAGGATGTAGGCAAAGATCGATCATTTATAGTTGTTGATCAAGCTAGAAGACAAAAATAACCTTAAAAAATAAAAATCTTACTCAGTTGAACGTTTCGGACAAATCGGATATCGTTCACATAGTAGAGACAATCGTATATCGAACAACGAATCTCTGAGTTCAAGCAATAGTTATCTTGCGTTTAAACCGTAAGAGTAAAGTTTACTTTCAATAACACAAGTTGGGGCTAGGTGAAGTGACTTCTGAAGACATATTTCACCATTAGTAAAGAGTATGGTCGACATACATGGCAAACATCAATTAATCATATGGTATTTGATGACAGCAAGATATGTTATAAATGCGCATGTGAACTGGCCATTGTAAGTAAAAGAAGTACACACTTGAATATGGTTACCATCAACAAGTTCATATCTAGGTAAGTCTGATAAAGTACATACGCATTTGAGCTCTGTACATTATTGTTAGGCTTTAGTAATAAAGTTTCCTACCCACTTTTAGTGTGTGTATTCTACTTAACTGATTGAAAAAGTGTTAAGAAGAGTTTATTTGTCGCTGTATTGAGTTTAATATGATAACAAAGATGTTCTACTAAGCAATAAAAACAATATTCCTATAGAATGCTAAGTTTGGTTAATCGTTGCTGTTCACCTGATATAAAACACTAAAAGACAATTTATGCAGAAAGGCTGGCCCTAAATGGTCTTTATGTGTTATGAGTTGATATTCATATCGTTCTAAATCGAACTTGACTTTAGTGATGAAATATTAATACAGAACCAAATCCATATTCGTAGATGAAACTACGTTTATTATTGAAGCCGATTAAAAGTTACAAACACAACCACAATAGCAGGAACGTGGGTTATATTTGGGGATGTAAAATGGTACTACTAGTTAGCTCCCCAAAACTCTAGTTGGTTGATTCTTACAGTTAATGTTACTTTGTTCATATGATACCATTCCCTGAAAGGAAACTTAAACATCTCAGGTAGGCTCGCATATAGGCTGAAAAGGTGTGGACACGGATCTAACAATGAGGTTAACTAATTTTCCAACAAAAAGTTGCTCGTCTTCGTTAACATGAACTTTAAAACTCTATAAACATGAATCAAAACAAAAAAACTTGGAAACATCAAAACTTTGTAAGCTTTGTTTTTTGTTGTTCGGTATCTGAAAATGTGGCTTATCACATCTGAAACACATTAGTCAGTTCCAAGTTGCATCATGAGTAAACGAACAGCATAACAGAGTTTATACTATTTTGGTATGTCCACTATCATTGAAAATGCATGTCTTTTTTGTACGATAATGCTGTATATTATTGATGAGAACATTTCGCATCACAGACAATTAGAAAGTTTCAAGTCGACCCAATTCTTAAAAGTCATAAGTCAGAAAACCTACACTACCATACAGTCCGTCCCGTTGCTACATAAAAGGTACAAATTCAAACTGTGTCCTTAATATAAATTGTGAAATGAAATGTTAAAACAATGACTTTCGAAAGAACTTTCAAAGTGTTGTGCTTTGCCGTAAAGAAATAATGTGAGGACAGATGATAATTTATTAGCACCTTGTACATGAAGCGTGCTCATTCCTTTACGTATTTATTCATACGAGGCCGGAAAGACCCTTTTGCCACGATCTTGATGGTTGCACGAACAACAGGATGAGAAAATTAGTGCAACATAATGAAGACGTTCCGTCGATAATAACGCGGAACGATTGGATGATCCCTACATATGTGTTGCATAGTAAAGTTTGCTTACATGTCCTCATTTGCCTAATACGTAGTTTAAAGGTTCTTGAAGATAACTCATACTGATGATGATGCAACGGATGTTCTAGTTTTACAACTAGCTACCAGTAGCACCTTCTATATTCGATCGTTCCCAGTCAGATAGAAATCAGAAGTCAGACAAGAAGAGGCAGGAAAGATATATTTGATTCGTTACCAATATATCGAGGACCTTTTCTATAAGCTGGCTAATGAAACGTAGGAGCTGTGTCCCACGCCGAGTCGAAACGTGATCTGGTGCGGATGCATGACCGAGAGCCTTCAGCTAAACAAGTCCACTTAAACAATGTGGTCAGCATCCAATGTCGAACACTTAATGAGCTATTGATTTTGGGGAATTATTTACAGCTACAGATCACTCCCCCCCTAGTGAGGTAGTGATGCCCCTAAGACGTGGCCAGCCAGAAGTTTAAACCCAACGAGTTTGTCGTTTGTAAACACTCTTGTGATAGCTTGCTTCGTTTAGCAGCGTCTGGTCGTCTTTCCTTAAACTAAGGGACTATGAGATACAACATAACAATAAAGAAATAAAATACAATGAAAATTTCGGTTCCTTGCGAAACTTCGTCGTTCTTTTCCAGCCGTCCTGGAAAAGAGGAAAAATAAAACGTGTGAGGGCATGTCGAAAATACACTCGTACTTGCGTAGGGACACAAGATGAGCGGAAAAAAATAAACTAATAGACTTACAAACAGCGTAAAAGCGATCAGGAAAAAAGTGTTTTTTTTTGGTTTTTTTATATAAATAAAAAATTATCATATTAAAAATTTTTTATAATGAACTATGGAAGGGTAATTCAAGATAAAGCTTATGTCCTACGTGCAATATTCGTTAAGATGTTCTGGAAATCTTACTCGTCTTCCAGAACGCGTTGTTTTAGGTTTATCTATCGATGTTGACGAAGTATCAAGCTGTGTGTCGGTTGTCGTGTATGGTACTACGAGTGTAGTGGCTGTGTCGTTTGCTTGTACCGAAGGAAAATCGACGTAGCTAGGGTTTCCTTCTAAGTACGCTGCTTTGAGTCGATCGATACTGATGCTATCGTTCGTACCGTTCTTATCGACTACATAGTACTAAGGTTCGCGTTGAAGAACTTTGAAGGGTCCTTCGTATGCTGATTCGAGGGGTCGTCGATGTGAGTCTCGATGAACGAAGACGTGTGTACTATGTCGTAATTCGGGTTGAACGAAAACATCAGTTGATTGAGGTCGAGTGTGAGCAGGTTTAACTGAACGCATAGCGTTTGTAAGCCTACTCCTGTAAGAGTTTAGATCCATGTTCAATGAAAAAGCTGAAGGATCTACGAATTCTCCTGGGAGTCGGAGTGTCGTTCCGTAAACGAGTTGAGATGACGTGTATCCAATGTCAGTTTTCACTGCATTGCGGATACCTAGCAAGACGAGTGGAAGAGCGTCTGTCCACTGTGAAACGTTTGAAGCTGATAATGAAGCTTTTAGTTGTCGATGAAAACGTTCTACCAACCCGTTTGCTCGTGGGTGGCAGGCGGTCGTTCGGAAGCGCGTGATTCCTAATAGTGTGATCAGACAACGGAAAAGTCCAGATTCGAACTGGCGTCCGCGGTCTGTAGTGATGGTTGAAGGGCAGCCGAAATTTGCTACCCATCGTTCGACGAAAGCGCGGGCCACGGTTTCAGCAGTAATGTCCTTAATCGGTACTGCTTCTGGCCATCGAGTGAAACGGTCTACGCATGTTAAGAGATATGAGTATCCGTTCGAGTCGGGTAAGGGTCCTACCAAATCTAGATGGACGTGGTCGAAACGAGCGTCAGGGGTTTTGAAAGAACCTAAGGGACATTTGTTGTGTCTGATTACCTTAGATTTCTGACAGCTTACACAGGAGCGTGCCCACTCCCTCACGTCTTTATTCATGCCAGGCCAAAAAAGCGTTCGGCTATAAGTTCGATTGTTGCACGAGCACCTTGATGAGAAAGATTGTGCAACGTATTGAAGACGTTGCGTCGATAATGTTTTGGTACAATTGGACGATCCCTACCTGTAGATGTGTCACAGAGCAAGGTTTCCTTACCTGTTCCCATCTGCTTAATACTTAGTTTTAGAGTTGTCGAGGATAACTCATGCTGAAGATCAATGTCTTCTTTTTGAAGCTGAGCGAGTTTAAGAAGGTCGATTCCTTGGAAACTGTTCAAGGAGCTAATTCGAGACAAGGCGTCTGTGACTACATTGTTAGGTCCAGAAATATGTCGTATGTCTGAAGTAAACTGCGAAATGTAGTCGAGTTGTCGAGACTCTCGCGGTGAGTACTTGTCTGAAGATGAAGTTAAAGAGAAGGTAAGAGGTTTGTGATCGGTAAAAAGCGTGAATTCTCTTCCTTCGATGGAACGTTGGAAATGCCGTACAGCACAATACATAGCTAGTAGTTCCCTACCGAACGTGCTGTGCCTAGATTCAGCGTCTAGCAACCGTCTCGAGAAAAATCCTAAAGGTTGCCAAGAGTTCTTAACCCATTGTTGTAAGACTCCTCCGATTGCTGAGTCGGATGCGTCTACGGCGATACTAATGGGCGCTTGAGTGTCCTGATGAGCAAGCAAGGTTGCTTTAGCGATGTGTTCCTTAACTGTGGAAAATGCTTTACGAGCTATGTCGTCTAAACTAATTGATTTCGCATTTCCACGAAGCTGATCGGTCAACGGTTTCATTAGGGATGCGCATTTAGGTATGAACCGTCTATAGAAACTTACGAGTCCGTTAAAAGTTCGTAAGTGCTTGATCGTGGTCGGTTCTGGGTAATCCAGAATGGCCGCCACTTTGCTCCTAAGGGGACGGATGCCTTGGGCATCAATAGTGTGTCCTAGGAAGTCTAAGGAGTTTGTTCCGATTTGGCATTTCTGTATGTTGACAGTAGTGCCATGCCTTTGGAGTCGATCGAAAACAATGTCCAGATGCTTTAGATGCGATTCTCTGTCCGAACTTGCTATTAGACAGTCATCAACATACGCATGTACGAAGTTGAGACCTCGGAAGACGTCGTCTATAAACCTTTGGAAGGTTTGAGCCGCGTTTCTTAAACCAAAAGGCATTCGTAGAAATTCGTAAAGACCGAAGGGAGTGATGATGGCGGTTTTAGGAATGTCACCAGGTGCCATCGGGATTTGGTTATAAGCTTTAACCAAGTCGATTTTCGAAAAGACAGTTGTACCTTTCAAGGTAGCTGTCAAATCGTGAATATGAGGCAGCGGGTAACCATCGGGAATGGTTTTAGCATTCAGACGCCGATAATCACCAGTTGGCCGCCAATCATTGCTGTCCTTTTTAGGGACCATGTGCAATGGGGATGCCCATGGACTATTCGATGGTCGAATTATCCCTAGGTCCATCATGTGGTCGAATTCGTTTTTAGCTAACGTAAGCTTCTCGGGAGCGAGTCTTCGAGCTTTCGAAAATACAAGTGGTCCTGTAGTCGAGATGTGATGTGTAACATTGCTGGTTACACAAGGCAATTTCGATTGCGATTGGTATATCCCGGGGTATTTGTCGAGTACTGATTTGTACAAGGGGTCTATGGTGTGCTTAATCGTGACTGGGGATAACCTGCAACCAGAACAAGGAGTTACGCAAACAGATAACTTAGTGTTTCCGTCTATTAACTTTCGTGAGCGTGTGTCGATGAGTAGATTGTGGTGTTGTAACAGGTCTATACCAATGATTGGCATAGAGACATCTGCAACCACGAAAATCCAGTGTATGGGATTGCGTAAACCCACGTTAAGGTAGACGTACCTTTTACCGTAAGTAGCGATCGGCTATTCGTTTGCCGCCTGTAAACTTAAAACAGACTCGCGAAGTCTGTCGTCGGGATTTGCTGGAATAACACTAACTTCTGCGCCGGTGTCGACGAGGTAGCAAACTTTCGTAGTTACATCCGTGACATATAAGAGGCGGCTGTGTTCGCCGGCTACGGTTGCCGTTAACGCGTGCCGGCTGGGAAGTTTCCCGAAATCTTATTCGTGTCAGTCGATTTTGAAGTCGGATAATTGCAAGGTTTCCTGCAATTTCTGGAAAACTTACCGTACTGGTTGTGATACCAGCACCAGTCGGGATTGTCTGTCTCTCGTGGTCGAGAGCCAGATCGCTTACGTGAAACGCTTCTACGCGGGGTTTTTGACCGACTACGGTCATTGCGAACTCTAAGATATCGTGCAAGCGTGTGACATAGTTCGGCCATGTCAGTCGAGGTCGATTGGGGTTTTTCTTTGACGGAAAAAACCTCGGCCTTAGAAGATCTAGTGATTTACAAGATTCGATCGGCAGATGCAGCTAGTTCATCTATGGCATTGTTTTGAAGTGAAACAAGCACTGGCTGCACCTGTTGAGGGAGTTTAGACAAGAAAAGTTGTCTAAATAGGCCATCATCGAAAATTCGTTGGCCGATGACTTCTCTCATTCTAAACAACATGTCCGTCGCAGAACCATGTTGCAAGTCGATATTGTTAAGGAGTTGGTCTAACCGTTGTCGATCAGTTAGGTCTCCTCGTTTTAAAATCGGTAGTTTAAGCGTTTCGTAAGGTTCGGAAACATCACTAGTAAACATACTAGGTGTTACGTACCTGTTAAACTCGCGCGGTAACGCCTTAACTACGGCGAGGAAACGTGTGCGCGAGTCCGTGATTCCGTGCATGCTAAAATCGGTTTCTGCGTAGCAGAACCAGGACTCGATATTGTCGGGCCAAAATGGCGTTAACTGAATCGAAATAGGGGGAATAGACTTAAACTTAAGAACCTTAGGAGAGTGTTCCGTCATAGTAATATAGATAACGAAAAATGTCTAAAATATATCCGAGAAAAAAAATTCGCGAAAAAAAGTATATCACAATATATAAAATTCAAATAAAGAATAACAATGAATAATAATATTCCAAAATGGAACAGACTCACAGTATATTGACATGGTGTACCAGATCACGTCGGTCTCACCAATGATGATGCAACGGATGTTCTAGTTTTACAACTAGCTACCAGTAGCACCTTCTAAATTCGGTTGTTTCCAGTCAGATAGAAATCAGAAGTCAGACGAGAAGAGGCAGGAAAGATATATTTGATTCGTTACCAATATATCGAGGACCTTTTCTATAAGCTGGCTAATGAAACGTAGGAGCTGTGTCCCACGCCGAGTCGAAACGTGATCTGGTGCGGATGCATGACCGAAAGCCTTCAGCTAAACAAGTCCACTTAAACAATGTGGTCAGCATCCAATGTCGAACACTTAATGAGCTATTGATTTTGGGGAATTATTTACAGCTACACTGAAGATACGGATTTTTTGAAGCTGATAAAGTTTAAGAATATCGATTTGTTGGAAAATATTCAAGGGAGCTATATGAGACGAGATGTTGGCAACAACGTCAGTTACTTCAGAAATGTGTTGTATGTATGAAGTAAACTGCGAAATGTAGTCCATTTGTCGAGACTCTCGATAGAAGTACTTATCTGAAGATAAGCTTAACGAGAAGGTAAGATGTTTTTAATGGATATAAAGATTGAGTTCTCGGCCATCAGCAGAGTCATGAAAGTGCCGTACAGCACAATGCATGGCTAGGACTTACTTAACGGAAATGTTATACCTCGATTAAGTGTCTATCAACTGTCTCGAGAAAAATGCCAATGTTTGCCGGAATTGGTTAACACATTGCTGTAAGATTCCTCCAATCGCTGAGTCGGATGCACTACTGCGATAATAATGATCGTCTATGTGTCCAGATGTGCCAGCAAGTTTGCATTTGCGATGAGTTCCTTAACTGTGGAGGATGCATTTCGAGCGGTATCGTCCAAATTGATGGATTTTGCATCACCACAAAGTTACTTGATTAGAAGTTTCACAAGGGTATTAACCGTCTGTAGAAACTTACTAATCTGTTGAATGTGGTCGGTTCTGGGTTTCCAAAATGGCCGCTACTTTGCTTCTCAGAGGTTACAGTCCTTGAGCATCAATAGTGTGTCCGAGGAAATCGAGGGAGTTGGTTCTGGTGTGGTATTCTTGTATGTTTACAGTAATGCCGTGCTTTTGCACTCGTTTGAAAGACAAGTTCCAGATGCTGGATATGAGATTCTCTGTGCCAACTTGAAATCAAGCAGTCATCAACATACGCATGTATGAATTCGAGACCTCGAAAAACGTAATCTATGAACATTTGGAAAGTCTAGGCAGCGTTTCTTAGACCAAAAGGTATTCGCCAAAATTCGCAGAGACCGAAAGGAGTGATGATAGATGTTTTTAGAATGCCGTCACGAGACATGAGTATTCGGTCAGAGCAAATAATCAAGTCGATTTTTGAAAAGACGGTTGTACCTTTCAAGGTAGCTGTCAAATCGTGATAGTGAGTCAACGGGTAACGATGAAGAATGGCTTTCTCATTCGAACGCCAGTAGTCACGAGTTGGACGCCAGTATTTGCTTTTCATTCTAGAGACCATGTACACAGGAGATGTCCATGGGCTGTTCGATGACTCTCAAATCTTTCATGTGATCAAATTATTTTCCGGCCAACCTCAGCTCCTCGGGAGCTAGTCGGCATGCTTTCGGGAATACCGGTGGTCCTGTAGTCGTGATGTGGTGTTCAACATTGCTGGTTACACATGGCATTTTTCGGTTTCGTTCGGTATATCTCAGAGTACTTCTGGAGGTTTTTGGATCCACGAAATCAATAGTTCTTTAAGTCATGAACATTTGATGCTGACCATACTAGCTTTACTGGACGGATCTACCATATGGGGCTGAAACTTTGAGAAATATCAACACTGACAAGGATCCAGAATAAATCGATTTCTCGTTAATATTGACCGAATTTATTTTCACGGATTTCGAAGTTGTCGGGTCCGAAAATATTGTGTATATTTGCACAAAATTAGTGTTCGGGACATATTCCAAGGTCAGTGTGCCTTTTGTGTGAAAACACATGTCTGCGTAGATTTATATGTGTGAACAACCTAGGCTATCGTTTAACCCAGGATGATTAGGGGTGTCCGAGTCTGTACGCCTACTGGGCATTCCCGGAATAGTTCAGTTTAAGTCGGGTAGAACTCGTTAAGCGCGGACGAACACAGTGTATTTAGAGTTCATAATAAGTGCGGAAAATATGTAGAATTATGATACAGTTTGGCATCAATACTACTTTACTAATAGACTTTATCATAAAATCGTAGTTATTTCATGATGTGACAACTTATCTATAAAGTTTTATCTGGAAGTCGAATGATTGTCTACAGAGATCATTGTATTGTGACAATTAACAATATGATACTCAGAACTTCTGAAAAACACATTTGAGCTGGTGATAGAATAATATATCTAATGTCAATAGTAATGTCACATATAATGACGACGTCTATAAGGTTGAGCCATGTCATCCTATTGATGAATGTTCCGGCGTTTACCAATGTTGACGTTCCTTTTATGTTACATGTTGAATATAAATCTTTATGGAAATTATATCCTCGGCTTCAGAGATCGTTTGGTTGGGAATCGATGCCTCTACAAATCTACAGAGGAATCATCATATCATACAAGCATCAAATTGATCTACGAACTACCCTATGAGTCCTATTCAACAGACATGCCAACTTTTTGCACGTGTAGGACAGTCATACACGTAAAATGTAAAACACAAACATCATTCTTATACAGCAAGGAAGATGAAGAACACTGAATGTTTCTAACTGAAATATATAACTCAGCTGCTAAATCCGGTGAAAAATGGACGATACATAATCTTTCAATTAATTACTTGTGCCTGTTACCCCTAATGGAGCATGGGCCACTGGCCATCATTCTTCAACACGCACTATCTTCGGTATTCCCTTTTAGTTCTATCCAGTTGTTATTCATTCTTCTCATGTCTGTCTCCATTTCTCGGCGTAGGGTTTTCTTTGATTTTCCTCTTCTTTTTGGCCATGTGGATCTCGAGAAAGGGTTTGTTGGGTGCTTTCCGCAATGTGTGTCCTATCCACTTCCAGTGCTTCTTACCGTAGAAAACTAAATCGCTGAAAAACGACAAATAGGAAAATAATCTTTGAATAGCAGTTGAAATACAGTTGTGATAAAAGGTCATCTTGGTCAGTTACCAACGTGGCTTACCACTTGGAGCCCTGGTCCTCCTATCGGATGCAATTTTTCAGGTTAACAGTCTTGACTCAACATGGAAACTACGCCAATGTAAAAGACTTAGGTATACGAAATACTACTCATAACTACAAACATAATTTATTACACTGTCATGATAGAATGGCTTTCACTTCTCACAGTACTTCTTAGCTGTGCTGAAAGTCTATAACGAGAATAATGGGTTATCACTTATAGAGGAATCGGTTGAACATCCAAGCTGAGAGTGCAACAATGAAACTACGTTAACCCAAAAATGTGTAAACAATACCATCTAGGGTCTCATAGAAATTACAAAAAGAGTACAAATCGTTCTCCACGGGGAGTGTCGCTAGTGGGATAACTTGTGTGTCTTGGTTCGAAAAGTTGTAAAATCATATGACAAGTGCGATAACAAAATGACGTGAAACCTTGTTATAAAATTGTTCTATTCGTATTCTAAAACTAATTTTGTGTTTATCAATACTGCACTTGAAAAAATTTGTTTGAATGACAATGGCAAGTGGAATTAGAGCGCTACAATTTGGATGAGCCGGAAAAGCTTATTCTAACACTAATTTAATGAGTTCATCCAAACGTAACAAAAAAATGTGCAAAAACACACAAGCAGCGTCATATCATTGTATTGGTCAAAGTCTAAAAATATAATACAGGAAGATTTAAATTGCCTCTTAAGTGTTTTTTCTCTGCACAAGGTTCTACATCAATCCTCTCAAAATAAAACCATCCTTGAGAACGAACTATAGTCGTCGTACAAAAGAGATTAAATATGACCAAATTTTCAAGTATATTAAGGAAACCAATGAAGATGTAACTTCGACAGTGTTGTTCGTGGTTGATTTTCTTCTCACGCTTTCAGGATCATTAGACTCACGGTTTGATATACCCAGCATCGATTCTCTTAATGAACCCAAGGTCATAGTAGAAGTCCTTCTGTCGATTTATCAAGGGATATTTTACATGTTAATTAGAGTCATAGATGTATATTTAAAGTAGTCTAAATAGCTTGAAGTCCCATTCATTGAATTTATCTTGAAAAACTGGTCTTTTCCTTAAAACCAAACACCATTCATTAGTGAGTTTTGGCCAACTTTGTAAGACGATGGCCATGGAAAGAGATATTCACCAAGGAAATAGCCATATACAAGGTTGTCTGTGTATGACTTCCAAATAGGTAAGACAATCTCATCAGCCTAATCATTACAGGTATCTCTTGTGTGTTATAGTTTTGTAACTTGTGTATCTTGATATTTTTGGATGAAACTTAATGAGTTTGAGTACTGTATCCAAATAATAAGATATGAATTGTGAAATGGCCAATTTGAAGCCTATTTAGACTAGTAAACAGACTGGCTTAGATTTTGTATTACTATTACGTTGCTGAAGCGGACGACCTGTAAATAAAAGTGTAGATCACCAATATAGATGATCTACGTCGAATGATTTGGGGCATACTCGAGTTAGATGGAAATAGTGCCACTAACCAAATAACTTCGAAGTCATATCTTGCGGTCGACACCTAACGCGGACTACTGCTCCTTCCAATACAAATGGTGCTGCTGCTTTGAAAACCGTATAACACAACAGACATTTTGCAAGGAATATATTAGTAAGAGTGGGTACAAACAAAATTTCGACCTCCACCTCATGGGCCAGTCCATGGCGTGAGACTGACTGATGCGCATTGGTTATGCTTGAACTTGACTAGGATCTATTAACAGCTAGACATTCAGCGACCCGACCGACGAATGATTCGGCTAAGTCTCAGTGACATTTCACTGGCCCCACAGAAGACATTGTTTACGTCTTTTTGAAACTGTATTATGTACGAGCTGTTTCTCCACATAAAAAAGCTTAAAGCGCAACCGAACAACTTACCCAGGGATTCTTAAGTGGTTCTTTCGACTAGTCTTACACGTGATTTTAGTTTTGTTGGATCTATAATACTATTCTGTTTGTAAAATTGAGGCGTCTTGTGGACATGAATATTTAATTTTTTCCGAAGATATGTTTTTAAAAATTTCAGCGGAAGTTTAGTCCTAACGTGATTTACACTTCTCAAACTTTTGCTGTGTTCTTACGCAACAAAAGTATCATTTCCAATCCAAAGAATCTATTCTGAGCTATACGTTCGGTAGATTACTTCTTTTTTTGTGTTTCACTCAAATTAATAGTTAACTGTGGTTTTGCCTCAGCTCACTATCGGTTTTTTTTATAGTTTTCACGTAAAGGCTAGCTTTAGCTTATCGTTAACTGTTTTTATACATTTTTGATAGTTTTTGTTTACTGTGTTTTTTTTAACGGTCCTAAATTTACTGCTTATATTTTTAAGACAGTCTAAATCACTAGACATGAAAAATTCATGCAAGAGACCTGGTTGCCGTTTTGCCGTTACATCTGGCATGCAATGTGACAACTGTAAAGGTTGGTTCCATGAGGCATGTACAATTCTAACAGCAGCAGCCTATAGCAGACTCAGCAAGTCTAATCGTAGGTGGGTATGTGTTACCTGCAACACCGATACGGTAGTTATGTTGGGTGCTATCATTACTTTACTGACAGGTCTGAGAGATAAGTTGTCTAAGAATTCGGTAAATGATATCATCATGACGAGTAACAAAGCTGGAACGCATAGGGCAAATAAGAAAAAGGATACTGACAGGTCGGTTATCGACGGTGCTGTTAACAGCACGAGTGATGATGTGCTGAAACTCAGCACCATCTTAACATCGACTGTCATCGAATCCCTCAGTAAACTTGGGTCCCCCGGGGAACGGTCCTTGAATGAGACAGTGGTTCCCAAAAAACCTGTAGGTGGATGGACTCACGTTAACAGGAGTAATAAAGCCCAAGCGTCCGCTCCGAAACTGAACGTCCCAAGTATCGTGCGGAAATCAGTTGATGCTTTGGCCGCACAATCTACACCCAAGACTGTCCGCCCGGTCATCACTGAGCCCAGGAATCGAAAACGCGCCTCGACATCTAAACAACAGGATACCAAACCTAGACGCCCTGGAAAACCTGGGAAATCAATTGCGGTTCGTGACGACTCTGTCATAATCACGAACCTTATTGACAACCCCGACCTTCCTCTCAGTTTGCAGGACAAAAACGATAGGATGCTCTGAGGAGAATTAATCAAGAGGCTTGAACTCCCTAGAATAGAGCCTTTGACCGTCACACGGCTCACTCGGGGGAAGGACTCTAACCACCTAAACCACCCGAGGCTGCTTCGTGTTACACTTAAGAATGCCTCCGACGTAGAGGACGTCCTGCTAGCCAGTCACTTACTGAGGTCCGATGGGAACGTAAGAATACTGCCCGACATACCGTATTCTGAACGAAATCTCATCCGGAACATCCCTAAGGAATCTCGCGAGGCGTTTTTCCGTGGACGAAATATCATTGTGCAAGGTGTGCCGGAAAATATGGACCCAGCTCAAGCAAACTCTGATACTCGGGAATGGAAATTCATCAAGCATTCCTTAAAACTCAAGAACACGTTGACCCAACCTTATCGGCGACCTGGGATTATTCGAAAATGTGAAGTCGGCAACCCGTTGGAGAAACAGTCAGACGCCGTCACGCTTAGACTGGGTATTCACAAACGAAGAATTCCTAGTTGACGACCTCTCAATCCTGGCTCCCCTGGGGAAAAGTGATCACGCCGTCTTATCATTCAGCTTTGTCAGCAAGATTGAGCTACGATATCCTACTAGCAACAAGCGCTGGAACTTCAAACGGTTGAATGTGTTAGCTTTACAGGACTATCTTCAACAGGTGGATTGGGATGTTCGCCCTCAAATTGAAGTGGATGTCATTGGGATTTTTTACTGCACACGATCTTATGTGCTACTGAGCATTCAGTTCCTAAAATGGTCCCAAAAAGCTACAAGCAACCTGCAATCATCAAGAACCGCACTCGTCGTTTGCTAAGCCGCAAAAGGCACTGTTGGGCTGAATATAAACGAACTGATAACAACGGCGCGTACAGGCAATACAAACATATAAGGAACATATGCACAAAGGCAATAAGAGAAGACAGGCTGCAGTTCCAGACCAAGCTTATCGATAGATTCGTCTCCAATCCGAAAAGCTTGTTCAGTTATGCAGCTTCTCTTCGACAAGGCAAAACTGGAGAATCCCAACTGCTTGGCCCTAATGGCTCGACCAACAACGACAGTGATGCCGCTAACCTTTTGGCTGAACATTACTCCCGGACATTCCAGCTGACCCACATCAACCATACTGACGAAAGCTTCACCTGCACCTGTACAGGACTTTCCGAAGTGGACCTGAGTACTGACTTGGTGCTCCGTAAACTGCAGAACCTAAGAAAAGACACTTCTCCTGGTCCGGACATGGTTCATTCCGCCGTATTGAGGGAAGCAGCTTCAATCCTGGCGACACCACTTAGCGTGATGTTTGCACACTCGCTAAGCAGAGGCAAACTACCGGAAATATGGAAGCTGGCCCACATCACACCAATTTTCAAAGGAGGTCGACGCAGTGAACCCTCAAGCTACCGACCAGTGGCCCTTCTCTCCATACCTTCCAAAATTATGGAATCCCTAGTATTCGACGGCATACTAGAACACTTATCATCCTCAAAGTTCTTCTCGCCTCAACAGCATGGTTTCAGGAAAGGTCATCCTTGTATGACCAACCTGCTGACTGCGGTGGATAGATGGACAACCATCCTTGATCGCAAGGGGAAGGTTGACGTCATCTACATGGACTTCTCAAAAGCTTTTGATAGGGTCAACCATGCATGTCTTATCAAGAAGCTTGGACGATTGGGTATAAAACCCCCTTTAATTGACTGGATCACTTCATACCTAGAAAACCGACATTTTAAGGTCAGGGTTAACTTCACTCTCTCTCAGGCTATGGAATGTCCTAGTGAGGTCCCCCAGGGTTCAATACTAGGACCTCTTCTCTTCATGATTTATATTAACGATCTTCCTCAACAAGTTTCATCTGATTTATTGCTTTTTGCTGATGATGTGAAACTTTGGAGAGAGATATGTACTGACAATGATATACTAGTTCTGCAGGACTATCTGACTCGACTTCAAAGTTGGGCAGACGACAACGGACTTACCTTCAACACTTCAAAGTGCAAGGTAGTCCATCTGAGACATGTTGCAGACTATAGTTATAATTTAGGTAACTCACCTCTAGAAGTTTCCCAAGTTGAAAAGATTTAGGAGTGTTGGTACCCTACGACCTGAAATCGTATGCGAACTGTGACAAAAACGCCTTTCAAGCAAACCTTGCACTGGTAACATTGAAGCGCATTTTTGGCCAGTTTGACGGTAGAACCTTCCACATAATCTTCAACAGTTTTATTCGTCCCCACTTAGAGTACGGAAACATAGTATTTCCTCCCTCCCTCCAAAAGGATAAGGTCACTCTGGAACGTATACAACGTCGAGCCACGAAATCAGTTCGGGGTCTCAAATTCAAACCTTATGAAGAGCGCCTCAAATCACTTAACCTTTACCCGTTAGAGTATAGGCGTCTTAGAGGTGATCTTCTTATGACTTATAGTATCCTTAATACTTCTGGTCATCCCCTTAAACAACTTCTTAAGCTTAGTCATAACACTAACCTCAGAGGTAACACCCAGAAATTGGAGACCCTACATAGCAGAACAGACTGCAGACACAACTTCTACTCCGTTAGAGTTGTCAAGTGCTGGAATTCGCTGCCAACTGAGCTAGTCCAAGCGACCTCCCAGGAGTCCTTTAAGAGAAAACTTGACTTATTCTTAAGGACTAAGGATAACATATTATTATGATTTACCAAATTCTTTTTTTTCTCCCTCTATTATCGTTCATATACCTAGGTTCTTGCCTGGAGGTATTGGTGATCCACTGCTACCAGACACGGAAGCCCGTTAAGCGAAAGCTTCTTCTATTCCGTCCTCAACCATTTGAACCATTTGAACCATTTGGACTTCAAAGTTGGGCAGACGACAACGGACTTACCTTCAACACTTCAAAGTGAAAGGTAGTCCATCTGAGACATGTTGCAGACTATAGTTATAACTTAGGTAACTCACCTCTAGAAGTTTCCCAAGTTGAAAAAGATTTAGGAGTGTTGGTACCCTACGACCTGAAATCGTATGCGAACTGTGACAAAAACGACTCTCAAGCAAACCTTGCACTGGTAACATTGAAGCGCATTTTTGGCCAGTTTGACGGTAGAACCTTCCACATAATCTTCAACAGTTTTATTCGTCCCCACTTAGAGTACGGAAACATAGTATTTCCTCCCTCCCTCCAAAAGGATAAGGTCACTCTGGAACGTATACAACGTCGAGCCACGAAATCAGTTCGGGGTCTCAAATTCAAACCTTATGAAGAGCGCCTCAAATCACTTAACCTTTACCCGTTAGAGTATAGGCGTCTTAGAGGTGATCTTCTTATGACTTATAGTATCCTTAATACTTCTGGTCATCCCCTTAAACAACTTCTTAAGCTTAGTCATAACACTAACCTCAGAGGTAACACCCAGAAATTGGAGACCCTACATAGCAGAACAGACTGCAGACACAACTTCTACTCCGTTAGAGTTGTCAAGTGCTGGAATTCGCTGCCAACTGAGCTAGTCCAAGCGACCTCCCAGGAGTCCTTTAAGAGAAAACTTGACTTATTCTTAAGGACTAAGGATAACATATTATTATGATTTACCAAATTCTTTTTTTTCTCCCTCTATTATCGTTCATATACCTAGGTTCTTGCCTGGAGGTATTGGTGATCCACTGCTACCAGACACGGAAGCCCGTTAAGCGAAAGCTTCTTCTATTTCGTCCTCAACCATTTGAACCATTTGAGCGGAACAAGTCAGAGTTTTGATATGTTGTTGTCTGGTTTGTTTGTTTGCACTTACTGCAGTTTACATTTTAAGGTTGATGTCAGTACTAAATCGAGTTTTCGTTCGGACTTATTTACCGTGCCCTTAGACTGAATTATCATTACCCGGAAATGGCCGCCATAATTCGGTTTTTTAGTAAAAGATTCAGACGAAATACGTCTGCTCCCACACCAAGTCATGTTGAAGTGCCTATATCTGTCAACAAAAGCAAGAAAATTAAAAAATCAGACATCGAATGCAAAGTAGCTTATCTTGATGGCACTGAACAAACCTTCTATGTTTCAGTAATGCTTTAAAACATACAAAATTAATTTCTACAGAAAAGTGCTGAAGGATCTGAATTGTATGACATAGCGTTTGCATATGTTGCACTTGTAGAAGAAAAAGACTACTTTGGTTTGCAATTTTTTAACGACGTTCCGGTATGTCATTTCGATTGGTTATAACATCCTGTCTCAGATGTGGCTGGACCCAACAAAGAAAATCAAGAAACAGTATAAAAGTTGGTTATGGTTGTATGTCTTCGATTTATGAGTAAATGTGTTAGTTACACATTGCTGTTGTCAGCTAAAGCTTCGTTAATCCTTTTAGCGTTATCATTTATAATTTGGCTACATGCTAGGCGTTTATTTTTGATCATTGGTGGTTTCAACAACTGTACTCTTGGAGTTAGATTTTGGGGATGACACAGAACATATAATTGTATGAGCATTGGTTTATGTAGTTATTTGTCAAATCACAAGATTATGTTTTATATGACTGGCCAGTCTTAGGTAATAACCTTTCTTTGATCATAACAAGTAATTGGTAGGTATATGGATCCTTTGAGAGAATGAATTGATAGTTTCAAAGAGAGCCATAATGAATTCGTAATATTCACCAAATATATTCGAGTGTACGGCTTATTTTTTTCCGAATTAATTTATTGGAATCGGTGATTCATTCAGTAGGTAAACTGCCTATACTTTTGACGGCAAGGGTATAATTTACATATTCATCAATCACATTTTAGATAGCAGATCTTGGGTTTTGGCTCGAAATCCACTCACTCATTTGACTAAATACCATTCTTGCATTATAGGTGGTGTTAGTTCGTAATGAAAAGATTCAATCTAATTCCTAACCCTAACATTCAACTGAATATCCTAATTCTTCACACTAATATATGACCCTCATTTAACCCTGGTAAGTAGTTGGACGTTACAAAGCCATTTTAGCATTGCTCAAAGGTCGTCCATAAATTATAGTATTATCGATAACCCAACTAAATAGTAATTTGACTTTTATGAGCTCTTCTGTCACCTTTACTTCCTTTAATGTTCAGTGTGTAATCTAAGATGCATTTATATTTGTTTTCAACTCGTGAAGTTGTTTTTTTTTACAAAAATATACTTATATGTGTAGAAGCTTTGATCAGGCATGGTTTCAGACCATATTGTGCGCAATGTAAACGGAGGCAAAGCTAATTTATTTGTTCACGCGGTTTGAATGTAAATCACTGCCAAAGTCATCACTTTATTGCTTAAGTTATGGAAGTAAGAGGACGGCTATTCGCCAATTGTTAGATTTCAATATGGTAAACCTTCACGATATGGGTGGTACTTTTCATGTGAGAATAATTAGATTATGTTATATGAACTACTGAGTATAGATATATAAAGCTGCCTTTATGAAACAACTATGACTTAGAAATATAACAAGCCATCAGGCTAATTTGTTGGAATAGTGATTGTTACATGGAACATTGGTGTAACAACGTGAATGCTGTAAAATTTCATAAAGTTTCACTATGACAATTAGATGATCATGATTTTTTGGTTAATAAAACTGGTAAATATATGGGCGTTGTTGTTTAAATTTTAGTTTGCACTTTTTCATAAGACAATGTAGACAATGTGCATCCACACTTGCTATCGTAATCTCAGTATCTTTGGAAAATATTTGAATATCAATATAAGACAAAACTGATATCATAGATTAAAACTTTAGGAATATAATTTGTAGATAGTGACTTCATATATATATATATATATATATATATATATATATATGTATATATATATATATATCTGTATGTTAATATCTCAAAAACTTTTTAAATTATTACTTATCTTAGACAGAACATCAATTTCGTTTTCGCTAAAAGTCAAATTCTTTGCATCTGATCCACATAACTTACATGATGAGTATACACGTTATCTTGTTGTGTTGCAACTACGTGAAGATATACACAAAGGAAAATTAGTGTGTAATGATTTACAACTTGCAGCCGAACTGGCGGCATTGCTTCTTCAAGGTTTGTTGTTGTTTTGTGTATAACTCATTAACAGGGTTTCAAGAAATAAACTCATTTGTTTTCCAGATATTTCAGCTTTTCATGTAAAATATTTTTAAAAGTGTTTTGGGGAATTTAAAAGTTCATCCCTACAAACAAAAGCAGTGGAGTACATATTTATTTAGTTTTATGAATTAAATGGTTGACTTTAAAAAAACTTTAACGGTTAAAAAAATTACTTTCATAATATTTTAAATAGCAAACTCATTTCGAAATGAAAGATTCTCGATATAATAATTTCTGAAAACCAGTACGAATTAAAAAGATTTTAGCTAATTATGAAGAATACTAACCTTTGGACCACTTATTCTCATTTACCTAGCCTTAAACTTTAATTCCTTAAGTTTATTACATGCCTAATCTTTAATATTGATATTAGAGCTTTAGAACATATTAATTTTAATAAAAACTAGAAACATAAATTAGAGTTTCTTAGTTATTTAACGATAGCTTCTATCCGCGATTTCTTTTCAGAGTAATTATAAATGCTCAGAGACCCGTAAATCTGTACTCTTATTCAATAAAATAACATTCATTGTAATTTTTTTAACTCTGTATAAACCTTTCGACTTTATAATGTTGTGTGTAATTGTTTTTTATGGTCAAATAAGAAAAATAAGGATTAAGTTGACACAGAAATGTACAAATTCGTAAACAAAAAATTCTAAATAAAAATAAAAGTAACTGTGAGCAATGAAGTTATAAAACATCAAACATTTGCTAGACTAAAATTTTAAAATCCTTTACTGAAGTACTTGATATATTAAAAAAAGCTGTTATGTTCAAATCCTTATCTTTATAAACATCTCATCATACTTTATAAGTATTTTTAGAGTTTCTTTCAAGTTTTTGTAAGTCTTATGACTTAAAAGCCCTTTAGCTCAGTTCACATAATTGTTGGATAGATCGTTCATATACAAATATCTTGAAATCTATTTAGAGCTCGTTGTGAATGAAGTCCTTAATCATTTTTTTAAAACCTTTTTAAATACATAATTTAACTTATACACCTTTTGTTTAGTTTGGAAAACCGAATAACTTTAATTAACGTAAAATTGTTTTGAGAAGGAGGTTTTGTGAAGCCTTTAGTAGTTTTATATAGTAGAAATCATGAGTCAATTAAAGCTAGACCACCACGGAAAACCTGGAAGCACTGAACGGAGCACTGCTGAGGAGTCCCACAATAGGATGAAACGGCCGTCACGCAGTGCTTCCAGGTTTTTCACGATGGTCTAGCTTCAATTGACTCATGATTTATACTATATGAAATTATTTATTATAAAAATCATTTTAATTTTTTGACTAAAAATTCCCAATCAAAGTATTAGTCAGTAAATGCAATTTCTTAATATTACGATTAATTTTGTAATGAATTGGTTTCTAATAAATTAAAAAGGGACATTTTATTAGAGAAAAATATTTTTTTAAAAACGATTGATGTACCTACAAAACTTAATTGTTGGTTAGTAACAAACATGAATTGATATATATATATATATATATATATATATATATATATATAACATGTTAAATAATAAATTCAATTATTATTGTTTGTTTGGATCTTCCTATTGATGTTTAGGACTGCAACTAGCCAGTCTCTAATTGGAATATGTGCATACTCTGCGTATTGCCTCTATATAGCCTTAATTTACAATTATTGTAAGCAAAGATGGACTCAGTAGCTGAGTGGATAACGCGATGGCGTCTGAAGCGAAAGGTACTGGGTTCGAGTCCTAGAGTGAACATTAACTCTGAGTTGCAGGTACATACAGCTGACGAGTCCCAGATAGGATGAAATGCGCGTCCTGGACCTACCTTGTGAACTTTGGGTAGACCATATAGTCGTGGTGTGTTCGATCCGGTAGGTTTAAGTGAATCGTGTATACTCGGAGTGATTATTTCTTTAGGTAGGTCTTCCGCTTCGTCCAGTTTTAGACATGTATAATTCACCCCACCATAAAACTGCAAAGTGGCTAGTTCAAATCCTGGAACCCTTACACAAACTAGTCGTCAACAAAAGCGTGAAAGACGTTTTTGATTTCATTTCGAAGGTTGAACATATGAACTTAAGTGGTAAACGGATGATATCTTTAGATGTTGCTTCCCTGTTCACCAACGTTCCACTAACTGAGACTATTGATTTTGTGTGTCAACAATTGCATGAAAAACAAATCATTATCGGAATTCCTGGGGTCAGTCTTAAAGAGTTACTTTTGAAATGTACAATGAATGTTCATTTTGTCTTTAATAATACATATTATAGACAAATTGATGGTATAGCGATGGGTTCACCTCTAGGTCCTATCCTAGCGGACATTTTTCTTGCGAAACTAGAGAATGGACCCCTCAAAGATGTTATCAACAAGCTTGACTTCTATTGTCGGTACGTTGATGACACTTTTATTATTGTGGATCAGGACATTGGCAAAGTCGAACTACTCGAACAGTTTAACAATAAACACCAAGCTATTAAATTCACATGTGAAGAAGAAATAGATAATAAATTAAATTTCCTTGACATATTGTTAATAAAAAAAGCAAACGGCTCCATCAGTAGAAGTGTGTTTAGGAAAAGCTCATCATCTAGCCAGTACACACACTTCTTAAGCTTCGTACCTATCTACTATAATAGGAACTTAGTCAAATGTCTGGCAAATAGAGCTAGGAAGATTTGCTCAGTCGATTCTATCAACAATGAGTTAGAGGTTATCCATAATATGTTGATTGAAAGGGGTTATCCACTAGGATTCCTGAAGAAACATTTACATTCAACAAATAAGAAAGTAAAGACATCAACAGCTGCGAAGAAACCACTCTTCCTGAAACTACAATTCAACGGCGATTCAGCTGATGATGTACTACGGGATAGACTGACTAAAGCAGTTAAGAGAACGTTTAATGCTGCCGACCTCTTTCTGTCTTACTCGACACGATCTATGGTGATTCCCCAACCAAAGGACAAGTTGCCTGGTTATGCCACTTCTATGTGTATCTATAAATTCAGCTGCTCCTGTGGAGAAAGCTATATTGGGCGTACTACCAGACAATTGAACCAGAGTTAGTGAACACCTACCTTCGTGGTTAGGAAAAGGTATGGTCAAGTCGATACGGAGCTCGATTCTTTCACACTTGATTGATAGCGGTCATGAAGTTGACAGAAACCAGTCTTTTAAAGTTATTTATCGTATTCCTACTATTTTTCCTTATGGGGTTCGATCTCGTCTCCTACACATAGCAGAAGCTATAGGAATTCGATCCAACAACCCAAGTCTTTGTGTTCATAAGAAATTTGTAACACCCTTATCCCTCCCTTGGCCTTAATAAATAATCTTATTTTCCATACTCTTTCTTCGTTTATTTTTCTTCACCCCCCCTATCAATTATTTACTTATAATTTTTCTAATATTCGCTTCCAATTATCTGAACACCTCTTATTACGTAATCTTATAATTTCTGTGTCTATATTTTTCTAATCATTGACCTATTTTCCTATTATGTAACATTGATTCAAACCTTTTATTATTCTTATCACAACTAGTACACCTGTCATTACATTACCAATTTGTACTTTTCACTTATTATTAATTTTGATTATGTAATCTATTCCACTGTTATCATTGATTCATAAACTGCTTTGATTGATTTAATAATTTCGTATATGGATATAAATATTACTGTATATTAGAGTAAAGCCTGATGAGGATCTAATCGAAAACAATATTGTTCGCTTATATACATGTTGTTCTAAATCACAATATGGGAATTTTTCAAATAATTTTATTGACAATTTAATTCTTCATAAGAGTTTTTCTCCAATTAATTAATACAGAGATATGTTAATCTATATGTTTTTAAGTACTTATTTACAGTATCAATATTCTATCATAGATAGTTGATGTTTAAGTACGTATATCAAGCGATTTATGTCTTAGACTAGAAATTATTAAGATAATTTTCCAAAAAAATTTATCAATTTATATTTATCGTATAAAACTGATTTCTTAAAAATATTGAAAGTATTTAACAAACTTTAGTAGCTCAGTAAATACGTCATTAGGGCTTAAAGTCAAATAACACTTCGTTCAAATCTCAATATAAACACCAACACTGGGATGCATGTACATTAAGCTGATATGCACCTAGTTGAACAAAACGTAGATCCTGTATTCCTCTACTACTCACCATATAAATTTAATAAAAATTTGGTAGTAAACGGCAATATCAAGGCAATTCTTCAGAGGGTCATGTATAACAATAGAGAATGGTCAACCTCAGTACTTAAAGTGAACAATGGGTAAATATAGACCCTTAAATAAGACCGATTCAAAGACTTCAGTAGTTATGCTTATCATAAATTAAAGTGACTTTAACACAACAAAGTGTAACAGTTTATTCGGTGTCATATTCCGTTTCTTCTAGTTGTTTCTCTAGTCACATTCGTCCGGTATGACAGTGCTCATTATTTTCTTTAAGCAACAATCAATCAATTTATGACGTAATATCACTTTTCACTGAATTTCAGATGCGGCAATGTGACTGATAAGATATGAAACTTAGCAAGCATTGTTAGTTTGGTCGATAGAATTCGATTATTACTAAGTATTAGATTGTTTGCTGCCTAAGTGGCCTAGTGTTAAAGTATTTCATTAATATATCGGGTAACATGAGTTTTGAATAACCCTACTTGGCAGGATAGTTTCCTACACAGTGGAAGTTAAATCTTGTTGACAAGTGATCATTAATAAAGATCTATTTTGATAACTTTTCTAATCACTCTCATTCTCTGAGGTAAAATTAGTGAAATTTATTGTTTTTTATATAAAGTTACCTTCTTACATATTTTTTCATTCTATCTTTATAAATTATGTCCTCAATGTCCAACGTTTTCCATTATCATTACCTCTATATCGCCTCGATTAGTTTTGATTGATTTTGTTAATTTCATCTCGTAGTGATAACGTGGTTTATGCTAAAGCACATATATGCCAGGTTCTACATTGATTCTGACTGATTGATTAACCATTATAAAAGTTTTTTGAATAAATGGAAGATGAATACATGTAGAATGAAATATAAACTTTCTACCATAGCATTTTTTAACATGTATACCATGCAGTGGATAATAACAGTGGAATTAATTTCAGACTGTTTTGTGACTAATCATTATTGTCTAGATATTCCTTAAAATCTTCTTCTGAATCTTTGAAGTTGTAGCGCAAATTATGGGGAATTTATGGTTTCGTGTATTATATTTTATTCCGAGAATGTTATGCTGTGTACAAACAAGCACATGGTAATGAATACTCAAATTACCACTAGATTGGAGCATAATATCTTGAACATGTAGCCACTAACTTTGGGACAATCTAGTCATAGAATAACTTTCTTCATAGTTTAAAGTGAATTCTGCTAACGTACTTCTGCTAATATTTTGATCATTAGTACAATAAAAATAGTATATGTTTTGTCGTAAGTACGTTCTATGTCCTACAATTTCATCGAATACTTCACTTAGCAAAAATCATATACTCAAACTATACACTTCTCATTCTATAGTTTTTCGTTATGTACTGACCACTGAATTCCTTTTATTTGTTATAACAGCTGGCTTATGAAACAATTTCCTTAGATGCATAGTTTAACACGGACGGAAACATTTTGATTTCACAAAAACTACATACTGTAAGACTGAATTAATTGACGTAAAGTAGAGTCAAGTGAGAAAAACCCACATAATCTAAATTAATGCTGTAAGCTGGCAAGCAAGCCAGTTAAAAGGCCAGAAAAGCTTTATTCCTTCACAGTAACATGATACAGTTGTGTACAAATATTTACTACAAGAATCACTTAAGTGACTACATTAAACGTGTGGTTTTGAGATCAATTACAGATCCAATGAGCTTGAAACCTGACTTTCCGGTTTGATTACTGCTCATTATGTCAGTAATTAACATCGACTATCTACAAGCACTTTACTGTAGTTAATTATCTTTCGAAATAATAATTTCGTCGCATTATATTAGATTCGCTCAAGTAAAGAATCAGTAAACTACTTTCTGAAAATAATCAAAAAGATGGTTTCAAGTGTGTTTAGATACGTATGTTTCACCCCTCACAAAATACTACTTGCTATGAAACTAACAATGTGTGATTTACGTCTTGATATTGATTTGTCAAATGTAATACTTCCCTTATTTTGTTAATTAGAGAGGAAGTATACAGGTTGAATGTAGAAGTAAGACTGAAATTTAGTTCAGATTTCAAATTGTTTATGTAGATCTATTACTGACTTGTTTCATTTTATCTGTTAATTCAAGGTGAATTTGGTGATTATGATAAGAAACAACATACACCAGTTTTCGTTTCAACATTTCGATTTTTACCTGAAGAAAAGCAAACAGAAGAGTTTGAACTTTCAGTATTGGATAAGTATAGAGCTTTAGCGTAAGTTATTATTCCAGACGAGGTTTTGTGCATTTTCTTTTTTTCTTCACAGGTAAAGTTATGAATGAAAATCATAAATGTCCATAAAGTTGTCATAAATTGAGTCTTAATAGCTTAAATGTTCAACTTTCAACAATTGTCAATCATCAGTGTTGATGAAATCATCGAACATATAGGTACTCTTAATTACTTTCTAATCTCTGATTCACCTTTCGGACGATTAGTTAGTGATCTGGGTTTCGGAAAATAAATTTTGCACACGGAAAACTCAGATGGACAAGGGAGCTGAGTTATTTAATTATGTTGAAGAATAGAGACAGAAATGAAACAAATATATAGCCGTAGATGAATGTTATCTTGAACGAAGTAAAACTAACTCATTTTATAGTTTCTATGACAACAGTTTTAATACTACAGTACGTATACTTATCTGACAGAATAAGAAATGCATATAACTTTATTAGTTGAATTCATGAGTCGATCTAAACTAGACCACCATTGAAAACCTGGAAGCATTCGATGGCTGTTTCCTCCTAGTATCAGACTCATGGATTCAACTATTAAAATTATTACAATCTTCACAAATCCCCATTCTAATAATATAACTTTAAATATATTTCTATTGAATAATTTACTACACCATTGTAATATATTTGATCAAATATTAGTATCGTTTAACTTGTTATGATGATAAGAGGTATGATTTTATTTTATTACTGTTACCTGTTCATCAAAGATCAAAAATGAACCAAGACTATAAAATGATAATAATATTTTTAACTAATATTAATCCTGAGAGATTATTATATTTCAATTTGAATAAATAATTGTATGCATTCGTTATTCAATAGAGTCCGACTTTACTACCTGTAAGCATAATAATAATAATAGTAACAGTAATAATAACAATAATGACAACGATATATTATCAGGAGGGGCTTTTTGTGGGGATTTAGTATTTTCATAGTTGAAAGCGTGAGTTAATTGAAGCTAGACCACCAAGGAAAACCTGGAAGCACTGGACGGCCGTTTCGCACTATTATGGGACTCCTCAGCAGCGCGCATCCACGGTCCCGCCTCACGAGATTCGAACCCAGGACCTACCAGTCTCGCACCAGATCACTTAACTGATAGACCACTGAGCCGGCATCAAACAGTGTCAATGTCTAACTTCAACTAATATATGAGGTTGAGCGACACATCCGCCAATGTCTTCAGTGAGGTTGTTGAATATTTGCAGTTAATATCATTGGTTGATCTTGGTTAGACATAAACACCATCGAATGCCGGCTCAATGGTCTATCGGTTAAGGGCTCGCGCGCGAGACTGGTAGGTCCTGGGTTCGAATCTCGTGGGGCGGGATCGTGGATGCGCACTACTGAGGAGTGCCACAATAGGACGAAACGGCCGTCAAGTGCTTCCGGGTTTTCCATGATGGTCTAGCTTCAATTGACTCACGCTTTCAACAACGATATTTTCTGAAAACCAGTACAGAATATGCGCCGGTTTGCAGGGATGATCAGGTTGATACAAAAATTCCTAAGTAATAATTGTAATGATGAAAGTAATAACAATGATTAATTTTACATTATCCGTAAGAACCTGATTTTCAGGTTAGTTCAAAGTAAGCATTTGAGACATATTCGGTAAAAGAGAACGTGTATATTATGTACGATGCATGATTCTTACTGAAATGGTTACACATAGCAATGGTTATTTAATTTTCATAGCAAAACAGATTCAATACACGTAAAGTTGTCATATTAGTATAAATAAACTAATATCATGCACAGAAGTATCAAATGAATCATTGAATATGTGTACGTTTGAAAAAAGCATTACATATTTGTTATTCAGGTTAAATGAAATAACCATTAAATAACGATAGATTATTATATCTTATTATGAATAAATAGTTCTCTTTGTTCATTATTTATGAGAATCTCATTTGGCTGCCTACGGTACTTATTTATAAAATGATTAATTTCAAAACACCTACATTTGAATAATCAATTTTAAAAAGCGTTAATATTAGGAATGTTTACAACGAATTGATTATGGTTATTATAGAGTGTTGTGGAGATTTCTTAATTCCAAATTCAACGTGACGGACTAACTTTGGTTTCATAACCACTGAAGAAGTAATAATTGGAGTTTTATTAGGAAGCCTTATTTAGGGAAGTTTAGCCATGTCAGGTATTAAGTAAATGTCACCAGTGGCAATAAACCTTGACCGTGCAACGTCGCGAATTAACTTAAGTTACAAATTTAAGCCATTGGATACTAACTTAATGGTTTAAAGGTTAAGTGCTTACCGCAAGATCTAAATCTTTGGGTTCAATCCCCAGTGGTGTCATTAATGGGTACTACTACCAAATCTCGTACTATAACAAAACAACTACCTTATGCTGCGTGGTTTTTCATAATTGTTTGATCATGATATTTTATTAGATGAATTAGTCAGATTAAAAGACATCAATTTATAAGACCTAACCTCACTCTGTGTATAACAATTCAATGAGTTGAACTACATTGCTAGCTTTTATTTACATAGAATAATATGATTCAAAGCCAAATAAGTAAATTTCTACATGATGATTAAGTTTAATTACAGTCAATAAATAACCTGATTTACTCATTTTCGCATAGATATGATAGATAAATTTTTATCTTTCAAGTTTAAAGATACAATATAGAACAATATATATATCCATGGCGGCCTGCTTAAACATCTGGGCTACCTGATCCTGTCATTTATATATTTCAACAAGTTATCTAATATTGTTTGTTTTAATACATCATTATGGCTATTAAGCACACAACCTATTCAGGTACGTTTCTGGAAACTGTACAACCTTTCGCTGTAAAGGTTACAAAAGGCCTAATCAGAGATATTGTGTTTGCTGGGAACATGCAGCAAAAAGAATATACATTATTCATATGTCGATTGACTGAACTGCTGATATCTAACTGGCGATCACTGAATATTTATCGTCAGGATAGACGAAGAAATAAGAAACGTAAACATGTTGAAATACTTTATGCTGAGAATTCGATTTTGTACCAAATAATATAATATTGAATAAAGCTAATAATAATAAAATAAATAAAAAAATATATATATTAATGCCACAAACACCTACACATATAGTACAAAGTATGCGTAAAATACTATATACAGATAGGCCATTATTATTACAAATATAACTCTTAAGAAGTTTATACTTTTGTTATAGAAGTAATGGCGTTGAAATACTTTTAGGTATAAAATTATTTTAGTGGGATAAACGTATTTCAACAGTTCTATTTTCCTCGCCTAATAGATTTTTTATAGACATATAAGGAGGAGGAGGAGGTTTGTTAAGATTGTTGAATATTTGCAGGTAATATCATTGGCTGATCTTAGTTTAAGAATCAAGGAGAACCAGGAAGCATTGAACAGTGTTTTATCATTGTATAGAATTCCTTAGTAGTGCTCATCTACAAGATCACTGACGGTCGAATTCAGGACATATAGGTCTCATAGTGAGCTTTTGACCTTTAGATTAATGAGTTCAGCAACTAATGGTTTACATGTTTGACTTTAAACAATTCGCGATAAGTCATAAACGTCTGCCATTATCATTAGTTAGTAACTGTCTCATACTCGAGATGGTTGGACTCCACTAGTCTCGGCTTTGTATTACTGAGGGGCTTCATACCATAATCAAACAGCTATCCAATTTTTCTTGGTTTTTAATTGTTCCTTAACCAAAACCAGTCAGTGATGTTAAGTGTAAAATCTATTTCAGCTCTAAACTTTGCATTATTTTTATCTGTGTCCAAAATATGACCGATATTGAACATTGTCAATTAGTATGCTTGAATGTGCTCCAGTTGGTTGCAGATGAACTCTCAACATATGCATAAAAACACTTATCCGGCTTTCGATGAATAGCCCTATTTGTAGCATAGTCAAGATGTCAGTTTACCTGACAAATACCTAGTGAGTTCAAACCGTAGTCACTTGGTATCATAGACAGAGATGCTACCACTGATCTCCAGTTTACACTGGTTAGTAATAAATGTCACGTATGTTTATCTGAGTATATTGAATGTTAATTGAATAACTAGTCTCCTTCTTATGCAGTGGCTGGTCCATATGAGCAACGAGAATTAATACTTTACAATAGTTTACAATGTTTTTCATATGACATTAGAATGCATGGTAAGCTTTTATATAACTGAGAGAAATTCCATATTAATTAAATTTGTGGTCAGACAACAATTAAGAAACAAGAGATACTGTTAGTTTTTAGTTCTACAAAAACACTCCTCAGTAATATATATCCATGAGTGAATTAGGAATGAAAAAATGGAAAAAAAAAATCCTAAAAATGAACTAACATATTCCGATATCGGTTAATTTAAGTGACCACCTCGATAATCAATTCTCTGTAACAGATTAGTGACAATTGTCTCTATTGTTAAATTTTCTGTTTCCATGCTTTCATTTACACTTATTTTTTAATCATCATTGTTCAATTATCAATATAAATTCAATCAAATATTTTATCTACTCTTTTCCTCATAATGATATTGATGTATTGTGAAACTCAGTGGTCGAAATTTAACACCAGCCGCTAGTGAGTCAATTTATTTAGAAAAAGTCTGCTTATTACCAAATTATGGAGTTGAAATGCATACAGTAAAGGTTAGTTTTTATATTTTGTATTAAACTGTTCAATAGCCTCAATTTCATTCTTCATTTCTCATTAAATTTTTGAAGCGATTAATTGAGGATACATTTGATTGACAAAGTAGACAACATACTCAAGATAAGTTTAGCAGTCAAATTTTCTGTTATTAACCAATCCACGTAAAAACAACAAAATATATCTACTGTATCTGACATACAATATACTCCCTTGATAGCATCTTTTAAAGAAAAGTGAATTCTGTTTAACAACTTAACTGGATCCAGTTTGTCTTGAGATTAGCTTTTTTTTCACCATGTCATTTCAACACTGAATGGCTTTTCTTCCATAACCTGGGACTCCTCAATCTATGATTTCATTATGTTTTGTACGCCGGGGCTATAGCCTTCGTAGAGAATGTTCAGCTATCAAACTATTAAATTGAAATCTTCTGGTTTATATTTGTAATCTGAGCCACTTGTCGATATTCTGTGATCATCATCTATTGCCATGAATGATATTTATCTCATGTCCGGCGGGCTTAATCACCTTCTCATTAAAACTTCAAGAACTACCTCTTGAAGGTCACCAGTAGTTGGATTGTATTAATTACTCTAAAATCATAGTTTTACAACTCTTACGTATGATTTACTCAACTATTTTCATCATTACTTGTATCATTATTCCGATTATTAGTATTTACAATGACTTATATTTTTTGTTTGATTATTTCTCCCCCGCCCCCGATTTATATAACTCCATATAAAATCTTATTAATTGACAGGGTAAAGATAATCAATTATACTCGCTTGGACTCACTCCAACCGGTATTCTAGTATATGAAGGACAGAATAAAATTGGCTTATTCTCTTGGTAAGTGTTCCTTAATAAGTAGTGAATATCAAATGACTGCTAGTCAATATCTGAACACTATTTAGTTATCGAGTAACAACCTGTGTCATGCTATTTATTACAATTCATTACATGATGGTGTTTATTTACTAAGTAAAATGTAATGTTATCGGCTTTAAACTACATTGTTTAAGTGACAACTAATAGCAGTAACCAAATGTCCGAAATATTGTAGATGGAATGGGGTACAAGCTTGCAATTTACAGAAAAAGGATTAAGTAGTGTAACTACATAAACACTGTTCTAATCCTTAGTGTTGATCGAACTCCATCGAACGAATCCTGTATTTTTGGCATCAGCCTATCTACTTGAATCGAAATTGCAATGCATTTTATTTCGTGTTAGGTAATTTGAAAAAGTAATCAACAGATCCGTGCAGTAGAACTGTCTCGACGTTCGTATTGAAGATTCTTACTTTGATGTTGGTTTGTAGACAGTTGTTTTGAGTTTCACCCGTCCTTCAGTTGTAGAAATGCTGTCCTTACTTTGCCAATACTTACCTTTACGTCTGCATCAAACCCTCCACATTCATCGATGATACTGCTGACCAGCTACGTGAAAGATTCAACATCTCCCAGGGTTTCGCCACCAAGTGTGATTAGCTTTGGAGTTCTTTGTGTTTTATTTGAGGATCTTGCCTTTTCCTTTATGTATGTTAAGGCATGCTAATTCACAGGCTTCTACTACACTGACTGATTTGAGTTGCATTCGTTCGTGTGTATGAGACAAAATATTTACTTTGAAGAGGTTAAAAAAAATTCAAAAAGGTTCTGGTTGGCATAAAAAGAGTGAATGCAGTAGAGCTGTATATATGAGCTAATCAGAACTCCCTGAACAGAAAAAAATTGAATACTACTAACCACACCTTGATAACTACTTATTAACAAGTAATTTGGACCATATGTCTATTCAACATGTCGACGTTACATTTAGTTTTATTCCTACAAAAATTCGTTTTAATGTTTTAACATCACAACTATGCATTTGAATTTTATAATCTTACATAAACGTTTTAACAAACTTTTCAATTAAGGGTAAATGAAATGATCGACATGGATATCGCTACCAATGTTTGACTTGACGATTTCAAATAAACTGAGTATTGAGTAGATTGTCAATGATAAAAGTAATGATATATATTTGCAATGCGCCAATGAATAGAAACTTGAATCGTTTAGCATTTCGTGGCTCAGTGTAAGACAATTCTTCAGCGAATAAATAAGTAAACAAATTAACACATCTTCAGTATTTCATTCAAATCATGAACCGATGTAAGTTAAACTACAACTGAAAACCTGGGATTATGGGAGTGCCGCTTCGTTTTAGTATGAGATTCCTCAGCAGTGCCCATTCATAATCTCGCACTCGGGAGTCGAACTCAGGAGCTTCGGTCCCGTGAACGAACACTTAGCTCTTAGACCACTGAGGGAGCATCCATTGACGTTAATGTTTAATCTGTGTTAAGTAGTAGACACAGACTACATTTATGCGCTAAAGTTGTAATTACCCATAACATAAAGGTACACGTAAACGCGCATTTGTTATATTTTTCATTAGCTTTTTACATTATCCACATCTTACCGTCCAATATTTTCTCTTTTTAATAAAATCAACATCTGAATATGTAATGAAGTAAACGAACGCACAATTATGGTCATTTAGAGTAACCTAAATTGAAATCAGTCAGTTGAAATAAACTTATGAATTTGAAGGAAGTGATATAATCGAACTAAGAGAGAGTTGCAAGAATGATGAAATAAAATGAGTGTACCGTCACCATGGTAAAGAAAGATTTATTACTGTCTTCTTTTTGGACACAAGTACGAGTTAAGGCGTTTGATGACTATGGCTTCTGGAAATTTAAGAAGATTAGGGTTTGATTGTCGATAGACGGTCTTGAAAAATTCCAGTCTATGAACTTGATATCTTATTTCAAAGAGAATATACTTGGATAAACTTTTAGTCTAGATTTATTTGTTAAATTTTATTATCTTAAATGTTATTGCTAAATTGTTGGTGGAAAATAATGGAGTTCTATACAATTAAGGCCATGGTAACGATAATCATAAGATGTACTTCTTTTGTACACTTAGTTATTGTTTGAGATCATGGATGGTAAGAGCTTCGGCTATTTTTTTAGGAGTTTGATACGAAGAAATCTAGGAAGATTTGAATGAATCATATAAACAAACTTAAAATCAGACTGTGGATCCGTAGAATGATGACAATCGATTAGGTGTTCAAGTATGGACCTCCTAACTGCTTTCTTTTCATCGGCCGTAGCCATCGCTCGCTTTCAACTCGGATACGAGAACATATCCCAGTTTGGTTCTACAAGGGTGAAAAGAAAGCAGTTAAGAGGTCTATACTTGAACACGTAATCAATTGTAATCATTCTACGGATCCACAGTCTGATTTTAAGTTTGTTTATATGATTCATTCAAATCTACCTAGATTCCATACAATTGTTTCATAAGTAGCAAAGGTGTACATGTTATAGTGGAAGACTTGATTGACCGTATTCATCGTATTATAATGTATAACCGATGATGAGTTTTATTGAATACTTTTGTGAAAAACATGGACACTTAGAATTTATAAAAAAAAAACTGAAGATAACATGTATATGTATATACGGTAAATTGAATTTAGACTGGTTCAAGTTTGAATTATATATTTTATCAAATTATTTATATTATAATTGCTAGTAGTTTCTATCCCAGAGACAAAAAGTAATGGAGAGAGAAAGAGAGTAAATTTACATGGATGTTGTATCTATTCAATTCACTGAAGTCAAATCATTGGATTTACCACAAAATAGATCAATCAATCATTTCTTAAAACTTTTAACTGAACTATTTAAATTACCGTCAAGTGTGTATTTTCTCTTTTCTATTCACATGTTTCTTCTTTTGTCATTTAGGCCAAATATTTTAAAGTTAGAAATGAAAAAGAACAAACTCAAAATTTTAGTTGTGGATAAAGATGAGCAAAATGTGAGTCCACATATTCATTAATTTGAGTGATTTAATCTATATTTTTATTTAGTTAAAGGGGTATTAACTAAAGAATAGTTGTAAATAAACGAAAACACTGATTAACAGTAATTTAATTATTTAGTTTATGAGGTTTCTTTATATGTTTACATACTTGAATCTGTTTTTTTGGCATTCTAGTGAATAGGAGAATATCATTAGGTCACATTCGTTCGAAATTACATTCTCACTTATACTAGTTTTATGTATGGTGATTCCTAACTCGTTTTACTCAATACTACTTGAAGCTTACTAGCTAATAACGTCGTAATAGGTCTCTTTAAGTTTTGTGAGGTCATCTATTTAGAGAATAAAATATTTGCTCACTGATAATATCAGTTGTATGTACGTTTATGTAGATAACTGAATAAAGTTTGAATAGGCTATTGTTACATTTAAAATGGGTAGTTGATTGGTAGCATGATTGTCTTGATATACGAAGGAATATAGTTCCATTCTATGCAAGAGCATGGATAAGCTTTGTTTTCTTGATATACTCGAACTATGAAGAAATATTTAACATATACATCCACATTATATCGATAAGACAGCTGATTATTAACAAGACAGCTTTTAAAGGTATCCGTAAAATCTCATCCAACTTACTGTATGTCTTAAGATTCAACTTTTTATAAAAATGTTGTAGGCTGTAAAAAAACTCACATTGTTCAACTAAACTTGTCATCCAGAACATGTTTGTACGGCCTATTTCTTTGCTTTATTGATCTTATATTAAATGTAGAGTCACGATGATGACGATGAGTTAACTGAAAAATTAAGATGATATTTTATAAAAGTTTTCTTATGAACACAACGGATGCCCCAATGTCCATTGTGATTACAAGTTTACTGAATTTTAAGAGAGAGTACCAGTTGAATCCAGGATGTGCTTTTCGCCTATTCCAACATTCATTAGTTGAAAATATCAACATCACACTGTTGGCTTTTACACTGAACCTTTAAAGGAATGTCAAGTAGTGTGAAATCCATGTCCTATTGACTGCCTCCAACCACCTGATATCAACATATATTGGTCTAGTGGTCACACTGCAACGTGACTGGAAAAATTCTATAGGCCATAAATTGTAGACAGGTCAGGTTAGCTATTACTCAGTCATTGATCAACGTATTTCTCCTTGTTTCCAACTACAAAAGATTATCCGGATACCTTTATTTGAATGTACTGTAATCAATTATTGATCGACTCACAATATCAAATTTCCAAAATTTATACTTTTACACTTGTCCATTAAGATTTCAACAAAATATGATGATGTTAGCACTTAGAATTCTTAAATAACAAACACAACTATATGAATAATTGACAATAACTCTACTCATTATATCACACAAACTGTATCTAAGCAACAGAATGTCCACATGTAAAACAATCAAACGAATTAAATTATCATTGAAATTATGCATAAATTAAGATAATGTGAGAAACACATCGAATGAGAATACTAATCATGAGTTAATAAACACCTACACTCAAGCAAATATGCACTTAGTAACATACATATATATGTACACAGAGATATGTGTGCACATATGCACATATACGTACATACGTACATATGAATGATACACACAAACACGCATTCTAAACTGTCTGTTAATCAATAAGAAATAGGTATTTGAATAAAGAGGAAGCGTGATGAAAACAACATGCAAATGAAGTCATATTTTATTGATTGATAAAACTAAATTTAAACTAGTCTTCATTTTAAAGAAAAATCTATTCTCAACAGTTTTATTTTCCTGATTAACTAATCACGATGCTTCAGTGAAATTATGAACCGATCAATGTCAGACTATCATTGAGTATTGGATGATCATTTAATCCCAGTATGAAACTACTTAACAGTGGGCATCCACGATCTTGCACGAGGGAATCAAACCTAAGACCTTTGATCTTGTGAGCGAACAATTAGACTCTAGACCATTAAGCCAACATTCAATGATGTGAATGTCTAACTCTAATGTTAACATCAATATCTAGCATTAATCGAATCATGATTTTACTGATGCGTCATGACAAGTTAGTAAGAAAAATAAAATAGCTAAGAATAATTGATTCATAATTTCGTTGAAAATCATGGTGTAATTTATAGGTTTACGAGGCTATATGATTGAACATTAAGTTTGAAATTCATTCAAGTATGTCTTAATGATAATACTTCATCAATCTACAGCAGTTCTGGCTTATAACTCTTTTAAAAGATAATGCGTTGATATGGCTTTATATCAAGCGTGGAGTATAGCTTTGATTAAAACAACGTTCTCTTCGTCATCCCGATTGATATGAAATTCTTTTATTGTAAATAAAATTCGTAGTATATGTCTTATTAACCGTACTATAAGAAGCGGTTTGAATGATCTCGTATTCAATATTCATGACGTACTTTTGATTAATTTTGGTTGCCGTATAAGTCCTCTCTGAAATATGAAACAAGAGATAATTCAAAACTTTTCTAATAATCATATGCGTTGAAAAGAGATTAGTGACTATTTGGAACTAGTAACTTAATGGAAAACGTACTTCTTGTTATATTCGGACGAAGAATAGGTGAATAGTAACCGTTACGATTTACTTGTGGACTATTATTATATATATTTTTATTGTATAACTATTAAGTAACTATACTATATGTATAGTCATATTCCTTTTATTCTAAGCTTCTATTTGACCTATTGACAATTGTCATACGATTCACTTTTATTAAGATATTCCCAATTTATTAGTAACAGTCTCTCACAACCACAGCGACTTTTCGGCCTGATCTTGTGTAAGTTTTATTTTCTATTTCATGGCATGTGGAGGTCTGGTTTGTTTGTATATAAACCCAGTACGTCTAAGATATATTATTCATACTGCGGATGCTAATATTGGAGTTCTTGACTGAGCCGGCTGGGTTAGGAGAGAAGCTTCTCTCTTGGTTGACCGATAAGAGCTCAGGATTGACTCTGGATAGCTCTTACTGGTTTATGCGTCATTGGTCTGGTCAGTAAGTTGATGTTCTAATTTGCGATCGTATCACATGATATATTAATCAGGTCATAGGGACATAGCAGTTCTCAGTACTGTTTAATAGAGAAAAATAAACCAATCAGGTTAACATGTAATAAGATACATTCTAAAGGAGATAGTTTGTGGTTAGCAGTGGAATTCAGGATACACGTTTTATCCTATTCCAAATTTATCGGCTAGAAGTACCTATATCTTAATGTTAATTTCACACCAGAACTCTAACCCAGTACCTTTACCTTCAAAATGAAACGTGTTATTCATTAATTTACTAGTTCAAGATAGTCACTAATCTCTTTAACGCATATGATTAGTAGAAAAGGTTTGAATTATTTCTTTAATTACATCTAGGATAGAATTGTGATCAATCTTTTTCAGTATACATGCATCTTGAATTCAGATGCTAAACACAATCAATTTATTCCCAAAAAAATCGGTGATAAAATGACTATCTCGTGACAACCCACATAGGACGTGCATATATCAACAAGGATTAATGAAAATAAAGTTTCTGATTACATTAGTTAGATAATTCAAATCATGACCAACATTAAATATGGTTAATAACTGTCGTTTATATTTCATTGACATACATTGTCTTCATGATTATAATAATGCCTTTAACTCAGATCATTTGATGTTCGTTAATTTAGTTATTAAAAAATAGTGATTATCTTTGTTGTATAATTTAATTCTTTTTTCCATATAAAAAATATTTAGCATAAAATCACAGAACATGCATTTTGTTTTGTTTTACCGGATAATAAAACGTGTAAAATTTTGTGGAAAAGTGCCGTAGAACATCATGCCTTCTTTCGTCTTACTGATCGTGTCCCAATGGAACCAAAACAGAAACAATTATTTCGATTAAGGTCACGTTTTCATCCATCATTTCATACGGAATATCAATTGCATAATTTAAATATGTTTGGAAGTAGCAGTTTTCGTAAACGTAAAAAGGCCAATACCAATGTTGTCAGTAGTGCTACATCGTCACCAAACACACCAAAACCATCTTCTCTAGTACCAGATAAATCGGGTGGACAACAGATTTGTGGTAGTAGTGGTACTTCGTCAAGTTTTCGTCGTGTACCAAGTAAACGTTTTACTTCAAGACCAAGTTTTGCTAAGCGTGAGGCCATTGAAGATAAACGTGATAAACGTGAAAGACTGCTCCAATCTCAAGAACAAACAAGAAAAGACTTTTTCAGCGAAATGAATAAAACAAATAATAGTCATGATTTGTCTCATTTAAATAAATCTACTCATCATAATATGACAACGCAGGCTTCGAATGTAGTTGTACATCGTGAACGTGAAAATCCACTGACATCTAAATTACCGCCTGCAAAACCTTCAACAATGCCTAAACCAAATACAATTACGAATTCTGGTCAATATGGATCGTTGAATGCACCGAGTAAACCGCCAAGAAAGCTTGAAATGAAAAATGATATTTCCTATAAAAATAATAGTACAACAAACAGTAGTAAATTTGGAATTTCAACTGGATCGAAACAATGGTAAGTTCTATGTTCAGTTGTTTGGATTTTTAATAACATCATATAATTAATTATTCATCAGTCGTTACCTGAATAGATCAGTGGTGATATCACCAACTGTGAAGCTGAGTAACGTGGATGTGAATCCACTAAGGGTTATTAATTCTACGAGAATTGTAGACACACCTCTCTCTGAAGATTGCTAACTAGCATTGAACCTAATTCCAGGGTTTCCTATCGACTAACTTGAACTACCTAACACATATATATACACTCACTGATTCCCAAACTGATCTCAACCTAGAAGGGACTTTAAAATGTCAAGGCTACCAGAATACCTCTGATCAATAACTTGAAATCCTAGAATAAATTATTCCAGCTAATTTAAATACATTACATAGATTATTGTTATAGTAATCATTCGTACAAATAACTAGTTATCCCATAAATATGTATACACGCTATAAAGAAGTAACTTAAGCTAATTAATGTAGTGTACTTGATTTTGAAATTGTACAAGTTAATAAGTTAAGAGTAAACTTATGAAGATTTTAATTAAATATTCACAGATACCTATTGTGTACAATGGGATAAAACACTTTCTATCTTATATGGGATTTTGACAACCTGAAAAACCTAGGTTTCATCCCTAGTAAAGTCATCGATGTGCACTGCTCAAGAGTTTGAAACAATTCTACAGTGCTTTATATTTTTCAGAAGTTATGCAGTCAAAATTCACCCATGACGTAAACCATTGTATACTGAAATTTATTATTCTGTTTAAACGATCCATTAAATATGGTAAGCAGAGATGGATAGTGGCTAGCAGTGGAATCCAGGACGCGCATTTCGTCCTATTTGGGACTCGTCAGCTGGATGTACCTGCATCTCAGAGTTGATGTTCACTCTGGGACTCAAACCCAGTACACTCGCTTCAAACGCCATCGCGTTATCCACTCGGCCACTGAGTCCTGATAGCCACTTGCTTGTGCGATGGGGTGAAGTTTGAATTCACTTAGTATTGTTTGTTTGGATCTTCCCATCTCTGCTTACCATGCTTGTGAATTAAGGTATATCGAGGCAATACGCACAGTATGCACATATGCCAATTAGAGACTGACCAGTTGCAGTCTTAAACACATCGATGGGAAGATCCAAACAAACAATACTAAGTGAATTCGATCCATTAAATAGTTGACAATGAACATTTACATATAATTAAACCTTTGATAAAACAAAGTAATACATATATAAGTCAATAGATTTGTTATTTCTTAGCATCAGTGGTGAAAACTTCGTATGTACAATGATCTTCAATAAAGCCTAGTAGGTAATTTAAAAATGCATTAATTAGGTTACAAAAGAATATACTAAAATTACGTTGCTGATTAAACTGTGTTTAAAAAATGGAGCAGCACTTGAAATGGCTTTGAAAATCATAGGTCACTAATTAGCTGGTGAGAGTATAGATTAATAAAACAAAAATATCATCGTTTCAAAGTAAAAGTTTAGAAATTAGTCCTGAGTTTCTGTGTCAAGCTAATATAATCAGTTGATTAATTTTTTCAATTGCCATATATTCGATAGGGAGACTAGTTGATTGCTTTTTTACATATCGTTTATAGAGATTTGAATAGTTACTTGAGTGATTCAATGTACCTTTCTAATTGTTCGCACATATATTAAATAATGTGTCAACATAATACGGTCAATTTTAAGCTAACAACAACCTTGGTGGAAGTAAACAAGAACTACCGATCATACCTAAATATATCTGATCATGATTATGTATAAGGAAGGTTTATTATCTACTTGCATTGCTGATGGTAACACGATATACTTTCGGATAAACATAGAGTGGGGAAAAATAGGAATCGTTTTTATTAGTTTTTAGTATCAACAATTTGTACCGCAATCATGAAATTTTTTATCATACGATAGTACAATAAACAGATTTTAATCAACTTGAATACTTTATCGTAGTTTGTTGTTTAGCATTTGTCATTAAGTGATTAGTGGTTTTGTTTAGAACAGTTAAATCACTGTCTCAAGATTTATTGTCACACTATTTTTCAAGTATATTCATAGTAGGTAGTAGCTATGCTAAGTGTTGTAAAGTGATCCATGGTTTTGTTTAAAAAAAAAACAATATCTTTTCTAGTATAAAAGGTATAGTTAATTGTCAAAAATTAACAAGCGTTAAATTACTTTTTAAGTAACTAAAGCTTTCCTAACCAGAATGAAGGTTTTTGCAGATTGTAGTTATTTGAACAGTTGAATAGTTGAGTCTATATAAGCAATACCAGGTTTTCCATAGTGGTCTAGCTTTAATCGACTGATGAATTGAACTACTAAACTTTTTCTAGATGATTAGTATTATTGACCTCTTTTGGTCTATAATGTTACGCAACTACTTTTGTAACTTCATCCATGTTATTTTATTCACATTTCTAATAAAGTTGAATTGTTGTTAGCAGAGGAATTCATAACTTGCGTTTCATCCTAATTTACGACTTATCAGATACATGAACCTACATCACAGTGCTAATTTTAGCACTAATTAGAAACTCATTATCTACCGTTTCAGACCTAAATGCATTATCTGCTAAGCTACCGAGTCCAAATAATTACTAGCTTTCTCAGCTAATGTGAAATTATATATATTTAAGGGTCCGAGTTTACCCACCGTTTATATATTTGGAACTGAAACTGATTGGGAAACTTGTTCGAATTACTTCAAGACTGGTATTTTGTTACAATTTATTTTCGTAAACTTGAAATATGCTTTCTGTTATGATTTGACCTAGACTGTAGCCAATTGTTATGACTTGATCAAGGTCGTCGCTGATTCGTTATGACCTTACGAATTTAACAAGGACGTAATTCTCGTAAATGATCCACCAATAGAATACGCCTTCTACGACCTTCACACTGTGACAATGACGTTCGATTAATATGAGTAATCTAGCGTCCTTATTGGTCCTTATCCGCCTACCCGTCCACTTGAGTCCAGAACGCCAATAGCAGCTGCTGTAATGCGAATCGTTTATTTCAAGCATACTTTATCTATATACCAGACAGGCAGACCACACCACACCATAAAATAGAAAATAATATTTGTACAAAACCAGGCCAAATGAAGCTGTAAGCGTGGGAGACAATAATCAATAAACTGAGCATAACGTAGGGACAGTAAATCATATAGTAATAATCAATAGGTCAAAATGAAGCTAGTAATAAGATGAATATAGATATAGATAATCCAGTTACTGAATAGTTATACCATAGGAATATAAATAGATTAATAGTCTAATAAGAGGTCCCGTAAGTTATCAGTACTTACTTTTTCCTAGTATATAACACCTCCCCTTTTTTGAAGCATCATGGATAATAGCGATCCTTGGGATTTATTTTTATACGATTAGGTTTCCGCCTGATGCGCTGCGACCGCCTTGGGAGTGTTGTACACGTCTTCTTTTTATTCGGGTCCTTTTTAATTTCATCATCCCACTCGGTTAATATATTTAATGGTATATCATGCTTTCTATCACTTTCTATCTCCCACTCCTGTCTGGTCGGCTGTATCTGGTTTGCATGTCGTACCCATATCTTTTGTCCAACTTTCACTTCATAAATAACTTTCCCTTTTCTTCGGACTATGATGCCAAATTTCCAGGATGGCTTTACTCCCTGGAAATCTCTTGCCATTACTGCTTGTCCCACATTAAACCTTCTGGGTAAGGCACCATGCCTTTTGTTAAATTGCAGTTCCATTCGTTTATTCTTGCATTGAATGACTTCAGGTTTTGGCTTCATTTGTTCCATAGGTATTCTAATCTTTCTTCCAAAAATTACTTCTGCCGGGCTTTCTTGATTATTTGTTGCTGGGTTGGGAGTTGCGCGGTAGCTTAGTAAAAATCGTTGAATTATATCTTCTATTTCTCCTTCCCCTTCGGCTTTAAGCAATGCTCTTTTAAAAGTGTCCACGAACCTTTCGACTAAGCCGTTAGACTGTGGATGGTATGGGGGTGTCTTGATATGCCTAATGGCATTGGCAATGCAGAACCTCGAAAATTCAGCAGAGGTAAACTGTGGTCCATTGTCTGACACCAATATATCTGGACACCCAAAACAACTGAATACTTGCCTCAGTTTCTTCACTGTAGCTTGTGTTGAGACATATTTCATATAGTGGACTTCTGGCCACTTAGAGAAAGCATCAATGATTATCAAGAACTGTTTACCGTTTATAGGACCAGCAAAATCTACATGAACTCTTGACCACGGATTTGATGGTGTTCCCCAACTCTGCATTTCGGTCTTGCGAGGGGCTTTCATGGCTTTTGCACATGCTGAACATTTTGCAACATATTCTTCAATCTGCGCATCAATATTCGGCCAATATACATAACCGCGTGCAAGTGCTTTCATCCGCGCTACCCCTGGGTGTGCAGCGTGCAGTTCTAACATCACCTTCCGGCGTAGGCTTGTGGGTACAATAACTCGATTTCCAAACATTAGGCACCCGTCCACGAGCGATAAGGAATTTCGTCGGTGAGCATACTGTTCAATGTTTTTGTTGTCTATATGAGAAGGCCAACCATGTTCAAGGTAACTTATAATCCGTTTCAGCTCGCCATCTTCTTGAGTGTAGCGTCTAATATCTTCAGCGGATAATGGTGTTGCTTTTATAGCAACTTGTAGTATTTGGTGGATATCTTCTTCCAATGATATCGTTGCAATAATAGAATCTTCGCTTTCCTGCTTCTGATTCGCAATTAATCGAGATAAAACATCAGCTTGTCCAAACTTTTCAGTTGATTTATATAGAATTCGGAAATCATAAGCAAGTAGTGTAATAGCCCAGCGTTGTAATCGATTAGCTGTATATGCAGGAATACCTGACTTCGATCCAAATATAGATAAAAGCGGCTTGTGATCTGTTAGAAGAGTAAATCGACGTCCATAAATCATTTTATGAAATTTCTTTACTGCAAAAACTATAGCTAATCCTTCTTTTTCAATTTGACTATACTTTCGTTCAGCTGGGTTAAGTGTTCGGGATACATGAGCAATCGGCTTTTCTTTACCATCAGGAAAACGATGGCTGATAACAGCCCCAATTCCATAGTTGGAAGCATCAGCGGCAACAATTATTTCAAGCTTAGGATTGTAATGAGTCAACAATAATTTAGAAGATAAAATCCTTTTTATTTCGTCGAAAGAATATTGGCATTCTTTTGTCCAGTACCATTTTGCATTAGCCATCAAAAGTTGATTTAACGGGTGTCTCAATTTATACATCTGGGGTACGAACATACTATAATATCCAATCATCCCCAAGAATGAACGGAGAGTTGTAACATCAGTTGGTGTGGGCATATTTTTGATGGCATTTATATTATCTGGATCTGGCCGGCGACCATCTTTATCAAATATATATCCAAGATATTTAACAGAATCTAGCATAAATTGACACTTTTCTTTTTGTAATTGAAACCCGGCTTGCGATATTCTATTGAGCACTACGTCTAACCGACTCATCAGTTCGTGAGCAGAAGAGGCAACAACTATAATATCGTCCAAATAAACTGCCACACCTTTAATGTTAGACAACATGGTATCCATAATCTGTTGGAAAATTGCTGGAGCTGGTTTTACGCCAAAAGGTAATCGGCTAAACTGGTAAAGTCCACGGTGGGTATTAATGGTTAATAACTCCCTCGAATCTTCGTCAACTTCTACTTGTAAGTAAGCTTCAGATAGATCGAGTTTGGAAAAGTAACGTCCACCGTTTAGTTTAATAAATAAATCTTCCGGCA